GAGTGGGCTACAAAAATAAAAGACCTTGGTTCCGCGGCATTGATGCGGCTAGGAGATACATCAACACTGTGACTAGACTGAGGACATCCCACATCTGCACTGATGATCACTTCAATAGGATGGGATGGAACACTCCTCCTGGTTGCGATTGTGGGGCCGAACATAAGGATCTCAAACATTTATTGAGTTTCTGCGTCATATTGTCTCCTGGCAGACCTAACTTTTTCACATTCTTAGCACTTAATATTCCAGACTTTAATCCACACGACATAAGTTTGGATGAACTGATTTTCAACTCTAATCAAGAATTTACAGTAGAAATTGGTAGATTTTTCGCTTTGGGTAAAATTATACAGACAGGGAGACCTAACTTGAAATGAACTACATCTGAACTACGACAACAACATATTTACGTTTTACTACGTAACTATACCCGGATGAACATTTTGTACTGGCTACCTGTTAAAACAAGAGGCCATTTAAACAAACAGAAAGAAGAACAATAAGGGGCCATTCAATAATTACGTAAGGGTCCACAGGGGGAGGGGGGTTCATAAAATCTCTACATGGTCTTACGTTGGGGAGTGGAGGGGGTCAAAAGCTACTCTTACGTAAGATTTTGCCAAGTATTTTTCATTTGTATAGTTGTAATTAATATTTAAATTATACATTAATATTGTTAAAAACTTACGTAAGAAGGAGGAGGGGGGTCCGAAAAATCTTATGTATCCTTACATGGTATAAGGGAGGGTCAAAATTAGCCAAATTGGCTAATTGGGCTCCTTGGCAAGGTCTGCTCGCGCCTAAAATTTGACTGTGGCGCTCAGGCGCCATTTGGGCTCCTCGAAAAAGTCCAAATGGCGACTTTGGGCGATTTTCAATTAAGAGTTTTGTCACCTGCTGCTGACGACGTCTGGCGCCAACCGTTTGCTTAACCACTTGAGCGTCATGGCGTTCCAACTGGCGTCGTGCGTGGCAGTGACAGAAGCGTCAAAAATGCATAAATGGCGTTCCTACTTGAATTCAATTTGTAAAGTCTGTAGACATAATTAACTAACTATAACTTACTTTTTATATTTTTTGAGATTAAGCAAGACGTATGTAACACAAAAAAATTATTTTTTTAAACATTCGAACAGTTTTTTCGAAATTTAAAGTCGACAATTTTTGGTACTTTTTTGCGAATGGCGTTCTAACATTTACTCAATAAAATTATATTTCTGCTTCCAAAAACTGTGCAAACCCCCCAAATCTTGTTACTCGGGAATTTTTGGGATCGCTGAACACGAATTTGATGCCAAATTGACAATTTGACAGTTGACAGCTGTCAACTCAGTTGTCAACTTCTATAAAAAACAATTATTTTTTATGAAAATAACTGTATAAGGATTTTCGGGGTCGCTGATTACGAATATGAGATCAAATTGACAATTTGACAGTTGACAGCTGTCAATTCAACTGTCAACTTCTATAAAAGACAATAATTTTTTATGAAAATAACTGTATAAAGGTTTTTGGGGTCGCTGATTACGAATATGAGATCAAATTGACAATTTGACAGTTGACAGCTGTCAATTCAACTGTCAACTTCTATAAAAGACAATTATTTTTTATGAAAATAACTGTATAAAGGTTTTTGGGGTCGCTGATTACGAATATGAGATCAAATTGACAATTTGACAGTTGACAGCTGTCAATTCAACTGTCAACTTCTATAAAAAACAATTATTTTTTATGAAAATGACTGTATAAAGGTATTCGGGGTCGCTTATTAGGAATATGAGATCAAATTGACAATTTGACAGTTGACAGCTGTCAATTCAACTGTCAACTTCTATAAAAGACAATAATTTTTTATGAAAATAACTGTATAAAGGTTTTTGGGGTCGCTGATTACGAATATGAGATCAAATTGACAACCCCCGAAAACCTTTATACAGTCATTTTCATAAAAAATAATTGTTTTTTATGAAAATGACAGTTGAATTGACAGCTGTCAACTGTCAAATTGTCAATTTTATCTCATATTCGTAATCAGCGACCCCAAAAACCTTTATACAGTTATTTTCATAAAAAATAATTGTCTTTTATAGAAGTTGACAGTTGAATTGACAGCTGTCAACTGTCAAATTGTCAATTTGATCTCATATTCGTAATCAGCGACCCCAAAAACCTTTATACAGTTATTTAAATAAAAAATTATTGTCTTTTATAGAAGTTGACAGTTGAATTGACAGCTGTCAACTGTCAAATTGTCAATTTGATCTCATATTCGTAATCAGCGACCCCGAAAATCCTTATACAGTTATTTTCATAAAAAATAATTGTTTTTTATAGAAGTTGACAACTGAGTTGACAGCTGTCAACTGTCAAATTGTCAATTTGGCATCAAATTCGTGTTCAGCGATCCCAAAAATTCCCGAGTAACAAGATTTGGGTGGTTTGCACAGTTTTTGGAAGCAGAAATATAATTTTATTAAGTAAATGTTAGAACGCCATTCGCAAAAAAGTACCAAAAATTGTCGACTTTAAATTTCGAAAAAACTGTTCGAATGTTTAAAAAAATAATTTTTTTGTGTTACATACGTCTTGCTTAATCTCAAAAAATATAAAAAGTAAGTTATAGTTAGTTAATTATGTCTACAGACTTTACAAATTGAATTCAAGTAGGAACGCCATTTATGCATTTTTGACGCTTCTGTCACTGCCACGCACGACGCCAGTTGGAACGCCATGACGCTCAAGTGGTTAATTGCCTCATTATCCTGCTTGTGTATCGTACCTAATGATTTATACACATTGAGCCAAGCATGTCAACAATGACAATAGTCTATGACTTTTATTCTTTCCTGTCAAGTCGTTCCGTTATTGACAAACTTGCCGAATGTCGAACATTTGTGGATACTTTTTATTTTTTAATGTGCTCTTGCGAGTTCGCATTGTGGATAAATTATTATTATTATTCATAATAGATATTTTTTGGCAGGTATGTATGAATGTTACATTTTGAAAATTTTCACAATATAATTTGATTTTACCCAGTTTTAAAATATAACCACGTGTTGAACACCATGTAAAGAAATATGTACGTTATCTTATACTATAAATATGTGAGACAGTGTATTGAAAAGTAAAGTAGTTTGTATTTCAAAATATTCCTTTTGGCTACATATTTTATTTTAATTTTTTTTAGAATGGGAAAGTGGGGTAAATATCCCAAAAAGTACTGTGTTAGTTGGGAAAAAGATTCGCAACTAAAAGGTTGGTTACAACGGTCAGTTGAAACTGACATTTTGCAGGGGGGAAAAATATATTAAAAAATGTGATACTAAATGACGCAAAAATATGTTAAACAATGTGATACTAAGTAACACAAATATATGATCAGTATTTCTACTGTGTTCCTACGAATTTTATTTCTAAGATTATAATAAAATTGTTATACTGATTTATAACAAGTTGATACTGATTTAATACTGATTTCAGTATTATGCTGGTATTACGTAATTTACAATGATTATAATAAAAGATTTACATTATTTATTGAGAGTTAAATTAACATTTTGCATACTATTTGTGCAATCATTTTTAAATATTGATAAATAAACATTAAAAAAGTTTATAAATAAGCATTTAAAACTTGGCGCTTTTTTGGGCTCTTCGATTGACCTCTAGTGGCGCTTTTGGGCTCCTTGCTCAGCCCCGAGTGGCGCTTTCTCGAGGCAAGAGTCTGGCAACCCTGAAAACGCCATTAACAGAATTGTCACTTAACTGACTCGATAGTTAACCGACGTGTCAAATAACAGAAATGTCACTTAACCAAAATGACAAGTAACCAAAATGTCAATGAACAGAATTGTCAATTAACCGAAATGTCATTTGACAGAAACCACAATCAACGGAAATGATGCTTAACCGAACTCTCAGCTAACAAAAACGTCAGGTTACGGAAATGGCACATAACAAAATTGTTATTCAACGAAATTCTCAATTAACGGAATTGCCAGTTAACGGAAATGGCACATAACAAAATTGTCGTTTAACGGGTTTGCTTATAGTTAACGGATTTGTCACTTAACCGAAATGTCAAATAAAAGAGTTTTCTTATTTGACATTTAAATGTTAATAACACAGAAAATTATAAGGTATTAAAATAAGCTGCAACGCTCGTTATTTTAATCCAATTTTGCTTATTTTAATACTAAAATGAATTAAAATATGCAAAATTGGATTAAAATAATAAGCGTTGCAGCTTATTTTAATGCCTTTTAATTTTCTGTGAAGCGGAAATGACGATTAACGAAATTGGCAATTAATAGACATGTCAAACAGCCGAAATGTCAATTAACAAAATAGTCATTTAACGGAAACGACAATTAACCGACATGCAAACTTAACGAAATGTTAAATAACAGAATTGTCAGTTAACGGATATTTTTTTATCAGAATAGTTAATTAACGGAATTATCAATTAACCGAAATGTCAATTGACTGAAATATCAATTAACTGAATATTCAGTTAACGGAAATGCAAATTAACGGAATTGTCACTGAACGGTATTGTGACTTAACAGAATTGTCAATTAACGGAATAGTCATTTTGACGAATTGTCATTTAACTGAATTGTCAGTTAATGGAATTGTCATGAACACTTCGGTTAATTGACAATTACGTTAACTGACTAATCCAAACTGACAATTGCGTTAAATGACAATTTTGTTATGTGCTATTTCCGTAATCTGATGTTTCTGTTAGCTGACAGTTTGGTTAATTGGCAATTCCGTTCATTGACATTTCGGTTACTTGTCATTTTGGTTAAGTGACATATTTCTGTTAGATGGCAATTCTGTCAAATGGCAATTCTAATTAAGCTGTTGTTACTTTTTATCTGAATCTGATCTGAATTTTTTATATGGGTAGTCGAAAAAATTAGTCCAGTCTGTATAGCTATATAAAAAAGAAGTAAAATCTAAAAGTGTTTTTTTTCCCAAAAGTGTACCTGAGGAATAATTGCAGAAGTAAGTGATAACAAAATTAAAATTCTTGTGATAATTTTCATGGCTACTGTCTGATAAACCCATTGTCCGATTACAAAGAGAGCGAGTTTATTAATTTTAAAATAACGACTCTCATACACGTCCATTGATTCAACAAAAGTTAGGAAAAAAAGAAAACACAATGTTTATACAACATGAAACGTATATTCGATAAAAAAAAATGTATCTATCAATTCAAATGAAAAATTATCTTCTAATATTTTTTCTTGAGCTGATGTGTTGAATAACTTATGAATAACTTACTTTCCTATATAACGGAAGTAAAATTTCTGGAAAAGAATTGCGAATAATATTGACGATTATAAAATTCTATATTTCGAAGAATTAAAAGCGTCTATTACCCCTTACAATATAAAAAATTTATTTCCCTTATACTTATAATAGACCTAAAATTGATTCTTTTTATTGTAAAATTCAGTTATATAGGAAAATATTCCATAATTATTGGTTATATGTATTGAAAAACAATTCTTGGAAAAACAATCATTTATTTTCTTATTTTAATACACGTTGTTCAATATTTTTTTTGCAAATAAAGTTACTCAGAAACCATGATAGTTATAGATACCAAACGCGTTGATACCGATAAATCGACTAAAATTAATAATTCATATTGTTTGCCATCCTTCAAAACGCCTAGTATTAGGTATACCTATATATATTTGAAGGGTAGAATGACAAAAGGGGACAAGCGCTAATTTTTCGAAATTGAGATTTTTTCATACAAAAATCAATTAAATTCATTTACACATTTCTGTAAAAGGATTTTCTTTTTTATTGCGCTTTTAAAGAAGTTTTATTAATAAATAATATTAAAATCATAATATAGCTTCAAATTTAATTCATTACAATTCGATTGAAAAACAGAAGAAAATGGTAAGTCAACAATTATATAATAATAAAATGCTTGGTCTGTCCTTCTGTCCTAACTTGAAGTTGGCCTTTTCTGATTTCACGTGTTTTTTTGAATAGTACAAGATAGTAATTTGAAAAAAATTTATTTTTAAAAATTAATTTTTAAGGTACCAGGGGCCAACGAATACCTATTAAATATTTATTATAAAAATACAGGCCTCGAATCAACTTAAAGACACAAAAAGTCGTATTAGTCGATTTATATTCCAAAAAAAAGTGGATTTGTTTTTTATTTTAACAAAAATATTTTACAGATTCTTAAATAAAAAATTTTGTTTTTAATAATAATCCTTTTCAAAGGGTTAAAGTTGAAATTTTTAGAAATAATTAAATTTCAAAGGATATTGTTAATTTTCAAACAATTATTAAATTTTACAGAACTAAAAATAATTTATCAAACAATTTTTGGAAAACATTTTTTAAATTTAATTGAATTTTCAAAGATTTAAAATTGAGATTTTTGAAACTAATTGAAACTTTAAGTGATTTTTAATTAAAATTTTGAGATGATTTCACTAAAAATTTATTAGAAAATGCGGACAAAATACAATAATTTGAAAATCATTTTTAATTGAAAAATGGTTTCAGATAGTTGAATTTTCAAAGAATATTATTAAAATAGTTAAAAATAATTGAATTTCCTTAGAGTTATAATTGAAATTATTAAATTCCAAAAAAAAAATTTTCGATGGAAAATTTTAGAAATAATTAAATTTTAGATGCTTTTAAATTCAAATTATTGAAAATTCAAATTTTTGAGAATAATGAAATTTTATTTGATTTTAAATTTGGAAAATAATTTAATTTCAGTTCATTTTGAATTGAAAATTTTGGGAAATAATTGAATTTTAATTGAAATTTTGGATAATAATTTAATTGAAGTTCATTTTTGATTGAAAATTTAGATAATTAATTTTGAATAGAAATTTTAGAAAATAATCGAATTTTATTTCATTTTAAATTGAAAACTTGGTAAATAATTAAATTTTAAATTGAAAATTTTGGATAATTATTGAATTTTTAATTGATTTTGAATTAAAATTTTGGGTAATAATTAAATTTTAGTTTATTTTGAATTGAAATTTTTAAAAAATAATTCAATTTTATTGTGATATATTTTTTTAAAATTATAAACAATTGTTAAACTTCATAAAAATTTTAATTGAAAAATAATTTTGATATAATTGAATTTGTGATGTATTTCATTAAAATTATTAAAAATAATTAATTTAGTGAAGAATCATTTTAGTTCAAAATTTGTTAAATAATTGGATTGAAGATGATCTGAAGAAGATCTGCATTTTATACTAAAAAAATGTATTTTATTTACATTTTTTTCAAATGTAAAAAAAAATGTCGCATTTTATTAAATAAGTCGATAAAAGTCGTATTTTTGAAAAAAGTCGGAAAAAGTCGTATAATCCGAGGCCTGTAAACATATAATTTTCATTATTATCATTTAATATGTAATAATATTATAATAAATTGAATTATTATTGATAATATTAATCTTTAATTTCTTTATAACAAACAATTAAATACTTAATTTGGCGCACTTGCGCGCGTTTAATTTTGCTAGTTAATAATAAATTATTAATTTTAATTTTATATAATTTTAATATCATTTTATTATTAGTTTATAACTATTTTTATAATTATAATAATTGTTAACAATTAAATTTAAAAATGAGATATTTCTCGATTGCAAAGCAAGAACTTATTTTCTTTTCGAAAACCAACAACTTTTTTCAAGTAAATTTTTTTTCATTCAACTCGTCTTTTCAATATAGAAAAAACTAATTTTCCAGTTTTCCTATTTTTTTCACAATTATAGTTTAATTTAAATGTGCGTATAGTCGATATAACCTTAAGGGTACTTTCTGGTTTAGAATTGACAAAATAAGAAACACGTTTTAAAACTTTTGTTGTAATATATAATTTCAAATTTCAAACGCGAATCTTTTCATAAGGGTTTATTCTAGACAATAAACGATTTTTTAGATAAGATTTTTTTTATTTTTATGAACATTTTTTTCAAAAATTTGAAAAAACACCGTGTTTTTGGAACAATTTACCCCCGTATAAAAAAACATGGGGTAGAAATATGAAGTTTCAAAGGTTTATTCTCTATAGTTTTTTAACTAAGGAATCGAATGGTTCTTGGTTTTTTAAAATCGGTTCAGTAGATTTCGAGAAAAGGCGTGCACCAGTTTGAAAAATATGTTTTCGAGAAAAACGCGTTTAAAGGTTTCATAACATAATTAATACATTGAGCCAAGACTATCAAACAATTTTTTATTACAACTTTTGTTTTTTTACACATTTTTTAAAAAACGTTTTCGGACATTAATTTTATGATACTAAGGAACATTTTCAATATAAAAAATCTATGTTTTTGGAATTCTAAACCAGAAAGTCCTCTTAAAGCAGTACAGTTTTTTTTATTTTTCTCGTTATGTAGGTTTATTTGAGCAAATTGTTGTTTATTTATTTATTAAAATATAATAATATCTCTTTCTTTGTATAACAATGTCGGAATATCTAATATGAAAGAAGAACTAATTAAATGCATAGATCAATCTCGAAGGGAGGGGGAAGAATTGATTATTGTAGGAGATTGGAACGCGAGAGTAGGAGAAGAACTGGGTGGATGCGACTGGGATAGACTAGATCCTTATAGAGGATACAGTAGAAATAGGAAATCCAAGGATAGAGTTCTCAACGCTGAAGGGAAAAAACTGTTAGATATTTGTGAAGAACAAGGCTTAAGAATTTTAAATGGTAGAATAGAAGGGGATAGAGAAGGAAATTGGACGTGTATCCGCGGAGAGGGAGGATCGGTTTTAGACTATATTATAGTAATGGAAAACAGTAATGAATGTCCAGTGAAAAAATTGGAAGTGAAAACTAGAATAGAATCGGACCACTTTCCAATAAGTTTTAATTTAGAATTAGATGATAAATTAATTAGGGTAAATCAGAAGGATAGAGTTAAAAAACAAAGAAAAAATATTCTTAGGTGGGAAAAAGAAAAGGGGGAGGATTATAAAAAGGAAATGGAAAGCTTATGGGAAGAGGGGGAGAAAAGCGAAAACTGGGAGGACAGATGGTCAAATTTCAAACAATGCATATGGAAAGCAGCAGAATTAGTAGAATTAGTAAGAAAAGAAAGTAATGGAAATTTCAACGTTAGAAGATGAGGTTTTGATAAAAAATGCGCAGAACAAAGATCTAAAGTGTGGGAGTGTTTAAAAAATTTCCGTAAAAAAAGAGACGATGAAAGCAGATTAAAATTGAAAGAGGAAAAAAGAAAATTGAAAAAGTTATGCGACTCAAAAGAAAAAGAAAGAAGGGAGGAAAAATGGAATAAGGTGAAAGAAAGCAAAAGCATGAATAGTTTTTGGAAGGCGATTGGGGATTTTAGACCGCGAAAAAAAAGAAAAGAGGCAGAGGAGTTGAAAAAGAAAGATGGTTCCAACATTTCCAAGGTTTACTAAACGGGGAGAATAGAGAAAATAATGTAACGACTAGGGATAACGTAACGGTAAGGAATAACTCGGAGAACGATGAAATGGATTCAAATCTAGAAACTGAAAACGACGAAGGTGATAACGACTTGAACGCTGATATATCTTTCGATGAACTAGCGAAATGCATTTTGCGAATGAAGGCAGGGACAGCTCCAGGAGAAGACGGGATACCTATAGAGTTTATAAGAGGAATCCCTAGTGTATGGCCTGCAGAGTTACACAAAGTAGTGAATGGTTTCTGGAATCAAGGGAAATTAGGAAAAGGTTGGGAGAAAGCGAGAATTATACCAATTTATAAAGAGGGGGATGAAAATGATACAAATAACTACAGGGGTATTTCCTTACTCGATACGGCTTACAAAATTTTAGCTTCAATATTAGACGACAGAATTAGAAATTGGTTGGAAAAGAACAATAAGTATATAAAGAAAATCAAGCAGGCTTCCGCAAATGTCGGTCGACCAGGGATCATATTTTTGTTTTAAACTCCATTGTTAAGAATAAATTGAAAAGAGAGAAAGGTAAATTGCATGCAGCATTTATTGATTTTAAAAAAGCTTTCAACACAGTGGATAGAAGAATTCTTTTTAGGAAGCTCTCAAATTTGGGAATTAATGGGAAAATGCTTAATATGATCAAGGAAATATATAGGGTTACATCGAACGAAGTAGTAACTGAAGAAGGACTTACGAATTCATTTGAAACGAATAGAGGAGTAAGACAAGGCTGTCCTCTTAGTCCTACGTTATTCAATATTTTTATAGAGAATATATGGATGATATTTGGGAAAGCAAAAAAGAGGGAGGCACTGTCATAGGGAAAGTCAAAATCTATTCTTTAAAGTTTGCAGATGATCTAGTGCTATTGGCAGATTTTCCAGAAGGATTAAGGCAAATGCTAAAATCACTAGAAGGGTACGTGGTTAGAAATGGATTAGAGATCAACACTAAAAAGTCGAATGTTATGGTGTTTAGGAAAGGTGGTAAATTAAAGAAAGGGGAAAAATGGGAAATTTTTGGGAAAAAGCTGGAAATCGTTAAGGAATATAAATATTTAGGGTACTGGTTTTCTTCAAGAGGATCCCACGGAAAACATGTTAAAAAAATGGCAGGAAAAATGCAGAAAGCAACAAATGCTGCTTGGGGCGTATTAACAAGAGCAAGAATAGGCTGACTAAAAACGAGACTTTTCATTATGGATATTCTGTCCAAATCTGGAGGCCTATACGGAGTCGAAACGTGGGGATGGGAAAAATGGGAGGTAATGGAGAGAGCACAAGGAAGATTCGTTAAAATGGCAATGGGATTAGACATTAACACACCAGATTATATCTGGAAAATGGAATCGGGAAGGGTTAGCCTTGATGTAGAAGCTAAACGAAGAGCGTTCAAGTACCTTATTGATATTTTAATGATGGAAGAAAACAGACTTCCAAGGATATGCCTAAATGAGGAACTGAGAAGCATTAAAAACAATTTTCCATCATCATGGGGAGCACAAGTAATAAGAGTACTCAATGATGTTGGAGATGGCAGAACGATTCATCTATTAAGTCTTGAAGGGAAAGAGAGAGATATATTTGATAATTTAAAGGAAAATATCAAAGTCAAAGAGGATCAGGAAATTCAGGGACTTTGGAATAAGATTGATAGGTCCTCGTATTGCAAAGATTTTGGAAAATGGAAAATTAAAACAGGGAGAGAAGATTACTGGGATTTAAAAGAATTAAGTTACAAGGACAAGGAACAATGGGCTAGGATTAGATGTGGTAACGTAGGAAGGGCCGGGAATAAGGGTTTTAAAGACGTAAGTTGTAGATTATGTGGTTCAAAAACGGAGGACATAGAGCATATCTAGGTATGTAAAAAAGCTAGAGAGTTGATAGAAAAAAAGTGGGTTGAGGAAGTGGATAAGGCTGCAGTCCCATGGTAGCGTTTTGCGTTGCGTTTTGTCACTAGACCATGAGTGTAAAAGAGATGCAGATATATTTTTGCTATGTTTACACTCAGGGTCTAGTGACAAAACGCAACGCAAAACGCTGCCATGGGACTGCAGCCTAAGTGGACCGATTGCGGCAGAAATGTTAATCAGCAAAAAGTTCGGGAAATTTTGTCTGGTAGGCCGAGTATAGCTCTCTGCAGATACACAAGAGCTTTCGAGGAGATAGCTAAATGTAAATAAAGCGGTTTATAGTTTTAAATGTTATAAATAATTCTAATGTATTTTTAGTTAAGTTAATTGAAACTATTCATGTTTTTAATAATTTGCAAATATGAAAAAATATGTATGGGAAATGTAAAAGGCCGAAAGGTCATACATAAATCAATAAATCTATCTATCTATAATAATATTTAATAATATTATTATTATTTTTTGATACTCAATGTATTTTAAATTGGGAAAATTGCAAAAAGAACTGCAACTTTCTATAGTTGAAATAGAAATAAATATTTGCAATTTTTGTGTTTTGTAAATGTTACAGAATAGTTCTAGAACGAAAAATTAATGAAACACCTCTTCTTGTTTAATTATGATGTTTATTAATAGACAAAAATAGATTTCACATTCATTTTTATAATCTTTTCATAAATTATCCATAGATAACATTCAATAGTTTACAAAAATATTTTATTGAAGACATTTGATTTTCTTAAAATATATAAAAATTTCTCTGACAGACAAAACTCATATAATAGTGTCTTTAATTACTACAAAAAAAAACGAAAAACATTATTTCCTAAACTTTTTTTTTTATATTTTAAAACTATTTGTAAAACACCTTCAGTCAATTTTCATTAAATTACAGTCTTCTATAATATTTTTCTAATGAAATTTCACTCGCTTTACGCACTTGTATCATAAATAACTACTTTGGAAAATTTATTTTCGAAAAATTTAATTAATTTTGAAAAAAAATACAAGTTACACTAAATTGGGGCGTATAAATTTCCCATAAAAATCATTAATTAGAATTTTTAATTTAAAGTATTTTATTAAAAATAATGATTTTTTTGACAAATTTTCATTTTTCGAATTAATATTTGACAGAATTTTTTTTTTATAATAATTTTTACTAAACAAAATTTTTAGCTACCGAATTTTTGTTTGCTAAAATTATTATTTTAAAATCATTTTCTTTACATAACTTTTTATTTAAATGAATTTTAATTTAAGCGAATTTTAATTTAACAAAATTCTTATTCAATGGAATATATTTGTTATTCGAAATTTTAAATGACAGACATTCCAGTTCATCGAATTTTTTATTCCGACAAATTAAAATTCGATGAATTCGAATTTCTGTCATTTAAAATAATAAATTCATGAAAAATATTTTTTTGATTGTTAACTACATAAAAATTTTTAAAAGGCTTTTGATACCATCGATCACCACTTATTATTCGACGAAATTATCCGAACTTGATTTATCACATAACTTCAAAGTATATTTTTTCTTCTTTGTAAAATTTATACAATCTTTTGATAACGGTTTTAGAAATTATTATCGAATTATATATATAACGAGAACATTTAATGAAAATACATTTTTCGAAACACTTAATATTTCTTTAATGTACCAGTTGTACTTATCAGATTGAAAACTAAATTTGAATTTAGTGTTAATTACAAGAAATTAACTTTAAAAAGTATTCTTTTTTTTTATTTTATTGTAACTGAACATACAAATGTTCTAATCTGACTAAATCCTTGTAAAATAATTATATACGATTTATAAATTAAAAAATGAGGTCGTTCTATTGTTTCTCCAAAATCTACACTTTTAAATTATCTTTATTCAAAAAAATTACTATAAAAATACAAACAGAAACCAAAAATTATTTTGTTTCAGTCTTGTTTATTACAAAAAAAAAAAAAAAAAAAAAAGTTAAAGGCAAAAGCCTTTTTTTCTTCATGAAATATAAATCTTTATAAAAAAAATATTCTCTTTACTTTGGCAGAATACAATATTTCTTCTAAACATTATTAATAATAATATTATAGAAAAACATAAATTTTTAATATTCTCCACTATAACAAATTATTTACACAAAAAACTATTAAATTTTGTATTAAGCAATTAAATTATCTCTTAATAGACACATTTCTTAAACAATGAACAATAATCTTATCACGGCCATTAATACCTATTTCTATTTTTATACTTTCTATTTGTATCTATATTACACGTAAATAAATCACAATTCTAAGCAATCTACTGACAAGGAGGTAGTCGTTTGATATTTTTAAATATCACATCAGATCAAAATTTATGCGATCACAATGAAAAAAAACATAGAGAATATCAAAGAATAGAAAAACACGATCCAACGCTTGCATAAAAAAAATCTTGTATAGAATAATTTTTCATAAGTATCGATTGTACCAAAAAATATTCTTCAGATCTTTCACGACTTAGTTTTGTCGATAGAAAAAATAAAATTCTCGCAAATTCCGTTTCATCTTTCTTTGGATAACTAGTCTTCATTAAAATTCTCACACTTCTTTTTTGTTGCTCATCATTTAATTTATACCAAAAATATTTAACAGCCATCTCAAGGCATTCAATCATTGAAATACGAAACATTGTTTCCTCAATGTTTTGACTATTATTGCAAAATTGATACCATGAAAATTTTCTTTTCAAATTTTCATTTTGACAGCCAATTATAAAATGTTTTTTATCATCCATTTGCAATAAATTTTTCCAATACGCTATCACATTATAACTTGAAGAAGTATAAATTGTCTCCAAATAGAAATTATCAAATCTCTCGTCCTCGGGAATTTTCTCCCATAAATTTGGAATATAATCATCAAAACAAAGAATGCATGCAATATTAAAGAGTTTTTTATATTTCAATTGTTTTTTATTGTACCAATTGTGAAAAATTTTCTTTTTATCAATAGTGCCGTAATTAGTCCAAAAAATTTCTGAGCTCGCGTCAATGTTTAATTCCAAAATTTTGGCAACAAATTTTCTCCAATGACAAATTTGCAATCCAGTAATTATAATGGAATTTTTTAAATTTGCTCTTACATTCAATGACAATGGTAAATTATGGAGAATTGCCACTAAATTACTTGTCAATTGTTGATTCCATTTTTGATATAAAAAACAATCGTCATCAGAAGGATAAAAGTTATCGAAAAATAAATCAATTTGCTGTTTAGTTTCATTTTTATTCCAAATAGTCGTCGCTATTTTTAGCATACAGAGACGCTGTAAATTTAATTCCGGTTTCATTTTTCCCTTATTAATTTTTTCCATTTTCAAGAATCTGTAAAAATTTTTGTCAATTTCATATAAAGCTGAATTAACGGTTTAAAACCTCAGGCCTCGGAAATTGTACAACTTGTTCGAATTTTTTTTTGTTACATTTTTTACAAAATTTTTAACTAAAATTCTTCTCTAAATTAATTATTTTCAAAAATTTTAATGAAATTATTCACAAATTCAATTTTTTAAAATTATTTTTCAATTAAAAATTTTATGAAAGTCAATAATTGTTTAAATTTAAAAAATTAAAGAAGATTTAAAAAAATTAACAACTAAATTACCAAAATTTTTAATTTAAAACCTTTTAAAATTTTCCATCTAAAACTTTCTGAAATTCAATTATTTTTAATGATTTTTATTATATTCTTCGAAAATTTTCAGTTATTTAAAAGTATTTTTCAATTAAAAATTTTTTAAATTCAATTTTTTTCTGTAATTTCTAATAAATTTTTTAGCAACAAAAATCCCAAAAAATTTTTAAAAAAATATCACTGGAAGTTCAATTATTTTCAAAACTCTAAATTGTAAATATTTGAAAATTCAATTACTTTAAAAAAAAATTAAAACAAATTATTTGATAAATAATTTTTAATTCTATAAAATTTAATTATTATCTAAAATTTAACAAAAATTCAATTTTTTAAAAATAATTTTGATAATATTCTTCGAAGATTCAATTATCTGAAAGCATTTTTCAATTAAAAATTTTTAAAGTTCAATTTTTCTCTGTAATTTGTTATATAAATTCTTCAGCATCAGAAATTACCAAAAATTTTAATAAAAAAATTACTTTAAGTTTAATTATTTTCAAAAATCTGAATTGTAAATATTTGAAAATTCAATTATTTCTAAAAAAAAAAAAAAATGGTTATCTAAAATTATTTTCGATTCTGTAAAGTATTTGATGATCGTCTGAAATTTAACAAAATCTTTTGAAATTCAACTATTTCTAAAAAAAAAATTCCAACTGTAACTCTTCCAAAATTCAATTATTTTCAAAAATTTTAATATTTCTTAAAAAATTCAATTATTTAAAAAAGTTTCAAATAAAAACTTTAAAATTGAATTGTTGTCAGAAATTTAAAAACAAAAACTACAGCAGTTTAAATTTGTTGAAAATTTATTTCAAATTTAAAATTTTAAATTCGAATAAATTGCTTAAATCAGACCACAAAAAAAATTTTTTAAACAAAACTTTAAGAATTTATTATAGAAATTTGTGCTAGTGAATTAAAATTTTGAAAATTTGTTTTAGTTCGATTCTGAAATATTCGAGATAAATATTCTTAATAATTTTCTAATAGAATTATTTCTATTAAGGAATTAATTAAATTACAAAAATTTCAAAAAAAAAAAACGTAATTAACGTTGATGCGTATTTTAAAAAAAATATGAGCATTCAAAATTTGAATTTTTTTAAAAATGTTATATATCTCGAAAATGTCTTGAAAAAAAAATCGAAAATAATCATGAATTTCTTTTTTGTAGAGTACAAAAAAGATAAAGAAATTTTAATATTCATATTATGCAACATTAATGGAAAATTAGTTTTAACGATCATGTCATGAATGGAAATACTTATTGAACTTTCGTATTCCTTTATTTAATTTTGAGTGGAATATGATTAAAAACTGAATTAATCACCTTTTATTATTTTCTAATAATTTTTTTTCAATTGTAAAATGTTTTTCTAGTTCAATGAAATTTATTTTTTTTTAAATTATAATTTATCTATTTCTCTTAAAATGAAAATTACCTTCTTTCACTTTCAAAGTTTAAAAATCGTTATTTCTCCGAAATCCTCAGTTTCTTTGTCGTATTGTAAACAAGACCATCAAACTAAAAAGAAACAAAAAAAAAACAAATTCAATATTTAATTCAAAGATACTTGCTTCTACATGAATTCAATTTTTAAATGAAAAATGCAAATTCAAAATAAATATTTCAAGTTTCAAAAAATACATTAATATAAAAATAAAAACTAAGATAAAAAAAAGAATCGTTGTTGTAAAAATATTTATTACTGTTTTTTTAAATACAAAAGTAACAAATATATGTAAATATAATATTTTTAAAAAAATACATTATTTATTCGTTGAAAAAAATTGATTTTCAATTTAATTCTCTCATATAATAAACAAATCCAATTTCATGGGATAATTCGTAATAAACTTTCTTCTTGTCTTTTATTTTGTTAATGTTCAAAAGATTTCTTCTTTTCGAAATTATTCTCTTCTGGAAATTTTGATCATTAATTTAAGATCCAGATGAATAATTTTAAATATTTCAATTTATCGTCGTAAGATTGTATTAAAGTTTAAAAATTATATATCATAAATAATTCTTCGCACAATTAATTAATGACAGTAGCATCTCAATAATTTAATCGTTTCTCAATCATTGATTAATGTTCTTTTTCAACGTTATGTTTGAGAAATTGTACATTTTCAATTTGTCATATTAATGGCAGAATTTTTTTTTCATATTTTCGAAAAAAAGACATTGTCAATCGATATTTTTCTAATCTCCAGTAATTGTAATCAATTGTAATTCTATTTTCCAATTTTCAAACAGATAAATATTTTGTAGATTTAATTCGACTTTTATTTCCATTTTTTTCAACTTTCTTTCCACTTTTTATTTCCATCCATTTATTCATTTTTTTTTCTAAGTTTGTGTCCAATTTTTGTTTATATTAATTTTTAAACTTGATGTAATACCCTCTGTTTCTTTTTCTGCAATTATTTTTTATTTTCAATATTTCTGTAAAATTAAAAATTTCTCTAAAAGCTTTTTTGTCGAAAAAAAAATTTCATTATTATTTTTATTATAATTATATATCTTATTATATTAGTTTTTATTATATTTGTGCACTTTGATTAAATTTTGAATGAAATTGAATTTGCATTAAACAATTTGAAAAATTGAACTCTGAAAATCCAAAAAGAAGATAAAAATTAAACATTCAATTGTTAACACCAATACAAATATAGTTTGTTTTAATGACACTAAATTAATATTCCTTTAACACAAATGTATTATTAATTCATGATTTTTATCGTAACTTAATGTATAACATGAAATTAAATTTTCAAATGAGAATAATGTTTTAAAAATAATTAAAAATAAATATTTTATACTTAAATTTATTTTTTTTTAAATTTATTTAATAATCTGTAATTAAAAAAGAATATCTATATGTGTTTTTTTAATTATCATTAAAAAAAATTTTTTTAAACAAAGATGTATAAAAATTAAAAAAAAATTACATATAATTAAATATTTACAAATTTAAAATAATATAATTCATTTTTTTAATCAATTTAGATTTCATAATTAAAATATTTTTAATTTAAGTTTGTTAATAATAAATTTTTTTATATAAATCTTTTTATACAGAATAACAAATTTTCAATTAATTTTATTAGAAAAAAATTGATTTTGTATTTTTATTTACTAATAATTATTATTATTATTATTTATTAATAACAACATTTTTTTCAACAAATTCCTCGATTAATTTTTTCCTGATGTTAAAAAAATTCGTTTTGTATTTAAAGGAATTTTTTTTATAATTGAATTATAAAAACAATTATTATATTTATCAGATATTGTAACTTAAATATATTTAAAAATAATCCATAATATAAATTTTTATTTATAAGTAATTATAACATATGTTTGCATCCATATGGAATTTAAAAAATATTTTGAATTATAAATAAATAATAAAATAATCTCGTTCTTAGGTAATAATCTGAGATTATCTGTTTTTAACAATTTTTACGCGGAATTTTATTGACATCGACAAATCTCACACACATGATTAAAAGAAAATTATTAATAATTGATTAAAAAATGCAATAATGAAGAACAATGAAATATAATTAAAATATATTTTTTTGGAAAAATTATTTAAAACAATATAAAATTAATTTTAAATCAATTTATAATGAAAAATAATATAAATAAATTTAAAACATAACCTCAAAATAATTGTGTCAATACGCAAATTTTTAATGAAATTTATTCTGCTATATACCTATTTTCCATAATTCACAGCAATTTCAGTCTTATTATGAGGAATTAATTAACAAAATTAAAAATGATATTAAACTTATAAATGTAAGCAAGGGCAAAATGTTATGTTTTTCATCATTTTACCCTTTCAATTGTTAAAACTCTAATTAATGAGGTAACTAAAAATTTCGTCTCCCTGTGTCTGAAAAATTTTTTTAGCACTTACCTTTGTTCATATTTTTCGTATTTTATTTCTATATTTTTCAATTTAACTGTGCGCGCAACATTTATTAATATTTATTATAAAGTAATTCAAATTGTTAAAAACAGGTGTGTATTAATTGTTTATATTTTTTCAAATTAATTTTGTCAGTAACGTAACAATGCCACAAAAAATTCAAATAATCCCTCTTTTTTTTTGTCTTCTTCAAATACTCGAACAATTTATTTTATTTGTGTACATGAATAATAATATTGTATTCAAACAAAGTAAATTTAATAATTTTTTTACCACTAAATTAAAATATTTTTCTTTTTCTGATAAAAATTCAATTAGCCGGTTTTTGGACATAATGACGGCCCTGAACCGGTTATTTTGACAGTTTCGTAAATTTTTTTTTTTTGACGTTTATCAAAACTTTTTTTGAATTAAAAAATTTCAAAAGCAAATTCTTTTCTACAATTAAGTTATTGATATCGTAAATAGGTTCAATGAACCCTGGGGCAAAATTTCATCAGGTAATTAGAAGCACATTATGTCGTCTTTTTCTTATAAATAGTCCGATTACTTGAGATAGATTTCAAGTGTGAGAAACGTAGTGGGCGTCACCGCAGCGTCGTCTTAGGTTTTTTTAGCATTGCGTGACTAGTCGTCGTAGTGTTAAGTTGTATACAACGATCGATTTTGTTTTTTAATTCACGAAAAGAAAACTTAATAACTCACCTTTCTTTTCTTTTCTATTGTAAGAAAAAATTTCACTTTTCCAATTTCCGAACAAATTGTGTGCTTTCATCTTATTCTTCAGTGTTGTCAAACGAGAATAACAAAAATCAAGAAATCAAAATGTCACAACAACAATACTATCCATTCAAGGTAAGATTCAAAAAAAAAAATTTCAACAAATTTTATCTTACATTATCAAAAAGTAAAGAAAAAAATGTTATGTTATTTATCACGAGTTTAATTCTTTGGATAATTTAGGTTAGAAAAATGATTTCACTATTTTTTTTCTCCTTTTTTTATTGCATTACAATGTTTTATATTTGAAGAATGATGTCATTTATTAGCAGGAGAATATAAATTTGTTTGATAATTGAAAAATAATGATTTCCTTCCTTTAAATTAAAAAGGCGAAATTCTATATTATTTTCGGGTTTTCTAACCTATAAAAATAGTGCGAAAATTTTGAAAATATTTTTTAATTTATATAAAATTGATGCTGCTTTTGGATTTTTTTTTTTTTTTTTTTTTGCAAAATTTCTACATTAAAATATTTTTTCACTAAAAGCAAAAAAATATGTAAAATAATAATAGAAAATAATTTTAATTTTGAAAAAGTAGTTTTATTTTTATTTCAGCTTCAAGCGAAAATTGAAATAGCTATTTTTGTTTCTGTGAGATTGTAAAAAGTTTTAAATGAACTTTTATTAGTTCAAAAACTTTTTTACGAACCCATAAAAATCCATTAAATCAACTGAGAAAGTTGTTTTTTGAAATTTTCAATATAAAATTTTGTTAAACAAAAATTAATTAAAATAGCGCATTTAAGAATTAAATTTAAAAAAATATTTTTACAATTATGTTTTTTTGTACTATTTTAAAAGTTTTGCATTTTTTTTTTTAATAACATCCGCAGTATTTGTATAGTAATTATATTAATTTAATAAATGTTAATTATATGCAGTAAATAAGTTATTACTAAACTGAACAAAAAAAAGTAATTTTTGGATAATTTTTTTCTTTTCTAAAAGATGAAATTGTACTACTATAGAAACTGGATTTTCAAGGACGAATCGTGTAACATTTTTCAAGTGCAAATTATGCAATTTTTGCCAAGAACAGGATTTCAATGATAGGTTTATTTACTTATTCAAGGCAAATGGGTTTACTGCACTGTTTATTTAACCAAATTATTATTTAATTTTCTTTTATAATTTGCCATTAAATTGCAAAAAAATTTCTGATTTTATATTTTTTTTTAAATAGTTAATTATTTTTTTTTTAAATTAAAACCTGCAATTAATTATTCTAAATTTTTTATTCGATTTAGCGTTAAAAATGTATTTTAAAAAAAAATTAAAACATCAAGAACTCATTTAAATTTAATTATGAAATTTTACATTATTATAAAAATGCCTCCAATAATATATAGGTATTTGTAAAATTCGATTTAGCGTTAAAAATGTATTTAAAAAAAAAATAAAAAAACAAGAACTGATTTAAATTTAATTATGAAATTTTAATTGAAATTTTAATAAATTTAATATAATTTTTTTAAATTGATTTTTTTAAACAAAAGCGAATTTTCAAAAATTTTACATTATTATAAAAATGCCTCCAATAATATATAGGTATTTGTAAAATTCGATTTAGCGTTAAAAATGTATTTAAAAAAAAATAAATAAAAAAACAAGAACTGATTTAAATTTAATTATGAAATTTTAATTGAAAATTTGATTAAATTTAATATAATTTTTTTAAATTGATTTTTTTAAACAAAAGCAAATTTTCAAAAATTTTACATTATTATAAAAATGCCACCAATAATATATAGGTATTTGTAAAATTGTTCAGTCAGAATTTTGAAAAAGCAAAATTTGTACTACTAATTTTATCAAACAATATTTAAAAAAAAAAATTTAGTAGGTACTATAACTTACTTTTTTTGTTAATTTGCATTTATTTCTTAAAATCAGTCCGAAAATTTGTTTTTGCAATAATATTTCTAAAAAGATTTTCATTTTGTTCAAAATCAACAAAATAAAATTATTTTTAAATTATGTAAAACTCTTAATTTATTAAAAATAAAATTCAATTTTTTATGTTCTGTTTGTTCTGAACGTTCATATGAACAAAAAATTTGTTTTGTAGTTTTTTAAGTTCAAATTTTATTAGTTTTTATATTAAAAAAATAAATAAATAATTTAATAAATATTGAATAAATTTATTACTTTTTCATTGCAGTAGTAATTTTTAAAAATTTTAGACCCAAAAAATGGTTTTATTCATTTGCAAGTTGAAAACTTCAATCACATAATTTTTAATTTTCAATAATTGTAAAATTCAATTATTATGTAATTTGTTATTAAAGTAATTTTTAAAATTCATTAATTTTGTCTTATTCAATAATTTTTAAAATTGAATTTTTTTACTAATTCAATTTCAACCATTTTCCCCAAATTATGATTTAAATAGAATAGAAGGAAAAGAGAAATAAAAATAATTAAATAAAAAATTACAGTGCACCCCAACGGTTTATCCCGCCGAGCCATTCAATGCAAATGCTGATGCAGAAACATTGAGAAAGGCAATGAAAGCTTTTCACACTGACGAAAAGGCCATCATCGATGTTTTGACCCATCGTGGTATCGTTCAACGTCTTGAGATTGCCGAGGCATTCAAAACTCTCAACGGCAAAGATTTGATATCCGAATTGAAAAGTGCTCTCAGCGGCAAATTGGAGAGTGTGATTGTCGCCCTTATGACGCCATTGCCACATTATTATGCACAAGAATTGCACGATGCTGTCGCTGGACTTGGTACCGATGAGGAAGCAATTGTTGAAATTCTCTGCACCCTCAGTAATTATGGAATTCGCACCATTGCTACATTCTACGAAAATCGTAAGATTTTTTTTTCTCTCTCTTCTTTAATTTTAAATTTATTTATTTCCCATTTTTTTTAACCCAATAATTTTTAAAAATTTTGCAAATTTTTTAAGCATTTGGAAAAAAAATCAAACAATTTTATATAATTGATATAAAAATATTTTTTAAATTGGTTAATTGAAAAATTTGGAATAATTATTTATTAGTTATTTTACTGGTAAATTATTTTTAATTTTAAAATACTTTATATTTTACTTTATTATTTGATTCTTTCCTTTTTGATTTATCATTAATAATACATAAAAATAAATTCAATTCAAAGATAAAAAAAATATAAATGATTTATACTTATGAATAAATAATTATACTAATAAAAAGACACAATTAAAATAAAATTTAAAATTAATTTGTAAATTAGTTTTCATTAGGAATATTATTTTGAAATTGATTTCATTTATTATTTTTAAATATCGATTTTTAGAGAAATAACTTTTTAATATTAATTTTTTAATTCCTAGTGTAATTAAATTAGTTTATTGAATGCTATTTTTTCTTTTGAAATTTTTGATATTTCGAAACTCGAAGAGTAAACGAAAAGCCTACTTTGTTTGTCCTTCAACGTCTGTAACTTTCATCTTGAAATCAAATATATTATTGTGTTTCGATTATTTTCTAAAACTATTTTTAAAGATTTTTTTTTTTTAAACTTAATTGGATTTTGCTATATAAAGTTAATATTAAATTAAATTAATAAATAAAATTTGAATAAAAATTTAATAAATAAAAATGGAGAATAGAATAGTACAAAATGATTTTTAAAAAAATATATTTAAAATAGTTTTTTAATAATTTTCAAAAAAGTATAATTTTTGTGTCATGAATTCCAAGTAATGTAAATCATAGATTTTCTTTTTTTATTTTTTTTTTGAAGCGATTTCTAGTAAATGAGTCAGTGTAATTCCTCTTTCTTTAAAAGAAACAAGAACTGCACTGAAGTCATTAAACGTACATATGAAAAGAAGGACAGTGAGTAGGCATCTATATTTATAAGAATGCTAGCAAATATGATGTCATCACTTTTACGAGATAGTCAATTATTGATGATACGTGATGCTGTATACCTGTTAGCATTTTAAAAATACATTCATTGATTTTGTTCAATTTCACTCGAGTTATTTTTTTTATATATTTTATTTGTTTTTAAAATTCTTCTGATTCTGTTTTAAATTAAAAATAATTATAAATTAATTATTCTTATTTTGTAGGTTTTTCTTCTTGGTTTGAAAATGATTTAATCAGTTAATGATATTTTTTCCTTTTTTTTTAAATTATTTTTCATTACAATCACTAAGTTGTTTCAACAATTTTACTTTGTATCATTTTTTACTTGTTTTATAAATTTTATCATTTTTTACTATTTTTCTCGTATTATTTGGTTATTCTGTAACATTTTTAAAATTGTTTCTTTTTTTTTTTGCAATACTTTTTCTATTATATATTAAAATTTAAAACATACAATTTTTTTCATTTTGTTCAATCCTTTTTGTTTTATTTATAATTTAATTAAAAACAAGATTTTTTATATTATTTATCTACTTTTGTATTTTTTATATTACTAATTTTTATTTTATTTGTGTTTTCTTTCATTTATTCTACTTTTTTTTAATAATTTTTTTCAATATTTTACTGTTTTTTTACTTATTTTATTATATATAAACTGTTTTTTTTCATTTTATTCAAATATTGAATTTACAAGAACAAAAAATTTTTTCAACATTATTTTAAAGGAGTTTAAAAATTTTTATTTTTACAGTTTACGGAAGAACTTTGGAACATGACTTGAAAGGCGATACTTCTGGACATTTTAAACGTCTCTTGGTTTCATTGTGTCAAGCAAATCGTGATGAAAATCAAACCGTTGATCACAATCAAGCCGTTGAAGATGCACAAGCTCTCTTTGATGCCGGTAAGTGAAAGAAAAATTACCTTGAATTTTAAAAAATTTGTCAGGGTTACCACGCTAACTGAAAACTGAAACTTAGTCATTTTTCCCAACGAAATTCAAATCAAAAAAATTAAATGTGCATTTTCAAAGATTAACATGTTACATTTTTAAAAATAATTGAATTTCAGACAATTTTAAATTGGAATTTTTTGTACATTCATATTCCTGAATTTTTATTATACAAATTTCAGACAATAATTAAATTTTAGAAAATTTTTGATTTAAAATTTTTTTGAATAATGAAATTGGAATTTGTTGTAAATTTGAATTGCTTAAGATTTTTTTTTTTTTTTTTTTTTACAAATTTTTAACAATAATTGAGTTTTAGAGAATTTTTAATTAAAAATATTTGCAAATAATTGAAATTTTAAAGAATTTTCATTAAAATTTTTTTATTTATTAAATTTTCCAAGTTTATAAGTTAAATTTTTTGTTAATGATTAAATTTTAAAAGATTTTCAATTGAAAATTTGAAAAATATTTAAAAGTATGAAAATTTTATAATTTTAATTTGATAATTGCCTAAATAATTAAATTATTGGAGAATTTTTTGAAAATTATAAAATTTCCAGAATTTTAGTTAATTTTTTTTTATAAATAAATAAATTATATCGAAATAAATCAATATTGAATGAGTTGTAATTAAAAGTTTTGACTTTTTCTCTATTTAAAAGATTTTAAACTAAAAATTTCAAAAATAACTTTTTTAAATGAAATTAATGTATTAAAAGCAATAATTTTAATTTGGTAATTGCTTAAATAATTAAATTATTGAAGAAGTTTATTGAATTTTTTTTTTGAAATGATTTTATAAATAACATAATTGAATATGGATTTAATAGAAATAATTCAGATTTCATTCAGATCGAATTTTCATATGTCACTATTTTTTAAAATAGAATCATTTTATAAAAAAAACAAAATTCGAAAATGTTAGGAGAAAAAACCAAAATATTGTCTGGAAATCAGGGAAAATTATAATAAAAATTTTGTACAAGAAAAAAAAAAACATAAAACAATTTCTCTTTCGTTTTTCAGGAGAAAAACAATGGGGTACCGATGAATCGAAATTCAATCAAATTTTGGTGACACGTAGCTATCAACAACTACGTCAAACATTTTTGGAATATGACAAACTCGCTGGACATGATATCACGGTAGCAATCAGTAAAGAATTCTCCGGCTCTATTGAGAAAGGTCTTCTTGGAATTGGTAAGCAATAAAAAAAAATTGTTTATAAATTAAAATAATAATGTAAATTTTAATAAAAAAAAAAAAATATTTTAAAAATATTTTATATGTGGTAAATTTTTTTTAATTCTAAAATATTAAAAGGTTGCAAATTATTATTAAATTTTTTTTTTAATAGTCTATTTTCTTTTTCGTTTACAGTGAAATGCGTCAAGAGTAAAATTGCTTTCTTCGCTGAAAGACTTTATGCAAGTATGCACGGTCTTGGAACCAAGGATCGTACTTTAATTCGAATTATTGTTTCTCGAAGTGAAATTGATCTTGGTGATATTAAAAAGGCGTTTAACACCGTTTATGGAAAAGATTTGGAGTCCTACATTACCGTGAGTTTTATTTTATTCATTTTATTTACTTTATATTTATTTTTTCTATTTTTAATTAATTAATAAATAAAATAATAATATATTATTAATAAGTATATATATAATAAAAAAATTAAAATAAATTTTAAAAATAAATAAAAAAATGTTTATTTTTTCATTTTTTTTTTATTTTAGTTAATTTTTGTTTTTAATTATTCATTATGTTATAATTTTTTTTTTTTTATTCTTTTGTTATTTAATTTATTTACTTACTAGATTAGAAATGCAGAAATTACTATAAATTTTTTTTAAATTGAACTTTGGTGTAAAAAAACTGGAATTTAAATTTATAAATATAATAAGTTACCTTTTTAATTATATAAAAAATATTTTATTTTTCCCGAAATTATAATGAACAAATTTTTTTTTTCTTCTTCTTTTAGGGTGATACATCGGGTGATTACAGGAGAGCTCTTCTCAGTCTCGTAAAAGATTCACCATAAGATGTCGAAAAAAGAAGAAAACAAATTTTTACAATTTTTCTACGTGTCGCTCGCTTTGTTGGTGCACTGCCTAAAAAAAATCAAATGAATCTCTTATCGTCTTATGACATTTATACACAAATTTTTTTGAAAAGCTTCAATGCTTTTAATTAATCAACTTGAATAATTTTGAAAAGTTGAACGAGTAAGCGACCAGAATCAACGAAAAATTTAATTTAATACATATCTGTAAATTTTTGTTCTTTTTTTTTGTGTGTGAGAGGGTAAAAGACAAGGCATTTATTTTTTTTTCATTTTTTTAAGGTAACAGTTTAATAATGAAATCAAAATTTGGCTATTTATCCTCTATTTTTTTTTTAGTCAATCAAGTAGAAACAGATTTTTGTCTTAGTTATTTTCAAATTATTATTTTTTATTTAATTAGAAAAGATGTTTCTTTATTCGAGCAAATTGTAAAAAAAAAATGTTAAAAGAATTATTTTGTTCTTTATAGAAGTTTAATTATTGACAAATTATTAATTTTTTTTCTTATTGACAAATCATTGTTATTTGATGAGGCATTGTCATATATTATATTTATATATATAAAATTGTTACTATTGGAAAATCTGGTGCTTGAAAAACAAAAAAAAAGAAATTGTCTTTTGCTATAAGATAAAAAAAAGAGGCTTCAATTTTTTTTTCTAATGTTGCCTTATACACATATATTTGTATATAAATATAATACATTATATATTATATATATATATATATTCATATTTTTTTATGCAATTTTGCTATTGTCACTGTTTCAAGATTATACGTCTCTATTTTCTACAGAAAAAAAAAAAATTATATTATTTATTGACAATTGGTTGTTTCTCATTTGAAACTCCATACAAAGCAATGTTCACGCGTCAGTGTTGAAAATTTTAAATGCAAAAATAAAGAAATTAACATTAATTTTCTCCAATATTATTTATTTCCCTTTTTTCACGAAAACATTTCATTTTTTTTTTGTATTTTATATTCTAAGTTAATCTTCTATTCCATCTGATGTGATCTAAAAATGAAAAATAAAACAAATTTTATTTTATTTTTACATTTTGTTGAAAGATAAAAAAAAAAAAAAAATTACCTGAAATGTCATTGAAGTTATTCGCCTTAATGAAGATTTTATAATTTTCGCTGCAAATTGATTTTGTTTTATTGAAGCCAACATTAATCGTCGATGCATTCGATTGGCCGTCACTTCACCACCAGAACTGACAAGTTGAAAATTTTTTATCTCATTGTGTAATTGATTTTTCATTTCGTTTGTGACTATTATCACAATATTTGAAAGTGACAATTCTCTTAATAATTTTAATATATAAAAATAGGATTGCGTTCGTTTCCAACTGTCAGTTTGAAATTGAATTAAATGAGATAAACTGTCCACAATCAGAAGGCGAACCTTAGATGAAAAAAATTTAATTTTAACACTTAATTTTTAAATTAAAATATGAAATTTTTAATATAATTAATAATTTTCAGTAAATTCGATCATTTTTTTATTTTTATTAATCGTCTCCCACTTTTGAATTTTTGAAATCTAATGCCAAATTCGTAATCAGCGACCCCGAAAACCCCTGAGAAGTCGTTTTTTTTTAAATTTGACTTATTTTGAATTTTTCTTATTTTAGTGGCCATTTTGGAGGCGCCATTTTGAATTTTTAGAAACATCGAATTTATATAAATTAGAGAAATTTTTTTCTTATCAGAGAATGGATGAAAAATATCGTAATTAAAATTAAATAAAATCTCATATAATATAATTATAAATAATTAAAAATTAAATTCGATTTTTTAATTAATATTAAAATTACCTCTGGATTTTTCTTGACAAGTTTTACTATATTTTCGATAGTGTCATATAATTCAGTAACTGTCTGTGGAGAGAAAACGGCGATACTTTTCAAAATACATTCATTATTTAATGATAAATTTTTATATCGATTCCTGTATCCCTGAATTATATCTGAAAAAAAATTTTATTTTTCTTTTATATTTCAATTTTATTGTTTTTTTTTATGTTTGTAAGTTTGTATTTTCAAAACTCCCTCACAAAAGTATCGAAAGAAAAAAATTTGGCGCGAACTTTAAAATGAATTTTGGTTTTTGTAAAGCAAGGTTTTAAAAATTTATTTTAGTAACTCATACACAAAGTGTTATTTTATATTAATAAATACACTAATATAAATTATTTTTTATTTGAATTAATTTTGAATGTCAAACTAGTATTTCAAGCGACGTTGCAATTTTCTTGAACTCTCTGGCAACACTGTCAAGACAAATAGTAAATAAACACATGTTCAAAACATAAGAAAAATGCGTGAGTAAAACATAGTGTAATTTACAATGTGATTTTACATGAAAAATTTGAGTGAAATCTCTAAAAATTTAAGAATTGTGTAAATTTACTATTAATAATAATTAAAAAAATTCCGTGAAAAATGGGTATTCGTGGATTGGCAACATATATGGCACAACGTTCTGATTGGCATTTAAAACCATTTGAACTTCATAATACGTATTTAGTAATTGATGGCAATGCACTTGCTTCACAATTATATATTCAACATGCAAAATGCAATTGTTCATTTGGAGGTGATTATGATAAATATGCACGAACAATTTGTGAATTTTTCGACAGTCTCGCAAAATGCAACATAACCCCATTAGTTATTTTCGATGGCGGTTGCGAGGAAAAGAAAATTAAAACTGTTCGCAAAAGAATTCGGGATAAGGTAAAATAAATATAATTTAATGTTAAAAATAATAATAAAATAATAATAATGCAGTAAAAATAAAATAAAAAAAAAACAAACTTTTTTCAGCTAAAATTTTGTCACATGATTATTGTCTACTTTTATAATTTTGTTTACATTTTTTATCTTTTTTTATGATTCGATTAATTTGTTGATGTCATATTTCAAAAAAAAAAAAAAATTGAATTTATTAAAGTTTTTCATTTAAAAATTATTTAGGCCAAATATTTAATAAATCGAAATTTAAATTAGTTGAAGTATTTAATTGATTAAAATTGTAATCAATCTAAATTATTAAATTCAAATTTTTAATTATTTCTAATTTCTATTAGTCAAAAAATAAATTTATTAATTAATTGTAACTTAAAAATTAATGAAATTTCAATTTATCTAAAGATTAATTAAGATTATTTTTATATTTAAATATTAAATTGTCCAAATTTTAAATGATTTAAGTTTAAAATTATCCGAATTTTAATTGATTTAATTTTTAAATTATCCGAATTTCAATTTATTTAAATTTTAATTAATTTAATTTTTATTAAATTATCCGAATTTAAATTGGTTCAAATTTTAATTGATTTAATTTTTAAATTATCCGAATTTAAATTGGTTCAAATTTTAATTGATTTAAGTTTTAAATTAATCGAATTGAAATTTACCCCAAATTTTAACTGATTTAAATTTTAATTGATTTAAGTTTAAAATTATCCAAATTTTAATTTATCCAATTTTTCACCTTTTTAACATTTCAGTTGAATGAAAAAATCTTTTAAAAGAAAATTTAGTCAAATGTAAAAATTCGATACAATAAAAACTATATTATTGTAAGATATTATTATTATTATTATTATTTTTCAAATACTTTAAATTTTTGGAAAATTTTTACTTTCAATAATAATAATTTTTATTTTTCTTTCAACAACTATTTTGAAAATTTGTTTAATTTAATTGTTTAGAAAAGTGTTTTCAATTTTTTTAACGTTTTAATTAGATGTCGATTATCTATAAATGTTTTTTTTTTTTTAAATAATGCGATTGAAATTTAATTTTTTTTAAACTAGTCAATATTGAGTCAAAATTTTGTAAACTGTGCCATAATTTTTTAAAAAGTCGAAATTTTTTCATGAAATTTACGTTTTTCTATTCAAAACAGTAAATAAAAAATAAGAGTTGGACAGTTTTGACAAATTTAAAAATTTATATAAGTCATTGTTATAAATATATTTGTGCATACAAAATATTATTTTTTTTTAAATGTTAGAATTTCTAATAAAATTCTTGACAAGTTAATTATGAAATTAATATATTGAAAAAATTAATTATTATTTTGTAAATTTAAACCAATTAACTTTTTCTAAAGCAACAATCTCTCATAATAATTACATAATAATTAATTTACTCCTTAATTAAAAGAAGCTAAAAAAAAATTTTAAGTCGGTTTAATATAGATATTAATAAACTGAAAAATTATATTTTCAGGTAGGATCTGCTTTTGGTTACAATCCAACAACGCAAAGAAGTTACAAATTTTTCCCCCTTCTCATGAAGGAAGTTTTTAAGGAAATATTATCAAAAAAGGGTATAAATTATGTGCAAACACTTTTTGAAGCCGACGATGAAATTGCGTCAGTGGCACGAATTTTAAATTGTCCAGTTTTAAGTCTCGATTCTGATTTTTATATTTACAATGTAATGTACATTCCAATTAATACTCTTGATCCATTCATGGTACAAAATCGACCGGGAATTGGTTACGTGAAACGTTGTAAAATCTATAGAGTTGAAAGTCTCTTGAAACAATTTCCGGGTCTTGATTCTTTACATCTTCCACTTGCCTCGACATTGCTTGGCAATGATTATGTTAATTGTCGAACATTTAAAGAATTTTTCCTTCATTTGCGTCTTGCAAAAGCAACAAAAATGCGCTACAATCAACAACAACGACGAATTGAAGCAACAATACTTTGGTTGAGTAAACATTCATTTCACAATGCAATCACACAAATTCTCGCTCGACTACCACAGGAATCACGATCAAAAGTCTTGGAAATTATTGAGATGATTGTCAATGTTTATACGACCTCAGATCCACAAATACTCATTAGCCTTGGTTTCCCAATGGAATTTGTATCGGAAATGAAGATTAAATTTAAAAAGGAACCTTTTAAATATAAAAGTGATGATGATATTAAAAATTTTCGCCCTGAGGAAGATGTAGAAGACGGCGAGGAATTGGAATGCGGTAAGAAACTATTATTATTCATATATGAATTATTATTATTATTTATTATTATTATTAATTAATTAATTGAAACTGCGAAATTTTTTTCTATTTTTTCTTCTACAAATTTCTTTCCAATAATATAAAAAAATTTTCAATTCTGGGTCAATCCATTATATTTCGACTGAAGTCGTCGCTGACTAATTTTTAAAAATTATAATACTTTGCAGGAATGATTTTGAAGTTATCAAGATCACGAAATGAAAAGAATTTTATTAAAATTTTAATTATTTATTGCAAAATATGAATTTAAAGTATATGAGGTGCTGAAAACTGCCAATTTTTTAGCCATTAGAAAATATGCAAAAATACGTAGAATTTACCATAAAAATAAAAAATTTTTTTTGTAATTTACTAAGAATGAATAAATTTATCATTATCAATTGATGTAATTATTTAAATATGTGAAATAATATATAAAATATGATTTTCAAGTTCGCCTGTCAAATAACCTAAATTTGCAAATTTCATCTATAAAATGTGAGAAAGAGAAGTCATTAAATTGAAAAAAACCTTACCAAATATAAAGTACTTGTGACTAACTTTTAGTTTTTCTTAGCACTTTTTTCCTTTTTTCTTCATAAATGTGAAATAAAAAGCAATAAAAATTGGCACTTTGCTTATTTTCACTATTTTCAAATGTAAATAACTTTCTTGGAGAAAACTGAAAAATTACAAAACTTGGGCAATATCTAATTGATCACTAACTACACACACTGGAAAAAAATTCGCTTTGGTCCCGAAGATACTTTTTGAGATAATTAAGTTTAAACTTTTCACAATTTTTATCAGGTTAATGCATGTGATTTTTATAAAATTGAAGTTAGTTCAAATTGTTTAACCAATAAAACCTAACTTCGTTCTTAAAAAACTACATGTATTAACCTGATAAAAATTGTGAAAAGTTTAAACTTAATTATCTCAAAAAGTATCTTCGGGACCAAAGCGAATTTTTTTCCAGTGTGTGTAGTTAGTGATCAATTAGATATTGCCCAAGTTTTGTAATTTTTCAGTTTTCTCCAAGAAAGTTATTTACATTTGAAAATAGTGAAAATAAGCAAAGTGCCAATTTTTATTGCTTTTTATTTCACATTTATGAAGAAAAAATGAAAAAAGTGCTAAGAAAAACTAAAAGTTAGTCACAGCTACTTTATATTTGGTAAGGTTTTTTTCAATTTAATGACTTCTCTTTCTCACATTTTATAGATGAAATTTGCAAATTTAGGTTATTTGACAGGCGAACTTGAAAATCATATTTTATATATTATTTTACATATTTAAATAATTACATCAATTGATAATGATAAATTTATTCATTCTTAGTAAATTACAAAAAAAAATTTTTATTTTTATGGTAAATTCTACGTATTTTTGCATATTTTCTAATGGCTAAAAAATTGGCAGTTTTCAGCACCTCATATACTTTAAATTCATATTTTGCAATAAATAATTAAAATTTTAATAAAATTCTTTTCATTTCGTGATCTTGATAACTTCAAAATCATTCCTGCAAAGTATTATAATTTTTAAAAATTAGTCAGCGACGACTTCAGTCGAAATATAATGGATTGACCCTTCTACATAAAGCAAATTATTTCCTAACATTTTTTTAAATATTAAGATAAATTAATATTATTACATTTTCCTTAATTTTTTTTTAGAATGAATTATCATGAATTTTTCATAAAAATAATTAATTAGAATTTTTATTTAAAAGTATTTTATTAGAAATTATTATTTTTTTAACGAATTTTCATTTTTTCGAATCGAAATTCGACAAATCTTTTATTTTATACGAATTTTTGTTTAATAGAATTTTAATTTTACAATCATTTAATTCACGTGACTTTGTATTAAAAAGAATTTCAATTTAACAGAATTCTCATTCAATTGAATTTTATGTGACTCGAATTTTTAAATAACAGAAATTCCAATTCACCAAATTTTAATTTTGTACGAATTTATAATTGATAGAATTTTTTAAGACAACGAATTTTCATTTGTCCGAAATCACAAATGGCTGAACAAACAATCGACAGAAAAATTTCGGGGCAATTTTTAAAATTGACCAATTAGAAATTATCAAAAAAAAATCGTGATTTTTAACGACTTTTTTTTCAAAAATACGACTTTTTTCGACTTATTTTAACAAAATGCGACTTTTTTAAAAAAAATTTAAATAAAATACGTTTTTTTAGGATACAATGCAAATATTCTTCAGATCTTCTTTATTTCAATTATTTAACAAATTTTTAACTAAAATTCTTCACTAAATTAATTATTTTTAATAATTTTAATGAAAATCTTCACAAATTCAATTATCTGAAAACTATTTTTCAACTAAAATTTTTATGAAATTTAATAATTGTTTATAATTTAAAAAAAATTAGCAAATAAAATTACCAAAAATGTTTAATTCAAAATCACTTGAAATTAAATTATTTGCAAAAATTTTAATTATTTTTAATGATTTTTTATAATATTCTTCGAAAATTTAATTATCTGAAAGCATTTTGCAATGAAAAAAAATTTAAAGTTCAATTTTTATGTTTAATTTTTAATAAATTTTTCAATTACTATCAAAAATTTCGATTCAAAATCAACTAAAATTCAAATTATTTTTTAAAATTTCGATTGAAATTACATTATTTTCAAAATTTTCAATTTAAAATCAACTAAAATTCAATTATTTTCCAAAATTTCAATTTAATATCAATTGAAATTTAATTATTTTCAAAAAAATTTCAATTTAAAAGCTTCTAAAATTTAATTATTTCTAAAAATTTCCATCTAAAATTTTTTTAAATTTAATAATTTCAATTATAACTGTCGTGAAATCAAATTATTTTTAATGATTTTTATAATATTCTTCGAAAAATTATTATTTAAAAAAAATTTAATAAAAAATCTGTAAAATTTGATTAAGTTTTTGCCTCCAGTTATTTTGTTTATAAATATATATGTTTATAATATACATATTTATAAATAAATTATAAAAATGGAACTACAAGAATTTTTTTTTGAAATTTGTTCTACTTAAATAAAATTTTTAAAATTTGATTGTGAAATATTGGGGTCAAACCATTATATTTCAACTAAAGTGGTCGCTGACTAATTTTTAAAAATTATAATACTTTGCAGGAATGATTTTGAAGTTATCAAGATCACGAAATGAAAAGAATTTTATTAAAAATTTAAATATTTATTGTAAAATATGAATTTAAAGTATATGAGGTGCTAAAAACTGTCAATTTTTTAGCCATTAGAAAATATGCAAAAAAACATAGAATTTACCATAAAAATAAAAAAAAATTATTGGAATTTACTAAGAATGAATAAATTTATCATTATCAATTGATATAATTATTTAAAGATGTGAAGTAATATATAAAATATGATTTCCAAGTGCACCTGTCAAATAACCTAATTTTGCGATTTTTATTCATTAATTATAAAAAATAGAAAACATTAAATTAAATAAAAACTTACCAAATATGAAGTTCTTGCCATAAACTTTTAGAATTTCTTTGCACTTTTCTTCTTTTCTATTCATAAGTATGAAAAATTTAAAAAATAAAATAGCTACTTTGTCTATTTTCACTATTTTTGAAAGTCAATAACTTTCTTGGAGAAAAATGAAAAAATATGGGGTTTCGAAAATTATTTAAATACACACTACATATACATTCACTGAAAATTTCGCATTGGTCCCGAAGCTATTTTCGAAGATAAAGTAGATTAAAAATTTCGTATTTTTTAGGCTATATTGACATGGGTTTTAAAGGTATTAAATCAATGTGAAGTTTGTCGTCACCAGTGAACCACCTTCACATTGATTTAAAATCCATGTCCATATAGCCTAAAAAATACGAAATTTTTAATTTACTTTATCTTCGAAAATAGCTTCGGGACCAATGCGAAATTTTCAGTGAATGTATATGTAGTGTGTATTTAAATAATTTTCGAAACCCCATATTTTTTCATTTTTCTCCAAGAAAGTTATTGACTTTCAAAAATAGTGAAAATAGACAAAGTAGCTATTTTATTTTTTAAATTTTTCATACTTATGAATAGAAAAGAAGAAAAGTGCAAAGAAATTCTAAAAGTTTATGGCAAGAACTTCATATTTGGTAAGTTTTTATTTAATTTAATGTTTTCTATTTTTTATAATTAATGAATAAAAATCGCAAAATTAGGTTATTTGACAGGTGCACTTGGAAATCATATTTTATATATTACTTCACATCTTTAAATAATTATATCAATTGATAATGATAAATTTATTCATTCTTAGTAAATTCCAATAATTTTTTTTTATTTTTATGGTAAATTCTATGTTTTTTTGCATATTTTCTAATGGCTAAAAAATTGACAGTTTTTAGCACCTCATATACTTTAAATTCATATTTTACAATAAATATTTAAATTTTTAATAAAATTCTTTTCATTTCGTGATCTTGATAACTTCAAAATCATTCCTGCAAAGTATTATAATTTTTAAAAATTAGTCAGCGACCACTTTAGTTGAAATATAAAGGTTTGACCCATTGGAAATAAATTTTCTCGATAATATTTTTATAGATTATTCTCATTACAGAATTAATAAAATGAATTTAATATCTAATAACATTAGTTATTTAAAGAAAAATATTCATTAACCAATTAAATTTTGTTAAAATAAAAAAAATCGACTTTTTGGATTTTTTTCGAATATAAATCGACTAAAACGACTTTTTTTGGGCCTTAAAATCGATCCGAGGCCTGTAAAATTTTAAAAATTGCGCGGAAATCTTTCTGTCGATTGATTGATCGGCCATTTGTGATTTCGAACAAATGAAAATTCAACGTTTTAAAAATTTTATTAATCAAAAATTCGTGTATAAATTATAAATTCGGTGAATTGGAATTTCTGTTATTTAAAATTCGATTGAATAAGAATTTTGCTAAATTACAATTCAATTGAATTAAAATCCTCTTAATAAATTAAATAAAAAAATTGTGTTAAGAAAAATTCTGCGAAATAAAAATTCTTCCAAATAAAAGTTAAGTAAAAATTTGTTTAAAAAAAAAAAAAATTTGTCACATTTTGATTGAAAAAATGAAAATTCGTCTAAAAAAATAATTATTTCTATAATAAAATTCTAAATTTGAACTAATTATTTTTGATGGAATTAATATAAAATACTTAATTTTTATTTTAGACCTCACCGACTTAGAGGAAGAGGAAATGGTAAAAGACGATCCCGAATTTCGATACGATCCAAATATTGAAAAAGTTGCTCCTCCCTGGTTTATCGAAGAATTCCAAATGGGACGCTATGCTTCCTATTTCATTGACATATTCACAAGAAGATTTTACGTTTGTCCACCGCAAATTGAAGATTACTCATATCCCGCGGCAATAAAAATTAGTACAAAAATCATAAGCGTTATCTATAGTTTATTGACAAAAGGTCTTCAAGGACCAGTTTTACTTTCATATCTTTGTCGTGGTTCAGGTAAAAATGTTATTGTCAATAAATTGGAGGCCAAGGAAAATATGCTCGGTTGTCAATTACCAAATCTCTTTGATCTACGTAAATTACCAATAATAATTCGTAAGAAAATTTTAGATGAAACACTTGGTATTCCTGAAATGGCACTCGCTACATTACCCAATGAATGGCAACTTTATGTGGCAACAATAATTTTTTGGATGTCACAACAGGAGAAACCGTCGGGTACAAATTGTCATTTATATTCATTGCTCTATTCAATGCTTTTTAGTGTTGTTGATAATAAAATTGGTTATCATCGTTCTGAGCAATATTTTCATCAAAAATATGATCAACATATAAAAACAATTTTTTACAATCGTGAAAATCAACAACACGAACAATTAAATCAAAATTTAACAATTTTTCAAGCATACTGTCAAATTAACATTGACGATTGTTTATTGGCTGCGCCATTTTTATTGAATAATTTTGAAATTGATCAACATTTATTGTGGAATGTGAAAAAATTTAATATATCAATTGTTCATGCTTTTGCACAATTTCAAATTTGTCTTAGACATAGTGTACATCTTAATGCATTATTGGGATTTCCTTATCAGCAAACGAGAATTTCTGAATTATTTAATGGTACATTGGTGTATAATTTGTATACAAATTTTAAAGGACGCAATGACATTGACGCTTATGTTTTTCATCAATTGCAAAATTCGCCAACATTATTGAGACTCTTTAATCTTTTGTTAGCAAATATTAAGGGACTTTTGAAACAAGATGTTTTAGATAATAAAGTGAATTGTGCGCGTCGACGAAGAAAACGTAATAAAGTTAAAAATTGTGTAGAAACTACACAAATTATTGAACCTGAAGATTCAACTTCATTTTACGATGTAAATAATCGATTTTCGATGTTGAGAGGCAATTAGCTGTTTTGTTATTTTCTTTTATTTTCAATTGATTTAAGAAATACTGTTTATATATATATATTCGGTTTATACATTTTTGATTTTTATTCATTATTCTTTATGAACTTGTTCAAAATGTATATTTGTTTTGATTTTGATTAATGCATTTATAATAAAAAAAATATTTTTAAAGTTTATGTGAATTTTTGAAAATTTAATTCACAGGGTGTCTAACAACTGCTAGGAAAAAAATTTCCTGACTTTTCACACTAAAAAAAAAATTTATTTCATTCAAATACTTCAAATTATTTGAAAAATATTTAATTGGTTCAAATACTTTTTATTTGGATCGAAAAAATATGTATTTGATTCAAATAACTTGAATTATTTGAATCGCATTTATTTGAACCAAATAAATCGTATTTGGTTCAATTAAATAATTAATTGAATTAAATAAATGAATTTATTTAATACAAATAATGAGTTACTTGAAACTATTCATTCATTTATTTAACTCAAATATTTCGTTTATTTGATACAAATAAAAAGTATTTGACACAATAAATTTATGTAATTGATTCAAATAAACTGAATTATTTAATACAAATAATTCAATATTTAATCTTAATACATTATTTCATCAAGACAAATAAAAAAATATTTCAATCGATTAAATATTTATTTGAAACGATAATAATGATTTACTTGAAACAATTAATTTATTTATTTCACTCAAATAATTTTGTTTTATTGAAACAAATAAAAAGTATTTGATACAATAACTTCATTTAACTGATTCAAGTCAACTAAATTATTTAATACTAATATACTATTTTATCAAGACAAATAAAAAAATATTTTAATCAATTAAATGTTTATTTGAAACGAAAATAATGAGTTACTTACAACTATTAATTTATTTATTTCACTCAAATATTTCATTTTTTTGATACAAATAAAAAGCATTTGATACAATAAATTTATTAATTCTAATTAATTAAATTATTTAATATAAATAATGTGTTATTTAATGTTAATACACTATTTTATTATAGAAAAATAAAATATTTTGACCAATTAAATATTTAAGTGTAATGAGAATAATGAGTTATTTGATACTATTCATTTATTTATATAAATATTATTTAATATTCTAAGTCCAAAAGTCAAATATTTTTTCATCAACAAAAAATTAATGTTTACAATGATTCAGAACAACGAAAAACGCGTTTTTAATAAAAATATTATTGCTTCCTCGTGGAGGAAGCTTTGTAGTCCTTTCGTTTATAAAACTTTTCAAAGTGGCGGAAACAAATTTTTTTCTTTATAGAAACATGTTATATGAGATCCTGATCAATTGTCCGGATGTATGTATGTGTTTGTGTGTGTGTGGATCCCTTTTTTGTTTAGAAGATAACTTTAACAGGTTTTAATGGATTTAGATAAAATTTAGTAGGCTCATTTATCATATTAATATCTCAAATCTGACCAAACGATTTTTAAAAATACCTCAAAAAATAATTTTTATCGCCTTTTTTCCAAAAATTTTTTTTGGCGGTATTCCCGAACGATTATCTCGCGAATTTAATTTTTCGAAAATTTTTCAAAAATATTTTGTAGTGTAGCTCAGCATCCGCTGGACCAATCAAAAAGTGCGCCATACATTTTTTGATCAGAACTTTCTTCTAATCACTATGGCGGTATTCTCGAACGATTATCTAGCGAATTTAATTTTTCGAAAATTTTTCCGAATTTGTTTTCTAGTTTAGCTCAGCATCCGCTGGACCAATCAAAAAGTACGCCATACATTTTTTGTTCGCTACTTTTTGCTAAAGAATTTGGCGGTATTCCCGAACGATTATCTCGCGAATTTAATTTTTCGAAAATTTTTCAAAAATATTTTTGAGTGTAGCTCAGCATCCGCTGGACCAATCAAAAAGTGCGCCATACATTTTTTGTTCGAAACTTTTTCCCTATTTTATTGGTGGTATTCCCGAACGATTATCTCGCGAATTTAATTTTTCGAAAATTTTTCAAAAATATTTTTGAGTGTAGCTCAGCATCCGCTGGACCAATCAAAAAGTGCGCCATACATTTTTTGTTCGAAACTTTTTCCTAATTTTATTGGTGGTATTCCCGAACGATTATCTCGCGAATTTAATTTTTCGAAAATTTTTCAAAAATATTTTTGAGTGTAGCTCAGCATCCGCTGGACCAATCAAAAAGTGCGCCATACATTTTTTGTTCAGAACTTTCTTCTAATCACTATAGCGGTATTCCCGAACGATTATCTAGCGAATTTAATTTTTCGAAAATTTTTCCGAATTATTTTTGAGTGTAGCTCAGCATCCGTTGGACCAATCAAAAAGTACGCCATACATTTTTTGTTCGCTACTTTTTGCTAAAGAATTTGGCGGAATTCCCGAACGATTATCTCGCGAATTTAATTTTTCGAAAATTTTTCCGAATTTGTTTTCTAGTTTAGCTCAGCATCCGCTGGACCAATCAAAAAGTACGCCATACATTTTTTGTTCGCTACTTTTTGCTAAAGAATTTGGCGGTATTCCCGAACGATTATCTCGCGAATTTAATTTTTCGAAAATTTTTCAAAAATATTTTTGAGTGTAGCTCAGCATCCGCTGGACCAATCAAAAAGTGCGCCATACATTTTTTGTTCGAAACTTTTTCCTAATTTTATTGGTGGTATTCCCGAACGATTATCTCGCGAATTTAATTTTTCGAAAATTTTTCAAAAATATTTTTGAGTGTAGCTCAGCATCCGCTGGACCAATCAAAAAGTGCGCCATACATTTTTTGTTCAGAACTTTCTTCTAATCACTATAGCGGTATTCCCGAACGATTATCTAGCGAATTTAATTTTTCGAAAATTTTTCCGAATTATTTTTGAGTGTAGCTCAGCATCCGTTGGACCAATCAAAAAGTACGCCATACATTTTTTGTTCGCTACTTTTTGCTAAAGAATTTGGCGGTATTCCCGAACGATTATCTCGCGAATTTAATTTTTCGAAAATTTTTCAAAAATATTTTTGAGTGTAGCTCAGCATCCGCTGGACCAATCAAAAAGTGCGCCATACATTTTTTGTTCGAAACTTTTTCCCTATTTTATTGGTGGTATTCCCGAACGATTATCTCGCGAATTTAATTTTTCGAAAATTTTTCCAAAATATTTTTGAGTGTAGCTCAGCATCCGCTGGACCAATCAAAAAGTGCGCCATACATTTTTTGTTCGAAACTTTTTCCCTATTTTATTGGTGGTATTCCCGAACGATTATCTCGCGAATTTAATTTTTCGAAAATTTTTCCAAAATATTTTTGAGTGTAGCTCAGCATCCGCTGGACCAATCAAAAAGTGCGCCATACATTTTTTGTTCGAAACTTTTTCCTAATTTTATTGGTGGTATTCCCGAACGATTATCTCGCGAATTTAATTTTTCGAAAATTTTTCCAAAATATTTTTGAGTGTAGCTCAGCATCCGCTGGACCAATCAAAAAGTGCGCCATACATTTTTTGTTCAGAACTTTCTTCTAATCACTATAGCGGTATTCCCGAACGATTATCTCGCGAATTTAATTTTTCGAAAATTTTTCAAAAATATTTTTGAGTGTAGCTCAGCATCCGCTAGACCAATCAAAAAGTGCGTCATACATTTTTTGTTCAGAACTTTCTTCTAATCACTATGGCGGAATTCCCGAACGATTATCTAGCGAATTTAATTTTTCGAAAATTTTTCCGAATTTGTTTTCTAGTTTATCTCAGCATCCGCTGGACCAATCAAAAAGTACGCCATATATTTTTTGTTCGCTACTTTTTGCTAAAAAATTTGGCGGTATTCCCGAACGATTATCTCGCGAATTAAGTTTTTCGAAAATTTTTCCGAATTTGTTTTCTAGTTTAGCTCAGCATCCGCTGGACCAATCAAAAAGTACGCCATACATTTTTTGTTCGCTACTTTTTGCTAAAGAATTTGGCGGAATTCCCGAACGATTATCTCGCGAATTTAATTTTTCGAAAATTTTTCCAAAATATTTTTGAGTGTAGCTCAGCATCCGCTGGACCAATCAAAAAGTGCGCCATACATTTTTTGTTCGAAACTTTTTCCTAATTTTATTGGTGGTATTCCCGAACGATTATCTCGCGAATTTAATTTTTCGAAAATTTTTCCAAAATATTTTTGAGTGTAGCTCAGCATCCGCTGGACCAATCAAAAAGTACGCCATACATTTTTTGTTCGCTACTTTTTGCTAAAGAATTTGGCGGTATTCCCGAACGATTATCTCGCGAATTTAATTTTTCGAAAATTTTTCAAAAATATTTTTGAGTGTAGCTCAGCATCCGCTGGACCAATCAAAGAGTGCGCCATACATTTTTTGTTCAGAACTTTCTTCTAATCACTATGACGATATTTCCTAACGATTATCTGGGGAATTCAATTTTTTGAAAAATTTTCGAAATTATTTTTGAGTGCAGCTCAGCATCCGCTGGACCAATCAAAAAGTGCGCCATACATTTTTTATTCGAGACTTTTTCCGAAAATTTTTCCGAATTTGTTTTCTAGTTTAGCTCAGCATCCGCTGGACCAATGAAAAAGTGCGCTATACATTTTTTGTTTGCCACTTTTTTTATTTTTGTTCGAAACTTTTTGACTATTTTTGCTTCCTCGTGGAGGAAACTTTGTAGTCCTTTCGTTTATAAAACTTTTCAAAGTGGCGAAAACAAATTTTTTTCTTTATAGAAACATGTTATATGAGATCCTGATCAATTGTCCGGATGTATGTGTGTGTGTGTGTGTGTGTGTGTGTGGATCCCTTTTTTGTTTAGAAGATAACTTTAACAGGTTTTAATGGATTTAGATAAAATTTGGTAGGCTCATTTATCATATTAATATCTCAAATCTGAACAAAGGATTTTTAAAAATACCTCAAAAAAAAATTTTTATCGTCTTTTTTCCAAAAATTTTTTTTTAATCGAAAAAATTTTTAAATGGAAAAATTTAAGGTTATATATAATAAAATCGTATTCCTTACGTCAAGACGAATCGATCGATATATATAAATGAATTAGTTGAAAAATGAAAATATCCGATCATAGTATGTTGAAATTACATATTTTTTAATTTATTTATTTGAGTAAGAATTTAATTTAGAATTGGAAGAATTAGTAAATAAATATGTTATTTAGGGTCAGTCGGGGTAAATCCGAACGGGGGGTAAATCCGAACGCTAATTATTATTTCAGCTTAATTAAAATTTTTAAAAATAAGTTCGATATGAGAATTTTTACCTCAGATCCTCTTGAAGAGATTCTAAGTATTATCCCATTTTTTGTTTGTTAATTAGCAACAGCATAAACAAAGATAACAAGTATTGCAAAAAAGATTGAAAATCAAAGATGACACTCTTTCAGTATTTTGTCTCGTATTTGAAGAAAAAGAAGCTAAAAATTCATTTTATTATTTATAATTGTTTGTTATGAATACTAGAACAGAAACTATATTTGATTTTTGCCTTCTGTAAAATTTTATTAATAATATCAGACCGTTCGTATTTACCCAAGAAAATTGGAAAACTGGGGTAAATCCGAACGGTATTTTTAATAATTTTTTTTAACATCAAAGCCACACAAAATTGTTTTTATTTGATTACACTATTATTTTAACATTATAAAAGTACATAGAAAAAAGTTTTTCTTTCTATACGTATCCTCGTTAGTAATTAATAAGCAGAAACTTAATCTCTGTTCTCTCGAAGGAGTGTTTCAATTTTTTTGCCAAATGGTTTGTTGAAAAAAGTTTTTCAGGATCTTAATAAAATTTGGTATTCTACGGTTTTTGGGGTCGCTAATTACCAATTTGAAGTCAGTTTTTCAAAATTCAAAATGGCGGACGAGAATTAAAAAATTCATTGGATTCGCTCGAAAATTGTTACTCGGGGGGTTTCAGGGTTATCAAATTTGATCATTTTTAAAAATAAGTTTTAGGAAAGTCCGCCATTTTGAATTTAAAAAATTTAACTTTTATTTTTGTATTTACATTCAATCACTCCAAAATACTTTCTGTACCAAGTTTTGCAAAAATCCGTTATGATTTGATAAAGTTATTGAAGGTTTTAATTGTGTAATGCATTTTAATTTTTAACCTGTTTGATTTTTGTATTTATATATGATGCATTATTACATAATAGGTTTATTATCGTATTTTTTTTGAGTTTTTATATAAGTTTAACAATTGCAATACTTTAAATTTATTTTCCCTAAGATTTTTCTGAAATACAGTGGCGTTCGTATTTACCCCCATATTTTAGGAAAGTTGCAAAGTATCGAGGTAAATACGAACGCTAAGTTTCCTGCGATTGTAATTTATCAAAAAAATTTTCTACCCCATAAAATTGTTCTATGGAAGTAAAGTAACAACTTCATGCACCAGAATACCGGAAGTATTTTTTTTTTTAAGAAAAAACTTATGTTATTGTTGAAACTTACTAAAAGCGTTCGGATTTACCCCAGTTGACCCTATTCAATTCAAATTTTGATTTATTTGAATCAGAAAATTCTTACATTTTATGCAAATAAATAATGTATTTGGATCAAATAAAATAATAATTGCCGCAATTAAAGAGGTTTTAGTTTCAATTAAAACAATTACTTATGACAAATAATCGAATATTTGATTCAAGAAAATTTTTAGTTGTTTCAAGAAAAATATTTTATTATTGCAAATAAATATTTATTTGAATCAAAAAACATGCAGTATTGAATGAAATAATTTTCATAATTGATTTAAATAATTATTTATTAGCTTTGAATATTCCATTTATTTGATTTGAATATTTTGTATTTGATTCAAATAACTATTTATTTGATACGATAAAATAAAATACTTAGGTTTAGTAAATGTGTATTTGGTTCAAATACATATTTATTGGATAATAGACAAGTAAATGAGGTATTTGGATCAAATACTTTTTATTTGATTCAAATAAATTTTTTTTTCAGTGCACTGACCTAAATTACACTAAAAAAATTTTATTTTGATACAATTAAATCATTAACCTGTCTATTATCCACTAATTTCATATGTATTTGAACCAAATAAATGATGTTTCGTAAAAAATAAAATATTTAAGTGAAATAAATAAATTAATTGGTGACGTATAAATATTCTCAACATTTAATTTAAAAGAATTTTTACGGCGTCAAATCTTAAATTATCAAATTTTTATTTAGTAATATTATATAAAGCAGATTTTCTTGTAAAAGAACAATTTTTTTTAACAGAATTGTTATTTTAATAAATTTCGATTTATCAAAATATTTATTTAACAGAATTGTCATTGAATAAATCCACAATTAACAGAATTTCTATTTAACAAAATTCTTAATTAACAAAGTTTTTATTTTATTAAAGAAAATTGTAATTCCAACTAATTCTTATTTAACAGAATTCGCATTTAAGAAAAATTTCTACCTAGTTCTTTTTTTGTCAATTTTTATAGACATAAATTTCGTTTAATTGAAATTATATTAATTTAAAATTTAAAAAAGTATTAGAAAAAATGCTTTATAAGAGTTCTGCTAAATACCTAGAAATTCTTTTAAATCGAATTTTAGTTAAATGTAAATTGAAAATTTTGCATAATATAAAATCCACTTTATATAATTTTGCTAAATAGAAATTCGATAATTTAATATTCGACGCCTTAAAAATTTTTATAAGGTAAATGTGGGTATTAGCATTAAATAATAAATTATTCGTATTAATAAATAATTTACTTTATTTGAAGTTGAACCGATAAAATAAGAAATTTCCTGACTTTTCCCTGACCGTTAGACACCTTTTTACCTTTTAATTTGTCTTTTTTAAAAAAAAACAAAATTAAATCAGAGTGGCCACAAGAATTTCAATTTTCTGATATTTCGTTAATTATTAAAAAAAAAATTTCTTAAATTTAATGAATTATAATTTAGAATAATTTAGTTACAAAAACGTTTTCCTATACTATATTTCATTCTTTTCAATATAACAGGGATCAGGTACCTTTTTTTCTTAAAAATAGGTAAAAAGGTGACAAATAGATAAATTAAAATTCGAATAGTTTAAAATTTGGACAAATTGAAATTCAGATAATTTGAAATTTAAATTATAATTAATCTCTAAATAAATTGAAATTTCGTTAACTTTAATTTACGATCAATTAAATTTTCATTTGATTAAAATTTTAATTAATAAATTTTTTTTTTACCAATATAAATTAAATTTGATTAAAAGTTGAATAGCTTAAAATTTAAATTGAAAAATTAAAACACAGTACCTTTTTTCTTAAAATTATAGGTAAAAAGGTGAATTATTTACCAAAAATAGGTGACAAAAAAGTAATAATAAAAAAAAACAGATAGTTAAAACCAATTAACGTGCAAAATAATTTATTTGTATTTAGTCAAATTGTTCATCAAAGATTGAAACATTGATAGTTTAAAATTTTCGTAAATTAAAACTTAAATCAATAAAAATTTGGATAATTTGAAACTTAATTAAAATGTGAATAGATAATTCTAAAATTAAGTTAATTAAAAATTTAGACAAATTGAAATTTCAAATTTAATTAATCTTTAGATAAAGTGAGATTTCGTTTATTTTAACTTACGATTAATTAAATTTGCATTTAACCTCATGTAAAAAGATATTATCTATCTATGTTACATTATTATAATAAATAAATAATAAATAAATTAAATTTGCATTTGATTAAAATTTCAATAAATAAATTTGTTTTAACTAATAAAAATTAGAATTGATTGAAAGTTAGAGGAATTGAAATTTGGATAGATGAAAATTTAATTTAATTAAAATTTGCATGAATTAAAATTTAGACAGATTCAAATTTAGATAAATTGAATTTTGAATTGATGGTTGATTGGAAACTTCATTATACTTTCTAGAAACTTAGGAAAAAATTAGTTGCAATATCCATTCGTAAACTTATTACTAAATTCTCATTTTTAATCACTATATTTATTTTTCATTTATAAATTAATAAAATTTATCGAAAAAAAAGATAATAAATAAATAAAATTGTATAACATTTTGAATTTTCAAAAAAAAAAGAAAAGAAAACAAGCAAATCATATATTTGTAAATATATACTAACAAACTTTACGTATTTTTGTCTAAAAATATATATAGTATTTACACTTTATTTCATTTCATTGAAATTTCACAAGACTTAACTTTCTTTTTAGCAAAAAAAAGTTTATAAATTTCAATGACAATATTGTTCCTCATTTTCTAAATCATCATTCCAAATGATTTCCATAATAGTTTTTTTCAGTCTCGTTTTTTCAGGTTCCATTTTTTTCGCCAATTCACCAGCGACTAATTTACCAAATATCTCATCGGGATTTTCATCTCTTTTACATGTCTCAAGATACCTTTGAATAATTGATGATATATTTGCAATTATATCTTCCGTTGATTCAACGCATTTTCGTTTTCCAATTTTTCGTCGTTTATTGGAATTATCAGCTTTCTCTGATAACGACGTTCCCGATTCCGATGTACTTTCTTCATTTTGATAAACAACCTCAACATTACTTGGTAATGATGTGCCAACATTTAATGTTTCCGTTTTTATTGGTATTGAATTGCAATTTTGATTTTGATTTGATCCAACGAGTTGAACCATCACTGTTTTTGGCACTTGGACAAATGATAAATTACTTGATTTAAAATCAACAGATTGTCCAAGTCCAGTTGTTGAAATTGGTTTTATTTGCGTAAACGCCTGACCATTGAAAAGTGTTGTGCTTACATTTTCATTTTTTGCATTTTTCATTAGTTTTGAATCGAAATTTTTTGGTTTATGATAGACACTGAAAATGAAAAAAAAAGGGATTTTTAAACATTTTTTTTCTCTTTTTTTTTTACCTTTTGTTTTAAATTAAAATTTTTATTTACTTTCTTCGTTTGATGAATGGTTCGAGAAATCTTAATTCTTCATAAAACGGCCAAGTTGATAATTTAAATTTATTGTTTCCTGTTCGTTCGAATTCTTCTTGTACTCTTTTTTCCTTGGAAAATTTTTCCCTCAATCTCACCCATTTTTGTTGACATTCATTTACTAAAAATGTGAATTTTTTCTTTATTAATTTATTTGCTGTAAAATTCTTTTCTTTTCTTTTTTTTTTACTTTCGTGAAGATTAAACTAATTTAGAAAATTTATTTTAAATTCTACCAATTTTTTGAAAATAATTAAAAACTGCACAGGCAAAATTAGGAAATTTTAAATTAGTATAAAATAAATTAACAAAGAATACAATTTTCTTATTTTGTAGTTATTAATTATTACTAATTTAATTAAATGAATTTTTTTTCAAATTAATTAATAAAGATATATTTATACCAGAAATATTTAGAGATGCAGCAATTTCATGCCAAGTTTGTTCTCGTTTTTCAATGTCCTTAAAATCCTTTAATTCCTTATTGTAAAGATGAGAATTGTATTTAACTAAATCTATCAATAAATAATCTCCTTCTCTAATTGATTTTATTTGCACACGATTATCAGTATAATCCTGATGGTCTGCCATTCTAAAAAAATAAAAAAAATTTATATATATTTTTTTAAAATAAAATAAACAATAAAATATATAATATACAATTGAAAGAAAAAAATAAAGAAAATTATAAATATTTCAGGTAGAATTTTTAAAAAACATAATAATTAAAAAAAACAACAATCGCAAATTTTCACCAATACAATATTTACTCTAAGAGAAAGGAAAATAAATTTTAATAGAAAAATTTTAATTCTTTAAAATTAACATTATAAAAATTTTAAATATATTAAGAATAACAATTTTTGTATAAATAGTAATAAAAACAATAATACAAATAATAATAAAAATAAATAATAAAAATAATAATAATAATGGATATATTAATTTAAAATTTAATTTATTTTATCATTTTTATTATTATTGTTTTAAACATAATTTATTAATAAAAGTTAATGAATAGAATAAATATTATAAAAGAGAAAAATAATGATATAAAAATAATATTCAATTGAGAACAAACCTTTTATTGTTACATGTGATAAAATTTAAGATCCTTTGACACATGACAATATTTTTTAATCAATTTTCTATAACGAAGCATTTACTCACACTTGACAATTTAATTGATTTTCTAAATTTCTCATTAATAACAAATAAAAATTTACGAATTTTGAAGAAATTGTTACATATTTTCAAATAAAAAAACAATTAATAACCTCAAATTAAATTGTATATATAATAATTACCTTAAATTAGAAAGACATATTTTTTCTGAAATACTTTAAAATAAGTCCTTTTTTTAAAAAAAAAATAATTTCAAATATTTTTTTTTGATTTTCAAAAATTTTTCTAACCTTAAAAAAATGTCACTTTTTTTAAAAAATAAAAATAAACAAATATTTTCAAATGTTTCGATAATATTGTAACGAAAAATGAATAAAAAGGTAAAAAAAACAACAAAAAAATAACAAAAGAAGTTAATCAAAATCGGAATAATAAAAATAATATATTTTTAAAAGCTAATTACACAATCATTATAATACTTACGTCGTTATCCGCTACTGATTTTAAAACAAATGTCGCGCTTTCAAAAACTTCTTATCACATTATTATTTTTAAAAAACATTGAAAAGCTATTTTTGCAATTCATTTAAAATTTTATCACGTGCTTCTTTTTTTGTATATATGTAGGTATATCCAAAACTTGAGAAAATCTAGATTAATCTGGATTGGTTGACATAAGCCTTTGCAACTATATATTCGCAAGAATTTACATTACACAAATTTTTACTTTTGCTTTACATATTTCACTTTTCACATTTTTTTTTTTTTTTTTTATAAAAATATTGCAAAAAATCAATTTTTCACAATTATAAACAAAATACAAATACTTTAAATATAGGGGAAAATATTATTTTTATATAAAAAAAAATTAGGATGCAACAATCCTTTTTATTATGCGTGCAAAAATAGCTTATGCACCATAACCCCAATGCACGTAATGCAATTGGTGGAAAATATATGCTTTACGTTTTTCAATAATTAAAATTTCAACTTAAGAAAATTAACCAATCGCTGGCAATTTCTTTTTTTGAAAATTAACTTTCATTGGTTGACAATTTTCTTTACTGTGTCTATTCATTGAGCGGTAAATTTAAACAATAATTTTTTTTTTACATTAATAAAATTTGAAATTTCTTGTATTTTTAAAAGAAAAACAGAAAGAAAATAAAAAATAGTAAAATTATTCCACTAAACATAAGCTGCATTAAATTAACTGATTACAACAAAAAAAAGTCTTGTCACATTTATGATTGTTGTGTTTTTGAATTTAAATCAGAAACATAACCTTAAAATATAAATTTCTTTTATAAAGTTTGTTATGAAATTAAATTTAAAAAAAGGTGAAATAAATTTAAGTGACAATTATGAAAATATAAAAAAAATAAATAAAAATAATGGAGGAAATTAAATATGTAAAAGAAATTTTTCAAAATTACTTCAAAGACGAGTTAAAAAGTAAAGAGATTGGTGCTTTTTATGTAAACACATGTCAAACTTGTCATTGTTTGGATAAATTGGAAAAACGTTTAAAAAGATGTAGTGGTTGTCATATGATTTCTTATTGTGACACTGAACATCAAGCAAAACATTGGCCAATTCATAAGAAATTATGTAAAATTGTTAAACAAATTATTTCCACCAATGGCGGTAATAGTATTTTTGGTAATACAAAAGGATTGGATAAAAAAAATTGGGTAAAGTTTTTTGTTCAAATTAATTTAAATTTGTTTAATTTCATTTCAAAGAAAAATTTCCTTGATTTATAAAGAAATTTTTTTTATGTATAACAAAGAATTTATTTTTTAACTCAAAAAACTTAATTTTTTTTTTAAATCAAAAAAATTTTTCTTGCGTAAATGCGTAAAATTGTTGATTCAAAAAAAAAAAACATTTAATATTGAAAATAAAATTTGTTAATTTTAGGTAATCGGTTTGAGAAATTCTGACCCTTTTACGAAATTTTAATTATATAACAATTTGTTAAATTAATTTTTGAAAATTTAATTATTTTCAAAATATTGTAATTCAAATTTTTTTAAAATAAACTTAGTTTTTTAATAGAATTTTAAATAAATTCTTCGAAAACTGAATTATTTAAAAAAAAATTAACTTAACATCTTTTTATAAATAATTTTTTTTATAGGAAAATTTCTTTTTATAAAATAATATTAAAACTTTCTATAGGAGCTGATTCAAAATTAAATTATTTTTATAATTTCCATATAATTATTTTATTTACAAAAAATTTTAACTGAAACTCTTGGCAAATTTGATCATTTTTAGGAATTTTAATCAATTTCGTTTTAGTTATTTAAACAATTTACAAATTAAGAAAATATTGTTTTTAACAAATTAATTGTACTACTACGGAAATTTATTTATTTAAAATTTTTTTTATTGTAAAAAACTTACATTTAAATATATAAAAAATTTTCAATATTGCAAGTCTTCTAAAATTTAAATATTGACAAAAAATGTAATTAATGTTATCTTACGAATTTGAATGAATTTTATCGATATAAAATTTTTGTTTCTACCACATTTAATACCTTAGATTTGAATTTTTCTGCATAAGATTTAATGTTAACCGTTTGTAAGTGAGATTTTTATATTTCAAAATATAAATATTATTTGAGAAAATTTTAATAATTGAAAGTTTCGTTTTAAAATTCAAAGTGATTTCAAGGTTTTCAAGAACAAAAATAAAGCGACCTTCTTTTTTTTCAAAAAATAACTTTAAAATTAAAATATCTAAAATTTTTACTTCATATTTTCTAAAAACTTATAAAATTATATATTTTGCAGGTTTCGGATGGACTTTGGAATGCAAAAAAAGTCGTTTTATTCGAATTTTATTTTATTTCAATTAAATTTAATTAGTTAATAAATACGAACTAAGATAAATTTTCAAAATTTTGATTAAGTAGGACAAATTTCTAAAAAGAAAATTCTCAAAGTTCCATTTTTTCAATTTTTTAAAGCCTAATTTAAACACAATTTATTCGAATTTTAAATTTTGGCACAGTTTTCAGTTTCAATAGTCGACAATAATTAAGTTTTACAGATTTTTAAATTAAATTTTTTTTTAAATAATTGAATTGCAAAAGATTTTAAAATTAAAATAAATTTTCTGCAAAATTTAAATTGCTGTAGCTTTTTTTTTTATTTCTGACAACAATTTACATTTCGATATTTTATTTAAAACTTTTTTAAGTAATTGAATTTTTAAAGAAATATTACAATTTATTTTTGAAAATAATTGAATTTTGGATGTTATAGTTGAAATTTTTAGAAAAAATCAAATCAAATTTTACAGAATCGAAAAATAATTTTAAATAACCTTTTTTTCAAATAATTGAATTTTCAAAGATTTACAATTCAGATTTTTGAAAATAATTGAATTTCCTGTGATTTTTTATTAAAATTTTTGTTAATTTCTGTTGCCGAAGAATTTATAAGAACTTACAGACAAAAATTGAACATTAAAAGTTTTTTTATTAAAAAATGCTCTTAGATAATTGAATATTCGAAGAATATTAATGAGCCAAAAGTTTTGAACGTTTAAATGAACAAACTTTTTTTTGAACCTTCTTTTAGTACGAATTTTATTACAAAATATTGTTTTAAATATCTTAAAAGAAGTTATTGATTTAATATTTGTTTAATTTACTATTTTATTTAACATTGACATCATAATTTTTAATAATTTATAGATTGAAAAAAATATTTTGTTCATTTGAACGTTCAGAACTTTTGGCTCATGAATATTATATAAATTATTAAAAAAATAAATAAATTTCCAAAGTTTTTAATTGAAAAATGCTTTCTAATAATTGAATTTTATAAGAGTTACAGTTGAAATTTTTTAAAATAATTGAATTTCAAAAGATTTTGTTAAATTTCAAACAATAATTAAATTTTACAGAATTCAAAACAATTTTTATCAAATAAATTAAAATTTTTTTTTAAAGTAATTGAATTTTCGAAGATTTACAATTTATATTTTCGAAAATAATTGAACTTCAAGTGATTTTTGATTGAAATTTTTGCTGACCAATTATTAGATTTTAGAAAGTTTTAAATGGAAAATTTTATAAATAATTAAATTTTAAGATTTTAAATTGAAATTTTTGAAAATAATTGAATTTCAAGTGATTTTGAATAGAAATTTTTGGTAATTTTATTTGTTGATTTTTTTTTTTAATTTTAAACAATTATTGCAATTTTATAAAATTTTTAATTGAAAAGTAGTTTAAGATAATTGAATTTGTGAAAAATATCATAAAACTTATTGAAAATAATTAATTTAGAGAAGAATTTTAGTTAAAAATTTGTTAAATAATTTAAATTTCTGTATTGTTTAATGAAAAAAATATATTTTGTTTAAAAAATTTTTGTAAAAAATGTAATAAATCATAATTTTTCGACTTTTTATATTATCTATTTTTTTGAATTATTTTATTTTCATTTGTTTTTTTTTTGTAAATAATATTGTTTTCTACTTTCTATTTTTAGGTAAAATTAAAAATGAATACAATGCTAATTGTATCGTTAAAAATTGGACGAGAATTAACGACAAGTGAAAAAGACATGTTTCTATTTCCACGAATTTGTTGTATTTGTCATGATAGTAATCCACGAGCATTGACAAATTGTCTCGATTGTGGAAATTCAAGTTTTTGCAATGATCACATTTCCGATGCAAGACATAAAATAATTTGTTCATCATTTGCGCTTGGTTATAAGTTAAATCTTTTTAAAATGTTTACCAGCAATATAAATATTTTGGAAATTATTTCCATTCTTCTTGATAAAAATCCAATTAATTGCATTCCATTTGCAGTGGAAAATTACAATTTTCTTTCAATGAGACAATTTATTGATATTTTTTTCCATGAAATAATTAACAATCATTGTCAAGAAAATATGATGAGTTCTGATTTTTGGGAAATTTTTATTGCTGACTATTTTACAAGACCATTGACACTATTGTCGGCAATAAAACTTATAAATTACAAAGTGGAACGTGAATTAATTATTCACATTATTGGATCCTATTATCTTGAATTAAATGGAATTTTCGCGTGGGAAATTATTTTTCATCTAATGACGAGTATCGAAAAATTGACAATTATTCTCATTGGTCCAGGCCTTGTTGAGGATAAAATAATGAATCCTCAACTTTGTGAGAATTGTCAAAAATTAGGAAAATTTATTAATGTTATTGTGGATAATAATTATTATCATGAATTTATGAACGAAGAAATGAGACCAAATTTAATTATTGGTTATAATTTGGGAATAAGTGAATACGAGAATCCAGGAAGTTTGGACGATACATGGCAATTGACAATTTTGAAAATAGTCGAAATTAATGTACCATTTATAATGACTTGTTACACTGAGGGCGAAGCTCACAAAGATCATGAAAGAATAAATTATTTTTTAAAAACAAAAAGCAAAACAAATACGAATTACACTATTCTACAACGAAATAAATTTGCCAGTTTAACACCTTTCAGGGATTTTGAGACTGAAGGTGTATTTTATCAAAATGATTATTTAATAGTTTATAATAATTGGCAAAAATTAATAGTAAATAATTGAAAGAAAAAAAAAAATTTCTTTTTTAATTTCAATAAAACTCAACTAGTATTAAAATATAAAAATTAAATTTTGTTTTATGTAATTTTTTTTCTAATTAAATAAATAATATTTTTGTAACTTGTGTGCTTTCTAATTTAATTTTATACTCTCTCTCTATTTTTTCTTTCTTTTTCTTTTGTTTGTGAATTAAGTAAAAGAACCGTAAATAAATTGTTTTTTTTTTTAAATAATAGTTCATATTTTGTTAAATAATAAATTCAGTTTTTCTTCTTGTTTCAAAGAAGCCGATAAATTGTAAATAAAAATGTTTTTAAAATTATTGACAAGTATTACCTGTCACTCGAAGTGAAGAAAATCCGTCTCTCGTGTCAATGTAAACAACTTTTCCATTTAATCCTCCATACCTTTTATTCAATTGAACGGCAACACTCGCTTGAAAACTGAAAGAAAAAGGAATTTATAAAAATTGAAAAAAAAAACTTTATTTTTAATAGGGAATTTTAAAAAATTCTAATAATATTTATTATTAATAAAAATTGAATTTAAATTTAAAAAATAAAAATTCAATAGTTATTATTATTTGAAACGATATCAAGGTGTCCAGAAAAATTTTGAAAAAAATTCAAAGCCTTTTAAAAATACTTTGAAAATTAAATTCAATATTTTTCAAAATTTTAATGAAATTCTTCTTCTTCTTCAAAAAAAAAAAAAAATATCAAATATTTCCAAAATTTACAATCAAATTTTACGAAACTTCAATTATTTAAAATTCCTTTCATTAAATATCGAAAATTTAATTATTTTCAAAATTGTTATTCAAATTTATCAGAAACTTAATTTTTAACAGAATTTTAAATAAATTCAATTCGAAACTGAAACTTTTCGCAAATTTTATTATTTTCAGAAATTTTAATTAACATTGTTAATTATTTTAAAAATTTACAAATTAAAAATTTTGCTTTTAACACATTAAATTTAATACTTAGGTAATTTATTTATTTTTAAAAAACGTTGTAGATATTATGAATTTTTCAAGAATTTAATTATTCTTAAAATATTTAATTCTATTGTAATGGCAAATAGAGTAAATTAAAATTAAAAAATTGTAATTTTGAAAATTATTGTGAAATTGATTTTTAAATATTTCAAATGACAAAAAATTGAAAAAAAAAATAATAATTAATATTTTTTGCTGTGATTGTTTTTGAAAGTATTAAACTTATATCTTATAGATATCAAATTGAAAATATTTTCAGTTTTCTTTTCTTTTAATTAAATTTTTGAAATTTTACCAAATTTGTGATTTTCCAGATCCCATTGCTCCACATAATTCTGTTATTGTTCCACATTGAAATCCTCGATCCAAAATTATATTCAAATTCTTTGAAGGAATTAATATTATCTCTTTCTTATTCATTTTCTATATACATTGAAAAAGAAATGAATTATATGTAAAAGGAAAAAAAAATATATTTAAATTGTAAATGTTATTTCATGTAATTAATTTACAAAAATAATAAATAGTAAAAGAAAAAATTCATACATTAAATAAATGTATTATCTCCACTGTTTTAGGGACATCATTTAAATGTTTCAGTTCTTTGTCCGTTAAATATTTATGTGACTCTATAAAAAAAAAAAAACCAGAGTTTATTACATAATTATTAATAAATAAAAATTTAATAAAATAAATTATAAACAGAATAAAATCAATAAATTAACAAATATTAAATATAATAATAATAATATCAATATAATATACAATAAATATATGTATATAATATAATAGTTGTTAATTTATTCATTTTATTCTTTATAATTTGTTATTTTATTAATTTTTTATTTCAGAATAATAAATAATAATTTATTATCTCTTACCTTTATTATTTTGAATATCTTCGAGAAAATTGTAACCATTTATCATTAATTTAGCGATAGATTCTTGTGAAATTTTTAAAGTTGAAATAGGACGTAACATATCGTTCAAATAATAATACATATAGTTTCTAATCTAAATCGTAAAAAACTTTTCACATTATTTCTATTTTGAATTAAAAATAAGTTAACACTTACTTACACTTAACACTTAACACTTAAAATTCAAATATTTAATAAATACAGACAACTCTAAAATTAAAAACCGGGCACCAAAAGTTGTTTGTTTATTTTAACGATTCTAACCTTAAAAAAAGAATCAAAACAAAATTCAAATCTTGCGGAAGTTTATATAAACAGCTGTTTCCGTATTTTACAAACGCAATGTTACCAAATTAAAATTGCACAAAAAAATGTTTGTTTATTATTTTTCGATATTATCTTTTAAAGAATCATTTTTATAAAGTAATAAATATCTTTGTTTTCATAAATTTAAGTACTTTTAATCAAATATTTCATATATTTTCGATTTATCTATTTTCACTTAATAAAAATCAGAAATTTATTTTGTTGCCGATCAGCGTGATTCACAAGAAAGGCGCGAAATTTCAAATAATTTGAATTCTATTTTCTTCATTTCTTTCGATTAAATTTAATCTAACATTTTTTTTTTTGCAAAAATATATCTATAAATATTATAATAAAAAGATTGTAAAAAAAACTCAGTTGATATTTGTTAATACCAGAAAATAAAATAAAAAAAATGTTTACCAAAGATATTGTTTCCCAACTTTGGCAACAGTGTTTTCATTCCCGAAATTTCCCTTTGTTACTTTTTCATATCGCTCTTTGTCTCTCATTTAAATTCCATTTTTTATCTCCATCAAGATTATAAATCAACAATGAACACGATAAAGTAGAATATAAGATTATCTCGATTGTGTGTGATTAAAAAAAAAACAAAGATATAAAAGTGCAAAATTCGGAAAACAATCAGTGTCTATTTAGTGTTTGAACATAACCTTTAAAAACAGAAAATGACTTTCTACGATTTCTTCAATTTTCTTTTTAATGACTATGACGATGACGACGACGACAGTTACAATTATTATTACAATTATCCACATAATCGAAAAACAGTGATAAAAAAAGATCCCTCCGAAGAGCAAATTGATTTTTTCTATCCAAATGCATGTCAAATTTGTGGTTCGCGTAAAAATCTTAAACGTTGCGCCAAATGTCAAATGATTTCCTATTGCGGTAAACAACATCAAACTGAACATTGGCGTTTACATAAATATTATTGCACATTACTCGTTGATTTACGTAAAAAACATGGTTATCTACGCAATGCAAAAGATCGTAAATTAGAAAATTGGACACAAGCTAAAATCGCTTGTATCAATAATATTTCAACGAAACTTGGACGTCAGCTCACTTTATATGAACAAAAAGTGATTAAATTTATACGCTCCTGTTGCATTTGTCATGATATCGATAATAATAAACTTATAAATTGTCCAAATTGCGCGAGTATTAGTATTTGTCATCAGCATAAAGATCGTTTTCATGATATTCATACAAAAGAAAAATGCGATGGTTTCAAACTTTGCTATCAACTTGATTGCGAGCAACTTCAATTGATAAAAGAAAAGGAGGAAATGAAGAAAAACAAAAAAAAGAATGACAGCGATTCGGAATATTTTAATAATTCCAGCGATGATTTTGATTCTAATGATGGTTCCACTTCCGATGATGAAAATAATTCAAATTTAAAAATCACTGAATTAAAATCAGCGCCAATGAATTTAATTCCATATTTCCAACAACAACAACCGAATTCAACATTAAAATTCATCGAAATGTCATCAATTCAAAAAAAATCATTTAATGAAATAAAATTAAAGGATTTTGAAATTCCCGATTTATTCATAAAGCCATTGATTGCATATCGTGCATTACAAATTTTAAATCAATTAAATAAATTTGATATTACAATTCATTTAATTGATTCACAAATTAATGATCTTGAAACATGTGATTTTTGGGAAACATTATTTCATTTAATTCCCAATTTAAAAATATTAAAAATTATTATTTTAAATCCAGAATTTTCAAAACAATGTCTACAGCCAAATTTATGTACAAAATGTACAAATAGCGAGAAAACATTGATATTTGAAATGAAAAAAATTCATTACATTGATTATTGTAAGGATAAAATGTATATAATGCCAAATTTGATAATTGGTTATTTGACATTATTAAAGGAAACTCATGATGCTTTAAAAGCAATTGGAAATTTGAAAATAATACCATTGGCATTGACGACAAATTGTCAGAAAACAACAAATGAAAATTATAAAATTGTGGAAAAATTGTTTGGAAAAAATATTATTCATCAACATTATTATGAAAAGAATTTATTTTGTGGCGTTAAACCAATAATGGATTATAAAACTGATGGATTTTATTACAATCATCAATTTTTGACACTTTATAAAAATTTCGATGTAATCGAAATGAGAAAACGGAAAATGAATGGAATTCAAAAATAGACACACACAAGTTTTAGGTTTGTTTTTTATTTTTAATTTTGAAAAATAAGAAAAAAAAATTTTCCATCGAAAAACAGATTTTCTTTTCTTTTTATATTTGAATTTTTTGATTTGAAATAATATTTATCGAATGAGCTGAAAAAAGTTATCGTTTGAAATAAAAGGAAAATTTATTTTTATATTGCATTTCTTGAGTAAAAAAAAAAAACTTTTGGGAGTTAAAACAAAAATATTTTCAAATCAAAAATTAAATATTTTTAATAATATTTTTTGTTAAAACGGAAACACAAAGTTTATGAAAAATCTGTTTTAGAGAATGAAAGAAAAAACTTATTTTTTTTTATAATATATTAGGTAAGAGGAGGCAAATAGATAAAAGTAATTTTAAAATTTAAAAACTTTTATTTAAAGTACTTATTGTATGACAGCAATTTTTATTCCTTGCCAAGAACCGTTTATTAATATAAAATAAAAAAATAAGTAAAAAAAATTTCCTTGACGTAAAAAATAGTCGAAAACACTGAAATCAAGTTTTCATTTATTTTCCTATTTTCTATAAAAACGCAGGAGCTTTTGAAACGAAAGACTATTTTACAAATATAAATTGTTTAAATACTTATTTTATTTTTAATTAAAAAAAGATATTAAACAATTTTCAAGATTTTGATTGTACATTTTTTAATTTTTTTTTCTCGAAAATACAACTTTTTTCGACTTTTGTTATAAGATGCGAATTTTTCGCCTTTTTTACATTTTTTTTTTTTTTTACAAAATTTTTAAATAAAATTCGTCTTTTTTAGTTAGGTATCTAAAAAAAAGTGAACTTTCAAATGAGCGAAATCATTTATATAAATTTTTTTTAGAAATTACTACAGCAATGAAAAATAATAAGTATATTAATTAATAAATTATTGAAATTAAGTTTTGGACGCAGGAAAAAATATTTTGTAATAAAATTCGAAGTTAAAAAAGTAGCAAATAAATTTTTCGTTCATTTTAATGAATTTCTTCAAGAATTCAGTTATCTTCAACTATTTTTTAATTAAAAATTTTATGAATTTCAATAATTTTCTAAAATTTAAACGAAAATTATCAAATAAAATTACCAACAATTTTAATAGAAAATTATTTAAAATTCAATTATTTTCAAAACTTTTAATTTAAAAGATAAAATTTAATTATTTTTAAAATTTTCCATTTAAAACTTTCCAAAATTTAATAATTTCAACTCTAACTCCTCTGAAATTCAATTATTTTCGAAAATTTCAATTTTAAATCTAAAATTCAATTATCTAAAAACATTTTTCAATTAGGAACTTTTGAAGTTCAATTTTTATCTATAATTTCTAATAAATTTTTCAGCAACAGAAATGTAAATAAAAAATAATTTGAAGTTTAATTATTTTCAAAAATTATTAAAAATTATTTTCAAAAGCAACAGAAATTTAAATAAAAAATAATTTGAAGTTTAATTATTTTCAAAAATCTGGATTGTAAATTTTCGAAAATTCAATTATTTTTGAAAAAAAAGTTATGTAATGAATTATTTTCAATTCTATAAAATTTAATTACTATCTGAAACTTAACAATATCTTTTGAAAGACTTTTTCGATTATTAAAACTGAAAAGTATACAAAAATTTTAAATTCGAGTAAATTAATTACTTTAAAAAATTTTTAAAATGGAACTTTAAGAATTTTTTTAAAGAAAATTGACTTTTTGTGGAATGTAAATTGACTAAAAATTATAAAAAACCGACTTTTTACCTTTAATTTAATATTTTCTCGCAAACCAATTGAAGTTCCTTTTTTATATTCATATTATTTTATTGGAATTTAAAAAAGTTTTGGCATTACAATAGAATTAAAGATTTTAAGAATAATCAAATTTTTGAAAAATTCATAATTTTTCTAAAAAAAAAAATTAAACTTCTGACAAATTAAAATTACAATTATGAAAATAATTGAATTTTTTATGATATTTAATAAAAAGAATTTTAAGTAATTGAAATTTTGTAAAGTTTCCTTGAAAATTTTCAAAACCTAATTGACTTTTTTTCCTAAAGAATAAAATTTTTGAAAGCATTGAATTTAATTTTCAAAGTATTTTAATTGAAATTTCACAGTTTTTTGATGTCACAAAAAGATTAAATTTTAAAGGAATTAAAAATTGCTACATTAAAGATGAATTTTGAAGAAAAAAAATTATTTTAAATCTTAGAAACCTTTATTTTAGATAATTTTTATTTTAAGTTGAAACATTGTTTTTTTTACTTATTTTCAGGATTTGTAATTTTTTTTTACAAAACAAAGGAAGGAAGAGGACAAAAATTCAAAGGATGATGGGGAAAAAAGGAAGATTATTGTAATCTTGTAAAAAAAGATTTTTTTATATTGTCAAGATCATTATTATAAAGCAATGAAGTATATCTTCGTACTCAATTATCCAGTATTTTATGCTTTTAAAATTAAAATTAACTATATTATTATTATTATTTTTTTTATATAAGAAAACGATTTCAGTAAGTAAACAAGACTGATAAATTTCAAATGTAAATAATTTGAACAAATTTTTCTCAGGTGTTCATTAAGTTAAGATGTTAAAATGTTCATATATAATCGTATGCTTGTAATTTTATTTCAATACTGTTTTTTTTTCTATGTTAAATTTTCGTTTATTTTTAGTTTTAAAATTGAAAATAATTTAAAGTTCGTTAAGAAATGTGATTAATGTTGAAAACGAAAAAAAAAAAGTATTTGCAGAAATCTCTTTAAAATAATATAAATTCAATTTTTCACCGTTCTTTTTTTAATTTTAGTAACATTATAAAAAGAAAAAAAAATCAAAGTTTAAAAAAAATTATATTACTAAGTAAACAATAAAAATACAATTTTTATTTTAGATTTTCTCTTCTTTTTCCAAAGAAAAAAAATTGTAGTTTATTCATAACTGTATTATAAATTAAAATATAATAAAGAATATTTTTTACATATTTCCTCGTTTATTTACTTTTATTTTAAAAAATTATTTTCTATTTTGTTGAAAAGAATTTTTTTGAAAAATTAATTAATTTCTTAAATTAATTTTTCATTTTTTCTCTTTTAAACATTTTTGTCAAAAAAAAATTTTATTTTGAGTGTCACTTTTTTTGATACGATCCTGAATTCTCACTTGGTATGACTTTCACTTTATTAAAAGACTTGCAGTTTTTTTTTTTTTTTTTAATGTCTTCTTAAAGTAAACATGTAAAATAAAGTTTTTTTGATGTGTGACAGTGACAAATATTTGTTGCAAAAAAAAATTTATGAAATAAAGAAAAATGAAACAAATTATATTTGACTTGAAATTACAAGAAGATATATATTCACACATTGAATAACAATGTTGTACATAATACAAAGCTCACGTTTGATAACGAATCTAAATTTATCATCAGCATAACTTAAAGTTAGTTTATCATCAATCGTTTTGTAATGAGAGCAAAAGTTAATTATTAACGTTTTAAGAAAACTGAATTATAAACAAATTGAATAAAAAATTTTATTTTAATATTCAATTAAATTTATTACAAATTTTAAGTGCTCAAAAAAAAGTATTTTAAAAAATTTAGTTTTTTACATTTTTTTTTGTTTGTTTCAGTTAAACTAATTATTAATGATAAAACGATTTCAATTTAATTATTAGAATTCAAATTGAAATTTTTTATTTGGATAAAAGGATTTTTATTTGTTAATAAAACTTTCCATCGACTTCAAAGGTATAAAGTTTATATTTTTACATTGTAAATATAAAGTTAATATAAAAAAGTAAAAAAAAACTAAATTAATTTTATTTCAAAAATATTAATAAAATATAAATTTTTTTTTTGAAATGTTAAGAAAAATTTTGTAGCTTTTATAATAATTAAAAAATTAATTTTCTTTAAAATCTTTTTAATTTTTCGAAAGTTGAAAAACATTTTAATTTTTTTCTAACTCATCTTTAAAATGAAATTTCCAGTAGATTAAAAAAAGAAAATATTCGTAATTTTTTTTCTGATTGGTAATATTTTTTTCCAGTGTGCTAAAAACAAACATTGAAAATGGCAAATATTTTAAGTGGACCGCCTTTTTTAAACGAATGGAACTACAAATCAATGGCAGAATTTCTTTATGAAAAAATAACACTACATGCATCGTCAACAGCTTTAGTAATATAAAAATTGTTTTTTTTTTAATCTTTTTTTTTTACTAAATGAAAATCAGTATAATTTTAAATTTGATGAATTTTTTTTATTTTTTAACAAATGTCAAGGAAAGAAAAAACTTACTTTGATAAATTTAAATTAATTGCAAATTTTTTATTACAATTTTTTTTTGTCTTTTATGGTCTTTGAACTCAAAAATTATTTTGTTAAAATTTTCATTTGTCGGAATTTCATTATCTAGAATTTATTTTGAATTGAATTTTTATTTTTTCGAATTATTATTCAACAGAAATATTATAAATATAAATATTATTTGCTCAAATTTCCATTAGACAGAATAGTCACTTAAAATAATTTTTTATTTTACAGAAAGAGTTTTAGAAAGAATTTTTTTTCTATCCGAATTTTCATTTGTTCGAATTTACATTTCACAGAATTCTTAAAACGACGAATTTTTTTTTTTTAACAGAAAAATTTTGGCGCAAATTTCAATATTGACCAATTAAAATGAACAAAATTATAATTGGTTAATTTTCAAAATTTGCTCCTAAAGTTTTTTTTATATTTATTCAGAGAAATGAAAATTCTGTAAAATAAAAATTTGTCATTTTAAGAATTCTGTAAAATTTAAATTCGAACAAATGAAAATTTGTCTAGAAAAGAATTATTTCTGATATTTTTTTTTTTGTAAAATAAAAATTCTTTTAAATGACTATTCTGTTGCATGAAAAATTTGAGTAAATAATAATTCTAAGAAATTCGATGAAATAAAAAATTTGTTTTAAAATTATAGTAACAATTTTGTAATATAGAAATTTGGTTTAAAGAAATTTCTGTTATAATTCGAACAAATAAAAGTTTGACTTAAAATAAATTCTAGGTAATAAAATTCTAACAAATTAAGTATAGACCTTATTCATGCGTCAATTTTTTTTTTCACTTCTTTTTCTAGATAAGTATGGAAACCAAAGAAGAATTATCGTACAAGGAATTTTTGGAAAAAAGTCTAAAATTATCAGTGGCACTTGAAAAAATGGGATTAAAAGTAAATGATAAAATTGGAATATGTAGTGAAAACAATTTAAATTTTTGCATTGCACTTCTAGCGAGTATATTCTTAGGTGTGACAATTTGTCCCCTAAATCCTGCGTACACTGAACAAGAATTTATTCACGTATTAAAAATTTCAAAACCAAAATATATTTTTGTCTCAACAATAATTGTAGAGAAAATGATGAATGTCGTCGATAAATTGTCATGGTCACCAAAATTAATTTTACTCAATGATAAAAGTGATAATTTCAAAATTTTACGGATCTCAAATTTAATAGCTAACATAACAAATGTTGATGTGAAAAATTTTCAATTTCCCATAATTAACAAAAATGAACATATTTTATTGATTGCATGTTCAAGTGGTACAACGGGTTTACCAAAAGGTGTTATGTTGAGTGATAAAAATTTTTTAATTCAATTACAATATTATGTTGAGGATAGGTTTCCATTTTTTCAAAATGCCGGTAGTTTTTTGGGACTATTGCCAATGTTTCATGGTTATGGATTTTTTATTTTTCTTGTGAGTCTCACTTTTGGCAATAAAATAATTGTAATGTCACGATTTGACGAACGACTTTTTTTACAAGCTGTACAAGATTATCGAATTAAAACATTGCCACTTGTTCCGCCGTTGTTGGTGTTTTTGGCAAAAAGTCCAATTGTCGATGAATTTGATTTGTCATGCGTCAAACAAATATCGTTAGTAGAATTTTTTTTATTTACTATTTATTATTAATAAATATTTACTATTTACTAAATTATTAATAATTATACTTAAATCAAAAGAAAAAGAGGCGTATGAATATTTTCCATAAAAATCAATGAAGAGAATTTTCTTTTTAAAGAATTTTATTATATCTATAATTATTTTTTAGACGAATTTTCATTTTTCAAAATAGCATTTAAGAGAATTTCCTTTTTAAACCAATTTTTAATTAACAAAATTTTAAGGCACCGAATTTTTGACAAAATTTTTATTCTACACAATATTTATTTTACTGAACTATTTTCCCAATTTTTCTTTTTTTAAATTGTAATTTAACCAAATATTATAATTTAGCAAAATTCCCATTAAACATAAATTTTTTGTGTTTCTAATTTTTAAATATCAGAATTTCCAATTCATCGAATTTTTATTTGTATGAATTTTTATTTAAAAGAATTCTTTAATTGCTAAATTTACATTTGTCCGAAACTGCAATTGACCGAAAAATTAATCGACCAAAAAGATTTTGGCGTGAATTTTAAAATTAACCAATCACAAGTTTCTTGAATAAATTCTAATTAGTTAATTTTAAAATTCGCTAATTCGAAAATAAAAATTTAAGTAAAAATTCGTTTAAAAAGAAAATATTCTGTCAAATCTTAATTTGAAAAATAATAATTCATCTAAAAAATAATTATTTCTAATATAATTCTTTAAAATGAAAATTTTAACTAATAATTTTTATGTGAAATTCAAACTTTTATTTTAATTTAATAACAGTCGAAAGTTTAATTTCAAAATTGAATTTTTAGTCGTTTTCAATTTATTTAAGTAAAAGAAAAAAAAACAGTAAAATCGATTAATTGATTTAATTGTTTTTATAAACAATTCTTTTTTATATAGATGTGGAGCGGCTCCGGTATCTGAAAATATTAAAGAAGCAGTGCAAAAGAAATTTAAACTTCCGTTTATTAGAAACGGCTATGGATTAACGGAAACTACAGTTTCATTAATGAATTCATGTAACGAATTGAAATCTGAAAGTGTCGGAATTTTACGACCAGGATTAAAAGGTTAGAAAAATATTATTATTATTATTATTATTTAACAAATTTTTTGCATCTTTAATTTTTCAAATAGAACTCGAAATTTTTGAAAAATTAAAATTCGATTTTTATTCATAATTTAAATTATTTTAATTGTTAATTTTTTTTACACTTTTTTCATGATTCTCAATATTCAATAATATTTTAATGTCAAAAAACACTACTTTCGCATAAACAGAAAAAAGTTTAGAATGTGAAAAATTAGATCTGAAGAAAAGTTTATTTATCAGAAACTGAATTTAAAAAAAAAAATTTCAAAATTTGATCACTTCGGTTTTGAGAAAATCACTTTTTATAAATAATTTCAATTTTTTAGATGCTTCCGTTGTAAATATTAAAATTATTAAAAAATAATTACACTTTTGGAAGAGTTATATTTGAAATTTTTAAAAATAATTAAATTTCAAATGATTTTTTTTTATTTTAGACAATAATTAAATTTTACAGAATTGAAAATAATTTATCGATTAATTTTAGATAACACTTTTTAATAGTAATTGAGTTTTCAAAGATTTACAATTTAAATTTTTGAAATTAATTGAACTTCAAGTGATTTTTAATTGAAATGTTTGGTGATGAAGAATTTATTATAGAAATTACAAACCAAAATTAAATTTTAAATTTTTTAAATGAAAAATGCTTTGAAGTAATTGAATTTGCGAAGAATATTATAAAAATCATTTAAAATCGTTAAATTTTTGAAGAGTTACCTACAGTTGACATTTTTAGAAATAATTAAATTTTAGATTTTAAATTGAAATTTTTCAAAATAATTGAATTCAAGTGATTTTGAATTGAAATTTTTTGGTGATTTCTGTTGCTGAAAAATTTATTAGAAATTACAGACAAAAATTAAATTTCAAAAGTTTTTAATTCAAAAATCATTTGAGATAATTGAATTTTCGAAGAATATTATAAAATCATTAAAAATAATTGAATTTCGGAAGAGTTAATTAAATAATTAAAATTATTACATTTCAAAAAGTTTTAGATGGAAAATTTTAAAAAATAATTAAATTTTGAAAAGGTTTTAAATTAAAAATTTTTGGTAATTTTATTTTTAAATTGTAAACAATTGTTGAATTTCATAAAATTTTTTATTGTATAATAATTAAAAATAATTGAATTTTGTGAAGAATTTCATTAAAATTATTAAAAATAATTAATTTTGAGATAAATTTTAGTTAAAAATTTGTTAAATAATTGAAATAAAGAGGATCTGAAGAAGATCTGCATTGTATACTAAAGAAAACGTATTTTGTTTCAAAAATTTGTAAAAAAAAAAAAAAAGTTGAAAAAGTTGCATCTTATTTAAATAAGTCGAAAAAGCTTTATATGTAGTCCGAGACTTGTATAAATAATCAATATATATCAATATAGTATAAAAAAGAAATGAAAAGAAAAACCTTGTAATTGTGATATTTTTTATGAATTTTCTAGCAAAAGTCATTTCAATAGATGGAAATAGTAATGAACCACTGGGACCAAATCGTGAAGGTGAATTATGCTTTAAAGGAGAAATTATAATGAAAGGATATTATGGCGATGAAAAAGCAACGCGAGCTGCAATTGACGAAGATGGTTTTCTTCACACCGGTGATGTTGGTTATTACGATGAAGATGGTTGTTTTTTCATTGTCGACAGAGTGAAAGAACTTATTAAATATAAAGGATTTCAAGTTCCGCCCGCGGAGTTGGAAGCTATTTTATTGACACATCCGGCAATTAAGGATGCTGCAGTCATTGGAATGCCTGATGAAGTTGCTGGAGAATTACCACTTGCTTTTGTTGTTAAACAATCTGGTGTCAATGTTTCTCCTAGGGAAATCATTCAATACGTTAATGGTAATTATAATTGAAAAATTCACATAATTAATAACAGAAAATAATAATAATTGATCTCGATTGAGAATTATCGAAGAAAAATTCAATTTTCGCGACGCATGAATATATTCAGGATTATATGCCACTCTTAAAAATTTTTAATTCTTTTTGAATTTATTTTTTCTTTTACCATGAAAATATTTAAATCACTTTGAATTTTAAGGGAAGGCACCACTCCCTATTTTGACTCACTTAAAGAATTAATTTAATTTAATTGAAAAATATTTTAAATTATTGAAATGCCAAGATTTTGATTTAGAGTTATTAGAAATAATTATTTCAACAAAAAATTTGAATCAAAATTTTTAATAATAATTGAATTTTAGGAGATTTTGAATTAAAATTTTAGTACATTAGAATTGATGAAAATTATTAACAAAGTTTCAAACAGTAATTGAATTTTACAGAATTTTTAATTAAAAAATGTTTTATTTAATTGAATTTTTAAATAATTGAATTTTTGGAGATTTTTAATTAAAATTGTTGTTTTAAAATACTAAATATTCTATTAATTAAAATTGTTTTTTTAAAATACTAAAATAAGCTTCCGATACCAAGTTCTAGGATTTATTTTTTGAAATACAAATTTTTGACAATTAAAATTTTTTAAATTAATTGAATTTCAGAAGATTTGAAATTTGGAATTTTTTGTAATTTCATACTCCTGAATTTGTTTTTATACAAATTTTAGACAATAATTAAATTTTCGAAAATTTTTGATAAAATTTTTTTTAAATAATTGAATTTTTGGAAAACTATTAAAATTATTAACAATTATTGATTTATCGAAGAATTTTAAATAAAAATTTATAATTTTTCAATAGTTTCTATTAAAATTTTTAGAATTAATTAAATTTCAAAAAATTAAAAATTTCAATTGCTGAAGATTTTTTTTAAACAAAAATTTTTTTTATGTATATTAAATGAAAATTCGACGAAGTTAAAGAATCTGTTACATAAAAAATTCGGCTAAATTGAAATTCTATAATATTCATGCGTCACATAATTTTTCATTAAAAAAATTAATCAAAAAGAAATTTTATTTTATTATTAAATTTTTTTTCAACGAAAAGTAAATAATTTATACATGTAAAAGATTAATTTTGTGAGTAATTGAGTTAAGTTTAGAAAAAATATTTTTAAATTATCATTCAGTACAAATCAAGGTGTAATCAATTCGACTTGGTTTCATTGATAATAATTTTACAATTTTTTTTTTCTTATATTATTTACCAAGTGATAAATTCATATTATTGAGTCATTCAATTAATTTTCGTTTCTTGCTATCATTATATATTTAAAAAAAAAATCTAATTATGAAAACGTTGAATAATTTGAGTTTTAATATCAAAATATTGAAAATAATTGATAATAATTATATTATTATTAATATTATTAATTATAAAATTATTAATTATAAATTTTTCTTAATTAGTAGCGTAGAATTACTTAATAAAAAAAAGTTAATTAATCAAGTATTAAAAAAAAAATATTTTTTTCGCAAATTATATTTTTTAAAAGAAGTTAGTCTAATTTTTGGAATTTTTGAAAAAAATCATAACTTCCATATTTCAGAACGAGTTTCGTCACATAAACGTCTAAGGGCTGGAGTTCGATTTATTGAAGCAATTCCTAAAAATCCCTCCGGCAAAATTCTTCGACGAGAATTACGAAATATTTTAAAATCGAAAATTTAGTGATTAATGTTTTAACAACAATACTAATATATATATAATTCTGAAAATTTAATTTTTAGATTTTGTGTTCCAAACAAAAAAATAATTAAGTCTTTAATAAATATAAGGAAATTTATCATAAGTAAAAAAATTATTAATTTAAATAATTTTTACATTTTTAAGTAAACAATTTTATAAATTTAACAAATTTAATAAAATAAAAAAAGTAAAACTTTTTGAATTTTTTTTCAAAAACTGAAAATGCATGATATATTAACGTAACTATTAAAAAAACGAATTGATTAATTATAACGGTATTTTAAAGAAAAGTAGAAAAAAAATTGCTTCCTCATGGAAAGAAAAAGTTCATAATGTTGACTATTAATATGACGTGAATTTTATTTTATTATCGAACGTTTTGTTCCCTCATAAATAAATAGCTAATTACTCTTAATTGTAAGTAAAATATGGTGTTTAAATAAGTTCAATCGATTCGTTTTCGTGAGAATAAAATTTTCTTATTTGTAAATTTGTTTTGAATTTATGATATGAAAAACGTATTTTTTTTTCGTTTTTGTAAAAATGTGTATTTTAAAAATGATACACTACTTTTTAGTCTAGAAGGACAGATAACAAAAAAATTTAAATAGATATTATGCCGGTAATCCTTGTATTTGATTTTTATATTGATGACTGTAATAAAATTTGATATGAGAAAACGTTCTTGAGATTTACAAAAAAAAGAGAAAAAAAAACGATGACACTCAAAATCGTTAACTTTATAAAGCTTCCTGTATGAGAAAAATAATGATAAATAAATGTACAACTGTCGAATTTTAATATAAAAGAATTCTCATTTAATAAAATTTTAAGTGATTCAAATTTTTAAATAAGTAGAATTTACAAATCACCGAATTTTTATTTATCCGAAAATATTATTCGCACGAATTTTTATCTGATAGAATTCTTAAAACGCTCATTTTTCATTTTACCGAAATTATAAATTTTCACGATTTGTAAAATTATTAAAATTATTAAATTAAAATTGAGATTAAATTATTAAAATTATCGATAAAATTGTAATTGGTCAATTTTAAAATTCGGGTTGAAATCATTTTTTGTCGATTGTTTGTTTGGTTTTTAGAAATTTCGGTCAAATGAAAAATCGGCGTTTTCAAAAATTCCATCAAATTCTCGAAGAAATATAAATTCAAACAAATAAAGATTCGGATAAATTGGAAATTCTGGTTTTTCAAAATTCAACTCATTTAAAATTAATGTTAAATGAGAATTTTACTAAATTAAAATTCGGCAAAATTACAATTCTTTCTATAATAAACAAATGAATGAGAAATTTTGTAAAGAGTGAAAATTACATAAATAAAAATTGGAGGATTTAAAAAATTTATTTAAATAAAAATTCAGGCTAATTTAAATTCGATTGAAGAGAAATTTTGAAAAATGAAAATTCAACTTAAAGAAAATTTTATCTGTTGCAATTTTTTAAAATAAAAATTCTAATTATTATAAATTAATATATTGCATTATAATTATTGTAAAAGTTATTTTAAAAAAGCGGTGGGGGGGGGGTAGTGAAATTTTCCATAAAAAGAAATTCTTAGAATTTTTATTTTAAAGAATTTTAGTAGATATTTTTTTAGACGAATTTTTATTTTCAAATTCAATTATTTTTAATTATTATACAATTAAAAATTTTATGAAATTCAACAATTGTTTACAATTTAAAAATAAAATTACCAAAAAATTTTAATTTAAAACCTTTTCAAAATTTAATTATTTTTTAAAATTTTCCATCTAAAACTTTTTGAAATGTAATAATTTCAATTATAACTCTTCCGAAATTCAATTATTTTTAATGATTTTATAATATTCTTCGAAAATTCAATTATTTCAAATGATTTTTGAATTAAAAATTTTTGAAATTTAATTTTTGTCTGTAATTTCTAATAAATTTTTCCGCAATAGAAATCACCAAAATATTTCAATTCAAAATCACTTGAATTCAATTATTTTGAAAAATTTCAATTTAAAATCTAAAATTTAATTATTTCTAAAAATGTCAACTGTAGGTAACTCTTCAAAAATTTAACGATTTTAAATGATTTTTATAATATTCTTCGCAAATTCAATTACTTCAAAGCATTTTTCATTTAAAAAATTTAAAATTTAATTTTGGTTTGTAATTTCTATAATAAATTCTTCATCACCAAACATTTCAATTAAAAATCACTTAAAGTTCAATTAATTTCAAAAATTTAAATTGTAAATCTTTGAAAACTCAATTACTATTAAAAAGTGTTATCTAAAATTAATCGATAAATTATTTTCAATTCTGTAAAATTTAATTATTGTCTAAAATAAAAAAAAATCATTTGAAATTTAATTATTTTTAAAAATTTCAAATATAACTCTTCCAAAAGTGTAATTATTTTTTAATAATTTTAATATTTACAACGGAAGCATCTAAAAAATTGAAATTATTTATAAAAAGTGATTTTCTCAAAACCGAAGTGATCAAATTTTGAAATTTTTTTTTTTAAATTCAGTTTCTGATAAATAAACTTTTCTTCAGATCTAATTTTTCACATTCTAAACTTTTTTCTGTTTATGCGAAAGTAGTGTTTTTTGACATTAAAATATTATTGAATATTGAGAATCATGAAAAAAGTGTAAAAAGAAATTAACAATTAAAATAATTTAAATTATGAATAAAAATCGAATTTTAATTTTTCAAAAATTTCGAGTTCTATTTGAAAAATTAAAGATGCAAAAAATTTGTTTAATAATAATAATAATAATAATATTTTTCTAACCTTTTAATCCTGGTCGTAAAATTCCGACACTTTCAGATTTTAATTTGTTACATGAATTCATTAATGAAACTGTAGTTTCCGTTAATCCATAGCCGTTTCTAATAAACGGAAGTTTAAATTTCTTTTGCACTGCTTCTTTAATATTTTCAGATACCGGCGCCGCTCCACATCTATATATAAAAAAGAATTGTTTATAAAATCAAATAAATCAATCAATCGATTTTACTGTTTTTTTTTCTTTTACTTAAATAAATTGAAAACGACTAAAAATTCAATTTTGAAATTAAACTTCCGACTGGTTATTAAATTAAAATAAATGTTTGAATTTCACATAAAAATTATTAGTTAAAATTTTCATTTTAAAGAATTATATTAGTTATAATTATTTTTTAGATGAATTATTATTTTTCGAATTAAGATTTGACAGAATATTTTCTTTTTAAACGAATTTTTACTTAAATTTTTATTTTCGAATTAGGGAATTTTAAAATTAACCAATTAGAATTTACTCAAGAAAATTGTGATTGGTTAATTCTAAAATTCGCGCCGAAATCTTTTTGTTGATTATTTTTTTCTGTCAATTGCAGTTTCGGACAAATGTAAATTCCGCTATTAAAGAATTCTATTAAATAACAATTCGTACAAATGAAAATTCAAAAAAAAAAGAAAGAAAGAAAATTCGGTGAATTGTAAATTCTGATATTTAAAAATTAGAAATACCAAAAATTTATGTTTAATTAGAATTTTTTGCTAAATTATAATATTCGTTTAAATTACAATTTTTTAAAATAAAAATTTTCTAAATAGAAATTCTGTAAAATAAAAATTCTGTCAAATTTTAATTCGAAAAATGATAATTCGTTCTAAAAAATAATTAATAATTATATTTAATAAAATTTTTTCAAATTAAAATTTTAACTAATTATTTTTATAGAAAATTAAAATGTAATTTACAAAAGTATTTGATTATAAATTTCGAAGAATTGAGTAAAATTTCGATTAAAAAATAATTTTTTTTAACAAAAATTAAAAAAGCGCCCCCAAAATAATTATAACAATAAATTTTGAAAAATATAATAATTGTCATCGAAGTTGTAGCAAAGAAGAAAAAAAAACAAAGGTAAAAAAGTAATTAATCATACATTATCAACTTTTGTTCAATAATATGAGTATAATATATATATCTGATAATATGAGACTGGTATTCCAAGGCTGTAGAAATTTAATTTTTTTTTTCTCTCCAATGTGTACTTAACAGAAAGTTTCCAAGAAAATATTTCTTGCATCCGCACGTGTTTATTTCCGAATCTTTTATTCTCAATATTCTCTCTAAAGTTCGGCGGCAGTTGGCAGTTGGTATGTCAATAGATTTCCAACAATAAAACGATGAGAGTATAGAGAGGACAATAATAATTCAACTTCGAGGGAGAGCGGTTCTCTGCGACTTTTCAAAAGCGAGTATAGTAGTCGTGCATTAGTTTTCCGCTACGATCAATGTTTCTAGAGTCACGGTGCAGCTGATACTCTGTAATACATATATAATAATAATGTTCTCTGATAACAAGTCATAAAAAAGCGGTGATTCGAATTAGATTATTTATTTTTATCATTAAATGAAGAATGACAGTGCATCAAAATAATTTTTTTTAAAAAAGTATTTTAATTTAATTGACAAATTAGAATAGTAATTGTTTTACTATTTTTTTTTATCTAGTCTTCAGCAAGTGAACATAATTTTCTCCAAAGGAGGTGAATTCATAAATTAAATATCATATAATATTATTTAATATATTGTCGAAATAGTGAAATTATTTGCAATAATGCAGAATAATACAAAAATAAAAGATAACATTATTTATGGTCCACCGTATGAAAAAGAATTTCCCTATGAATCGATTGGGGAATATTTTTTGGAAACCATGGGAAAACATGGTTCGTCAACTGCACTGGTGAGATAATTATTTCGTAATTATTTTTTTTTTTTTAAGTAAATCTAGTGTTTTTTTTTATTTAGTTTTCTTTGCATTGGATTTAAATATTCATTCTTTGATATTGAAAAAAAAATTTCCTCGATATTTATTCAATTATAATATTAGTATTGAATAATTTAATTATAAATACCTGTTTTATTTTAAATTTCTGCTTTATAGTTTTTTTTTTATTTATTAAAATATTATTAATATTATTTATTTGTTTTATTTATTTAATTTTTGTTGTTTTTTTATTTATCTATCATTTATTATAATAATTATTATTATTATAATTTATAATATATTATTATTATAATTTATAATATATTATTATTATATATTTTAAAAATATCGCAATACATTAATATTCAAAGGAAATAATAAACAATTTTTTTATTTTACATATCTTTATTTACTATTTATAATCGCAAATGACAGTAAACAATTTTTTTTTTTTACAAAATTTAAAATTTTAATCTACTTTATATTTTATATTTTTTCTTCTTTTTGCTTTTTTTAAATTTTTAAACTTGTTATTTAAAAATAAAAGAATAAATTTTTTTTTTATTCTAATAATCAAATTATTTTGAGTTTTAATTTCCAATTATTTGAATAATTTTATAATTGAAAAATAAATTATTGTATTTGAAAATAATTATATTGTACCTTAATTTTCCAAAATGTAAAATAATTTGAATTTTAATGTAGCAAAAAATTGAGTCAGGGTTTTCAGCTAATAAAATCTTTGAATTTTCCTTTAATTTATTTTTTTTTTCATTAAAAATCTTAAAATTATCTTGAATTTTCAAAATATGCTCTAAAATTATTAAAATTTTTATTAAAATTGTTTGTCTCGAATTTTATTGTTAAATTTTTGTATTGTTGTTTGAATTTCATTCAAATTCGATTAATTAAATAAATTTCTGATTTTTAACAAATATTCGGCATATTTTATAATCATTAACACCCAAACAGGTAAAAAATATTTAGAAAAATTAATAAAAATTATTGGATTTTTCAAAATTTACAATTTAGATTTTTAGACATGATTGATTTTCAAGAGAATTTAATTTGTAATTTATTATAAATTTGAATTCCTGAACATTTTTTGACAAACATAAAATAATTGATTTTTTTTGAGAATTTTTAATTTAATAATTTTTTTTTAATAATTGTATTTGCTAAAAACTATTAAAATTATTAAGAATAATTAATTTGGTTCTAAATTTTTGGCTAAAAACATTTATAAATCATTCAAATTTGGAAAAGTCAGTTATAATTTTTAGAATTAATTGAATTTCAGAAAATTTCAATTATTGAAAATAATGAAAATTCAAATTTTTTTTTAAATATGTAATTAAATTTTATTAAATTGATTGAAAATCAATTATTTGTCAAAAGAATTTTAGTGTTTAAAAATTATTAATTGTCAAAAAAATTTAGTGAAAAATTTTATTAATTATTAAATTTTGCAAGATTAGCTATAAAATTTTAGAAAATTTGCAATACCTATTGAACATTTTTAAAATATTTAAATGTATGTAAAAAACTTTCAACGAATTTTTGAAAAAAAAATGTAATTTATATTTTTGAAAATAATAATTGATATATTATTTCAAAAAGCTGCAAAGTTTTTAATAATATTTAAATTTATGAAAAATTTATTATTACATTTTTTTTTTGATAAATAAATTCTCATGGGGATTACCATATATTAATGTATTAAAAGCAATATATTTTTCATTAAGAAATTGTTTAAATAAAAATGTTATTGAAGAAGTTGATTACATTTTCTAAAAATGATAAAAATTTGCAAAGAGAGTTTTAGTTGAAATTATATTTTGAAAATAAAATAATTTTATTTTATATGAAAGAAAGAATTTTATTTTGAAACAATTGGAATTTAAAGTTTTTCTCATTTTAATTTTAAAAGGTTTTGTAATAATTCAGTTTTCGAGAAATTTATTCAAAATTATGAAATAATTAAGTTTCTGGAAAATTTGAATTAAAATATTGAAAATAAAATTGAATTTTCAAAATTTTTTTTTCTTTTTTTTTATGAAAAATTTAGAAAATGATTGTATTTTTTTAAAATGAATTTCATTAAATTTTTTGAGAATTGATAATAAATATCTAGTAATTTTTGTAATTTCTAATAATTTTAATTTTGAATAGCCAAAAAATTGCAATTATAAAAAAAAAATTGAAGTCATTTGAAAATAAAAATTTGAAAATAAAATATTTTTTATTTTCCAATAAAATTTTTTTTTTCATTTGCAGATAAATATGGAAACAGGAGAAGAATTATCACACAGAGAGGTTTTGGAGAAAAGTTTAAAATTAGCGACATATTTAAAAAAATTGGGACTACAAATAAATGATCGAATTGCCATTTGTAGCGAGAATAATTTAAATTTTAGCATTGCCGTATTATCGAGTATTTTCCTTGGTACAACAATTTGTCCATTAAATCCAATGTACACGGAACGTGAATTAATACACAGTTTAAATATTTCAAAGCCAAAATTTATTTTTGTCTCGGCATTTGTTTTGCCAATAATGAGAAAATTAATTAACAATTTATCATGGTCACCAAAAATTATTTTACTTTATGAAATTACAAATTCAGGAATTCCCAATATCGTTGAATTAATATCAAAAGTATCTGATTATTCATTGAAAAATTTTCAATTACCAAAAATCAATAAAAATGAGCATGTCTCGATAATTGCATGTTCCAGTGGAACAACTGGTTTACCAAAAGGCGTAATGTTAACGGATAAAAATGTTTTAATTCAATTGAGAAGTTTTGCTGAATCTCGTTCATTAAAATTGAGTGATAATACAAGCGTTTTAGGTTTATTGCCATTATTTCACGCTTATGGATTATTTGTTTCGTTTTTGATTTTTGCAAATGGCTCGAAATTAATTGTTTTGTCGCGTTTTGACGAACGTCTTTTTTTGACGGCAATTTCAAAATATAAAATTGATTCATTGACTCTGGTCCCACCGCTTATGGTGTTTTTGGCTAAAAGTCCAATTGTCGATGAATATGACTTGTCATGTGTGAAGGAAATTGCGTAAGTTGAAGATGTATTTAAAAATTTTTTGATTTATTTTTATTTTTTTAATTAGATTTATTTTCTCTATTAGTGTAATTTTACAAAGTTTTACAAATTTTTTTTCTGCAAGTTTAAAAAAGAAAACTAATTTGTAATTTTTCCTTAGATTTTTATTTATTTTTTTTTTTACTTTAAATTTGGTTTTTATTTTAAGTTTTTTTCTTGTAAAAAAATATTGTTTTAAAAAACTTCTTTAAAAAAAATTAATTAAAAAAACAAAATAAAAAAATTGTTTTCATTTTGTTAATTAGAAAAATTTTATTATCTTTTTTCTGTAATTGAACAAAAATTTAATTTTCCTTTAAATATTTCAGATGTGGAGCTGCTCCATTGTCTAAAGAAATTGCACAGGCTGTTCAAAAAAGGCTAAATGTGCCATTTATTAAAACTGGTTATGGATTAACGGAAGCTACTTTAAGTGTAGTTAGTTCTTTTGATATTCCTAAACCAAACAGTGTTGGAATTTTGGTTCATGGAGTTATTGGTGAGAAATTTAATATTTTATTTCATTAAAAACAATTTTATAAAAATTAACTGGAAAAATATCAAATTTCTAAAAATGCTACTAAAATTATAATTTTTGAAATTTTCAATTCAAACTTTTGCCTCTAAAAATTAATGTCTTAATTTTTTTTATAATTGAAAATCTCTTGAAATATTTTCATTGAGGTCAGGGAACAAAATTTTAATTCTAACTGGAAATCAGGCAAAAAGTCAGGAAAAAAAGAAATAAAATTTTTATAGTAACCCGGATTACTAAGAATAATTAATTCGATCCATAATTTTGGATAAAAAATTTCTAACTCATTAAAATTTAGAAAAGTCACAGTTATGATTTTTTAGAATTAATTAAATTTCCAAAAATATTTAAATTGTTGAAAATAAATAAAAATAAACAAATAAAATAAATTTTTCAAAAATTGCTTACAAATTTTTAGCAATAATTGAATTGTACAGAATTTTTAATTCAAAAAAAATTTGTTTAAATAATTTACCTTTTCGAAGAACTTGATAAAAAATAATTAATTTGTCGAAGGTTTTTTTTAGTTAAAATTTTTTTAAATAATTACATTTTCGAAAGATTATTAATTAAATTTTTTGTCAGTAATTAAATTGTAGAAGATTTGCAATATTAAACATTTTTAAAATATTTGAATGTATGTGTGGAAAAACTTTATAGAAATTTTTGAACATATTTTATTTAGATTTTTGAAAATAATTTAATATTATTTGTATTTGATAAAGCAGCAATAATTTTTATTAAAAATTACATTTCTGAAAAATTTTTAATGCAACTTTTATACAAATAAAAAAAAATTCTCTGGTAATTAAAAAACCTGCTGCTAAATTTTAAAAATGTGTCTTTTGTATTCCTGAGGTCGAAAGACATAAAAAAAAGTCGAATTTAAAAAATTTTGGTAGTTCCTCCACGAAGAAATCAATTATTGAATATCAATATTTGTTAAAGGGAAATTGTTTAAATAATTCAATTATCGAAGAAGATAATTAAAATTTCTAAAAAATGATACAATATCCGAAAAGAATTTTATTAAAATTTTTTTGTGAAATAATTATATGGATGTAATAAAAATACTTCAATATTTCAATTGAAAGTTTGGTCTTTGAAAACCTTGAAAAAGGTGAATTTTTATTTTTGTCAAAAGTTGCTAGAGATAATGCGTAAACTTGCGACAATTAGTTAATTATTTTTCAAAATAAAAAAAAGAAAAATTTATTTTTTTTTGCAGCAAAAGTAATTTCATTGGATAGCAAATCGAACGAGCCATTGGGTCCATTGTGCGAGGGAGAATTGTGTTTTAAAGGAGAAACAATTATGAAAGGATATTGCGATGATGAAGAAGCAACGCATGCTACAATCGATGAGGACGGTTTTCTTCACACCGGTGACGTTGGATATTACGATGAAGAAGGATATTTTTATATTGTCGACAGAGTAAAGGAACTTATTAAATATAAAGGATTTCAAGTGCCACCAGCTGAGCTCGAAGCCATTTTATTGACACATCCAGCAATTAAAGATGCTGCTGTTGTTGGATTACCCGATGAACTTGCTGGAGAATTGCCTCTAGCTTTTATAGTTAAACAATCTGGTGTTAATGTTTCACCCGTGGAAATAATTCAATACGTTAATGGTAAATTGCACAATTATTATTATCATATTCACGAAAAGTATATATATAGTTTCAAAATTGTCTATTTTATTAATATATCGATTTTTGTTCATTGAATTATCAAACTATTTCTGTCATTTTTTTTTTTTTTTTTTTTGCAGAACGAGTCTCAGTTGGAAAAAAATTACGAGGAGGAGTTCGATTTGTTGAAGCCATTCCAAAAAATCCATCTGGTAAAATTCTACGACGAGAATTACGAAATTTATTAAAATCACGTTTGTAAGAAAATCAATTGTCGATTTAATAGTTAATATATTATTTAGTCAGTGAATTAATTCTTTATACATATTATATTAGAAGATAAACTTTTTTATTCTGTAATAATACAATTTATTGCACATTATAAAAGTTTTTACTAATTTTTTCGTTTTTCTTGTACTATAAAAAAGGGCTACCAAATTCTGTACTTCAATTTATAATTGTAAATTTTTTTTTTTGTGTATTTTGTGTAAAAATAAACTTGTTAATTAAAAAAAGGGAATTGTTTTCCAAATGAAAATTGTTTTATTTAATATTCCCATTAACGCGTTAAATTAAAAGTTATTAAAAGAAATAAAAAAAAAAAATTGTAAGGAATCGCAGTTATGTGTTAGAGTATTAATATTTTATTTAAAAAAAATTATTTTCAAAAAATTGCATATTTGAAGAAAATTCAATATTGCGACAATACGATTTTAGTCCTTTCCAAAAAAGCAATTTTTTAAGAATAAATTTTTTGATCACTCAATCTGAAGAAGTAAAATAAAATTCTTTATAGTAAAATAAAAGATTGTCACACATTTTTTTCAATTAAAAAATACATTTTTCAGGGTTGCCACGGATCAGGGAAATCATGGAAAGTCAGGGAATTTTATGAAAAGTACTGGAAAAATATCAAATATCTAAAAATGCTACTAAAATTATAATTTTTGAAATTTTCAATTCAAACTTTTGCTTCTAAAAATTATTGTCTTACATTTTTTTTTATAATTGTAAGCCTCGGATCGACTTTAGAAAGAAAAAAAAGTCATTTTTTAGTCGATTTACATTACAAGAAAAGTCTAAAAAGTCAATTTTTTTATTTTCCATAAATTTAATTAGTTGATAAATATTTTTTTATTATTAACAATTTGTTATTAGAAATTAAATGAAATTTATTAATTCCTTAATAAAAATGTTTCACAGAAATATTTTCAAAAACCACCGAATTAAATTGAAACAAATTCTCAAGATTTTAATTCAGTTTCAGAACAATATTTTTAAAAAATAATTGAATTTCAGAAGACTTTTTAATTAAAATTTTAAAAACAATTTAATTTAGAAAAGTTTGATTTAAAATTTTTTAGAAATAATTAAAATTCAGGAGATTTTCAATTGAAACTTTTATAAATTTAAATTATAGACATTTTTTTTACAAATTTCAGACAATAATTGAATTTTAGAGAATTTTCAACTGAAATATTTTCTAAATAATTGAATTTTGATAGAGTTACAGTTAAGATTTTTAAAAATAATTGCATTTTTTAAGATTTCAAAAATTATAATTTTGTTGTAAGTATAAACATTAATTAAAAAACGATTTGAATAATTGAATTTTTTAAAAAATTGAATAAAAACTGTTTAAATAATTAATTAAACAAAGAATTGTTTAATTAATGAAAATAATTTAATATAATAATTAAATTCATTAAAAAAAACTAATTTAGCGAAGAATTTTAAATAAAATTTTTAGATATAATTGAATTACAGAAAATTTTCAATTAAAAAATGTTTTAAAAAATTGAATTTTTGATTTTTGAAATTTTCAATTAAAAAATTTTAATAAACTTAAATTATTGAAATTTTTTAAAAATTATATAAATAAAAATTTAATTTTAAAGAATTAATTAATTAAAAAACGTTTTATGTAATTGAATTTTTAAAAAACTTGATTAAAGTTATTAGAAATAATTAATTAAAAAATGTAATTAAAGTTAAAAATTTTAGAAACAATTAAGTTTTGGAAGAGCAATAGTGAAATTTTTTTTAACTAATTGAATTTCAATTTAATTAAAATTTTCGTAAATTGAAATTTCTGTAAATATTTTATAAGCTTTAAACAATAATTAAACTTTGGAGAATTTTGAATTGGAAAATTGTTTTAAATAATTGAATTTTCGAAAATATTGATTAAAATTATTAAAATTTAACTATTCAACAAAGAATTTTAGATAGAAAATTTAGAATGTAATTAAATTTTAGAAGAGTTCGAGTTAAAAATTTTTTAAAATAATTCAATTTCAATAGATTATTAATTGAAACTTTCGTTTTGAATTGGTGAAAATTTTTTGAAAAACTGTAGACAATTATTAAAATTTTAGTGAATTGAAAACCTCTTGAAATATTCTCATAAGAGTCAGGGAAAAAATTTCAATAACTAAATCTCATTTATGAAAAATTACTGGAATCATTACTAGGATTAATTAATGGCATAATTATTGGGATAACTACAGTGATAATATTACTGGAATAATTACAGAATTACTAGAAACTCCAGTAATTTTTTCACGAGAAGTATTTTTTTATTACAATAATTTTTCTTTTAATTTTCAATGGAATCGTAATTTTCTGTTAAATGTAATCCAATAATAATCATTGCAGTAATTATTTTTCATAAGGAAAGACTCTATCAAATTAGACTAACGATTCAAACATTTATGAATCATTATTTCAACAGCTAAAATAAGACATGAAAACGAAAATCCAACAAGAAGGAGAACAATCGTCAAATGCAAACCCTTGGAAATTAGAGAGCTTTCTTGATTAAACATTTCGCTTTGATTTTCCTGAAACAATACTTTTGGAATGTACTTAGTATCCCACTTTTCGCTGATACCAGATTCAATAAGAATAGATGTAACAAACTCAATTTGCCTTGTAAAAGGTGATCCACCAGCATGATATAATCCACTTGGTCTTACTTGACCAACTTCTTTCAAAATTTTTATCCTCTCCTGTTTATTTGTATTTTTAATTTTCTGAATAATTAAACGTGCAATATCTTCTCTTCCATTACAAGAAATATTTCGATAATCCATCAATATTTGTGCACATTTTTCCAATGATTCCTTCGAATAAATTGCATTCTTCATCAATAATTGATATGTATCATTGTCTTTATTTTCTTTATTAATTTGTCCATTGCCATGTATAATTATTGTTAAATTTGCAGCTAATAAATCTTCAAGTGTTTCCATTTTTCTAAAAGTTGTCTTTTGCAATTGAAGACTGGAAAATGTTGTAAATACATATGATGATTGTATAAAAAAGAAAAACATCATTATTAAAAATACTATTCTCTCTAGAGATTTCTTTGGTTCTTGTGGAATGCTCATACCCAATATCATTTGAATAACGTACATTAGTTGCCATTGTTGTCGATCAAATTTACATGATTTACCTATCAACCATGGCATCAAAATCAAACAAATGATACCAATTACATTCATTAAATTCCATTCAGTTGACAATAGTTGTTCTTCATTTGGTAAAATTGGAACGAGAAAAATGAAATTTAACATTCGCGTACCTCGACTGCTGAGGGTAAATTTACTAAAACATGTTCTAATCATAGCAGACTGAATAGCTGTTAATTGAATATCATTGTATATCAAATCTCTCGAACCACCGGAATTGTATTCTTTTGTGCAATTTATTGGAGTCCAATTTGTTAAATTATATATCTTTTTTTCTAAATTAAAATTCATTGCATTTGAAAAAAATTCCATTAAATTGACATCAGGTCCATGAACATTTAATTCTCCATTAGAATTTCGATTTGTAAAAACATAAGGTGGATAGTGAAAGAGGCCAACTGTGATTTTGTAGCCATTCATATCACGAAGCTTTTGAGGAAATAGAATGCTATTTTTTGAAAATATTTTTTTATAAAAACTTTCAGTAAATGGATTGTAGTAATGTAGATTAACAATTTTCGGTTCAATACATTGTTTGAGTATACAATTATTTTGCTGCATTTTAAGCTGAAGTATCGTGACATCCAAAAATTGTTTATACCACAATAATTTAAAAAATTCTTCATATTTCGTTTGTCTTGTGACTTGAGTAACAATTAGAATTTTTGGACGTGTTTTTGGATGGGACAATTCAGCAATTATTTTTAATACATTGAATAAATTGGATGAGTTTCCGTAATTATTTTGGCTTGGAATAATAACGATTGTTGTTGTTTGAATTAAATACTCAGGTATTGGTAGTTTATGTTTTTTTTCTTCTCTGATTTTGATGAAATCAACAACTTGTATTGGTATCGTTCTAGAAATATTTTTTGAAATTTGAAAAATTCCTGTACTGATGATATTGTTTTCGTACAACAAAAGCAGTTGATTTATTTTAGTATCATGTTTTAAAACATTTGCTATGTAAAGCCATGCTTGATTTGCTTTTATTATTTCTTTGCTGATACAATAAAGAATGAATAGAAATACTGTTGAAATGTTCATGTTTGTTTTCTGTCTTAAATTTCTTTGATTCTGAAAGATTGAATTAATTGTTAAATAATTAAGATATTTTATAGAAAAATCGATGAAAATTTTTCACAAATACACAGTAATAGCGGTCAGAAATGTAAAATTATATAAATTGAATTGAAACAATTAGTTTAAATATGAAAAATTTTTATAAATAATTTTAATTCAAAATTTCAGGCCTCGGATCGACTTTAAAGCACAAAAAAAAGTCGTTTCAGTCGATTTACATTCTAAAAAAAGTCGAAAAAGTCTATTTTTTTATTTTAATTAAATTTAATAATTAGTTAATAAATATTTTACTTTAAATAGCTTTATTAGACATTAAATTCATTGTATTAATTTCTTAATCACAAGAATTCTATAAGAATATTAGTAAGAAAATTTATTGTGAATAAATTTTCGAAATTTTAATTAAATTGAACAAATTTCTAAAAAACAATTCTTAAAGTTCTATTTTTTAAATTTTTTGAAGTCTAATTTAAGCAATTTATTCCAATTTAAAATTTTTGTGTACTTTTTAGTTTTAATGGTCAAAAAATTGTCGAACAATAATTAAGTTTTACAAATTTTTAAATTAAATTTTTTTTAAATAATTGAAGTGCAAAAGATTTTAAATTTGACAGGGTGTCTAACAACTGCTAGGAAAAAAATTCCCTGACCTAAATTACACTAACAAATTTTATTTTGTTCAAATAAAATTTATTTTGATACAATTAAATCAGTTATCTGTCTATTATCCACTAACTTCATATGTATTTGAACCAAATAAATAATGTTTCGTAAAAAATAAAATATTTAAGTGAAATAAATAAACTAATTGGGGACGTAGAAATATTCTCAACATTTAATTTAAAACAATTTTTACGGAGTCAAATCATAAATTATTAAATTTTTATTTAGTAAAATTATATAAAGCAGATTTTCTAATACATGGAATTTCAAATTAATACAATTTCAATTTAACGGAATTTATGTCAATAAAAATTGCATAAAGAAAAATTTTTTTAACAGAATTTTTATTTTAGTAAATTTCGATTTATCAAAATATTTACTTAACAAAATTATCATTGAATAAATCCACAATTAACAGAATTTCTATTTAACAAAATTATTAATTAACAAAGTTTTTATTAAAGAAAATTTTAATTCGAACTAATTCTTATTTAACAGAATTCTCATTTAAGAAAAATTCTACTTAGTTTTTTTTTGTCAATTTTTATAGACATAAATTTCGTAAAATTGAAATTATATTAATTTAAAATTTTAAAAAAGTATTAGAAAAAATGTTTTATAAGAGTTCTGCTAAATAGAAATTCTTTTAAATCGATTTTTAGTTAAATGTAAATTGAAAATTTTGCATAATATAAAATCCTCTTTATACAATTTTTCTAAATAGAAATTCGATAATTTAATATTCGACGCCGTAAAAAATTTTATATAATATATAATAATAATAATATAATATAATATATAATATATATATAATTATATAGTTTAAATATGAAAAATTTTTATAAATAATTTTAATTCATAATTGCAGGCCTCGTATTGACTTTAAGGCACAAGAAAAATCGTTTTAGTCGATTTACATTCTTAAAAAAAGTCTAAAAACTCGATTTTTTTTATTTTAATTAAATTAAATAATAAGTTAATAAATATCTTACTTTAAATAACTAATGTTATGAGACATTAAATTCATTGTATTAATTCCTTAATAACAATAATTCCATAAGAATATTAGCAAAAAAATTTATTTGGAATAAATTTTCAAAATTTTAATTAAATAGAACAAATTTCTAAAAAAAATTTTAAAGTTTCATTTTTAAATTTTTTTTGAAGTCTAATTTAAGCAATTTATTTCAATTTAAAATTTTGGTGTACTTTTTAGTTTTAATGGTCAAAAAATTGTCGAACAATAATTAAGTTCTAAAAATTTTTAAATTAAATTTTTTTTAAAATAATTGAATTGCAGAAGATTTTAAGTTTGAAATAAATTTTCTGCAAATTTAAACTGCTACAGTTTTTTTTTTTAATTTCTGACGATATAATTTTAGAGTTTTTGTTTGAAACTTTTTAAATAGTTAAATTTTTAAAAATATATAAAAATATAAAAAAATATATTAAAATTATTAAAAATAATTGAATTTTTGAAGAGTTAGTTTGACTGTTTGTTAAATAACAGACAATAATTAAATTTTACAGAATTAAAATTTCAAAGAATATTATAAAAATCATTAAAAGTAATTGAATTTCAAAAAAGTTATATAGTTGAAATTATTTTTCAGAAAATTTTAGATGGAAAATTTTAGAGTGGTTTTAAATTGAAATTTTTTGAAAATTATTATTTATTATTTATTTAGGTATTTATTATTATTATTTATTATTTATTTATTTATTATTATTATTATTTTGAATTGAAATTTTTGTTATTTTATTTGATTTTTTTTTTAATTTTAGACAAAAATTGAATTTCATAAAATTTTTAATTGAAAAATAGTTTAAGATAATTGAATTCGTGAAGAATTTGATTAAAATTATTAAAAATAATTAAATTAGAGAATGTTTGTTAAAAATTTGTTAAATAATTAAAAAAAAAGTCATATAATCCGAGGCCTGTAATTGAGGGTCCAGATCAAAGAAACGGTTACAACTTTTTAAAACTTGAAATCGTTGGCCTCTCTGAATAAAAAAAAAGTGTTGAATTTTAATTTTCTGCGAGTATTTATTTTTATAAAGAATGCGTGAAAATACCCTGCAGAAAAATGAGATTCAAATCTTTATTATTTTGAATTTACGAGTCAGTGATTTTTAGTTTCAAAAAATTATAATCGATTCTTTGATTGGGACCCTCAATTAAGTATTAAGAATACAAAATAGATTAAATACGTATTGGATTCCCTAAATTTTTTACCTTTAAATAATATCAATTTCTTTTTGTCTTTAAATTTTTCTTTTGTCCTATTAATTTAAATTTGAAAACTTCTATATAAATTTATTAAACTTTTCATTATTTTGGTCATAACACATTTGAACTAGAATGTTAAAGAAATTTTAAATTTGTTGAAAAATCGATATTAATATGTACATGAAAACTAAATATGTATAGGATGTACATAATATTTATGTAAATGATCTCATAGGACTGTAATTTACAAATCAATAAGTAACATCAATTTTGCAATAAATATTTGTAAGTGAAATTCCATATAGTGTTAAAAATTTTATGTTTCTATAAAAACATTCGCTCACATAATTGTTTATTTTTGATATATTATTATCGACGTACTTTATTTAAACAATAAAATTTGTGATATATATAATTGTAAAACTTAATTTTCAAAATATTTTCTTTTTGAAAAAAATAATTTTACCTTTAACTTTAGTTTCTTATATAAACAAAGTTAAATTATCATTATAATAAAAAAATAGTAATATTCCCTTAAAACTATTGTTTATTTAAATTTATAAATAGCGGATATTTAAAATTTAAATATTTATCATTTCATACGAATAAATTTTCTTCACAGATAAAAAAAATAATTAAAGTGAAAAATACCAGAAAAAAAATTTACTTCAAAGATTATAAACATAACCTACAATTTTTTTGCTTCTTAGGTACCTTTCTTCAGAGCGCGTTACAATTTATATATCGCTTTTTTTTGCATAAATTAGCACAATCTTTTGGATTTTAGAAATTTATAAGATAAGGATCCTTAGTATGTTGGTCGTTTTTGCAAAAACTGTCTGTGTTTCGAGAAAAAAGTATTTTAAAATCAAATGTTTATCATTTTCACGTTCAGTGCCGTTTTTATAGGGCGATAATAATTAAAAGTTTTTCTTTACAATCTTTACCAAAGAATTTCACAAACTGTTGAAATTTACAATTCTTAAAACAATTTTAAAAACTGTTAAACCTTAACTTGAAAACACAAGGGGTTGGTATAATAATAATAATAAAATAAATTTGAAATTATTCTTCCGAAAAGTTGTACATATCGAACTTTTATTCTGCTCAACCTTTATTGATTGCAGCGCTATACTCTGGTGGATTATAGTTAAAGTATAAATGTGTTCAAACCTCGAGTCACTTATAGCGCATTCACTTAACTGCTTCGAGTGCTTTGAAAGCGCTTCGAGCAGTAGTGGCGTATTCGGTTTGACAAAACTGCTTTGAGGCAAAGCGTTACTGCTTCGAAGCACTTTGCTTTGGAGCACAGCAGATTGGCGCGAAATATGAATTCAAATAAATTTTAAATTAATAATTATAAAATATTTATCTGTTATTAAATATAAACCTAAATTAAATTATTATTAATGTAATAAATAATTAATAATAATAATATATATTTATGTTATATTAAATGTAACCTTAAAATAAATTATTATTAATGTTATAATTAATAAGTAATTAATTAATCAATTTTATTATGATTGGCATTTAAAAATTCGACTCAGACGAAATTTTGTTTAATAATAATTCTAAGAAATAAAAATTCGTGTAAAAAAAAACTTCTTTTGAATGAAAAGTGTGCTAAATGTAAATTACGATGAAAGAATATTCTGTTAAATAAAAAATGTATTACATAGAAATTCTGTTAAGTATAAATTTTATAAATTTAAAACTGTAATATATGTACTATGAGAAAAACAATTAAGGAGGTTCAACCCATTAACATAACCTCAAACTAAAAAGTAGTTTTTAACAGAACTAAAAATATATTTAAATTTTATTACACCCAAATTCGACAGATCCAATTGTACAGTTTTGGAAAAAAATTATTTTCAATTAAAATTTGTTGTTAAATAATAATTAATAAACATTTTGTTTTTCTTCTTAAAAGTTAGTGAACAATGATAATTTGTATGCCAATTTTAACTCAAAATATTTTTTTTCCAAAATTTGTAAAATTGGATCTGTCGAATTTAGATGCAATAAATTTTAAACATATTTTTACTTCTGTTAAAAACTACTTTTTAGTTTGAGGTTATGTTAATGGGTTGAACCTCCTTAATTCTTTAATAAGTTTTTAAATAAAACTAAATTTTTAAAAACTAAAAATTCAAACTTCTGTCGCTATTCAATTATGTTTACAATAATAATAAAATTTATTAATTATAACATTAATAATAATTTATTTTAAGGTTACATTTAATATAACATAAATATATATTATTATTAATTATTTTTTACATTAATAATAATATAATTTACGTTTATATTTAAATAACAGAAATATTTTATAATTATTAATTCTAAAATTTATTTTAATTCATATTTCGCGCCAATCTGCTGTGCTCCAAAGCAAAGCAGTTGCTTACATGACGTCACGCAGTGCTTCGAGGCAAAGCAAAAAGTGCTTTCACTCCAAGCAAAAGCGCTTTGAAAGCAGTTAACTGAATGCGCTATTAATTCAATCACCATGAGTTTAAGATTAATGAATTTTAGTTTATGCCTTTACGCTGTTTATAGTGCAAACACGTGAACTTTAAAAAACGTGTATTAACACATTTAATACATATAATAAATATTATTATTATTATTTTGTTAAAGAATTGGTAACATATTTAGAGGTGAAAATAAGTGATAGCAAAAATTTGAAGAAATTAATAAAACACTATACAACGTAAGTTTCAAATTACATATTTATATATTAATACATAACCCTAAATAAAGACTCGTGGCGCATTCATAAACGATTCTATATTTTATCTTTGTGTAAAATATATTTTTTATTTAAGGGAATATTCTTTAAATGTAGGCTAATTTTTTTTCTTTATATAATATACTTCAAAAAATAGTGTGTAATGTAATTTTAGTTTTTTAAAACCTAAAATTTTTAATAACTATAATTACACGGATTGCATATTATTATTCGAATTTTAATTTATCTAAATTTTAATTGATTTATGTTTCAAATTGTTCGAATTTCAATTTTAACAAATTACAATTAACTAGCAAAATTAAACGCGCGCAAGCGCGCCAAATTGAATATTTCATTGTTTGTAATAAAAAAATTGAAGATTAATATTATCAATAATAATTTAATTTATTAGAATATTATTACATATTAAATGATAATAATGAAAATTATATGTTTACAGGCCTCGGATTATACGACTTTTTCCGACTTTTTTCAAAAATACGACTTTTATCGACTTCTTTTAATAAAACGCGACATTTTTTTTTACATTTGAAAAAAATGTAAATAAAATACCTTTTTTTAGTATATAATGTAGATCTTCTTCAGATCTTCTTCAATTCAATTATTTAACAAATTTTGAATTAAAATGATTTTTCACTAAATTAATTATTTTTAATAATTTTAATGAAATACATCACAAATTCAATTATATCAAAATTATTTTTCAATTCAAATTTTTATGAAATTTAACAATTGTTTATAATTTAAAAAAAAATATCACAATAAAATTGAATTATTTTTTAAAAATTTCAATTCAAAATAAACTAAAATTCAATTATTACCCGAAATTTTAATTCAAAATCAATTAAAAATCCAATAATTATCCAAAATTTTCAATTTAAAATTTTATTATTTACCAAGTTTTCAATTTAAAATAAAACAATATTCAATTATTTTCTAAAATTTCTATTCAAAATTAATTATCCAAATTTTCAATCAAAAATGTACTTCAATTAAATTATTATCCAAAATTTCAATTAAAATTCAATTATTTTCCAAAATTTTCAATTCAAAATGAACTGAAATTCAATTATTTTCCAAATTTTAAATCAAATAAAATTTAATTATTCTCAAAACTTGGAATTCAAAATTAATTGAATTTTCAATAATTTGAATTTAAAAGCATCTAAAATTTAAATATTTCTAAAATTTTCCATCGAAAATTTTTTTTTTTGAAATTTAATAATTTTAATTATAACTCTAAGGAAATTCAATTATTTTTAACTATTTTAATAATATTCTTTGAAAATTTAACTATCTGAAACCATTTTTCAATTAAAAATGATTTTCAAATTATTGTATTTTGTCCTCATTTTCTAATAAATTTTTAGTAAAATCATCTAAAATTTTAATTACAAAACACTTAAAGTTTCAATTAATTTCAAAAATCTCAATTTTAAATCTTTGAAAATTCAATTAAATTTAAAAAAATGTTTTCCAAAAATTGTTTAATAAATTATTTTTAGTTCTGTAAAATTTAATAATTGTTTGAAAATTAACAATATCTTTTGAAATTTAATTATTTCTAAAAATTTCAACTTTAACCCTTCGAAAAGGATTATTATTAAAAAAAAATTTTTATTTTTTTTTATTTATTTACTCTCCCTGCCTTAAGCAGGGTTTGAGGACCCAAATACATTAGAAACTTATATCCTAAATACAATCTTAAATCTAAAGCGCAACTTATCTAATTAACCTCACTATTCGCCAGTGCCGGGCTTCCGTTTCCAGTTTCCTTTTGCCCTTTTGGCTTCGTCAATTAACCCCAAATAAAAACGATTCCCTCCCTTAATTACATTACTTTAAAAACCCTATGCTCTCCCTTCCATTCTCTCTTCTCTCATCGCTTCCATTTCTCTCATCCATACCTCTCCTTGACCATTCTCACTCAAAATCCATTTCACTTTTTTTTTGAATATAAATCGACTAAAACGACTTTTTGTGTCTTTAAGTTGATTCGAGGCCTGTATTTTTATAATTAATATTTAATAGATATTCGTTGGCCCCTGGTACCTTAAAAATTAATTTTTAAAAATAAATTTTTTTCAAATTACTATCTTGTACGAAATTTTCTGGCGCATCTTTTTATCATCATAAATTTTTTGTATTTGTATACAATTTTTGAATGAATATACAACTTTAAAAAAAATTTCGTTGGTAAACGTTGTGTACTTCAGCTTCGTGAATTGAATTTTGGAATTTGGAATTTTAAAGAAACTTATTCCGAAATTTGGAAACACAATTATACAACTTTGGCAAAAATGAGAAAAAGAATTTGTCAAAATTTGATACGTCATAAGATTACTATTCAAAAAAACAAGTGAAATCAGAAAAGGCCAACTTCAAGTTAGGACAGAAGGACAGACCAAGCATTTTATTATTATATAATTTAAGTTTCAAATTGTTCGAATTTCAATTTTAACAAATTATAATTAATTTAAGTTTCAATTTATCCAAATTTTGAACTATTAATTCTTCAATCACTGATAAAAGATTTTAATTAAAAATTTTTTAATATTTTTAACAAATGGTAAAAAAGTTCCTTTCTTCGAATTTTTAGTATTATTCATCTTTTATTAATAAATTCGATTTTTGTAATTAAAAAAAAGATACTTTTTCGGCTTTTATAGTGTAAATCTAAATAAATAAAAGAAAAAAAAATTCCAAAATTAAAAAGCAAAAATATATAGGTAATATGTAAAAAAGAAAATGTACTTTAAAATGATTTGAAAAAATTTATTTTTAAGTTAAAATTCTTTTTTAATTTTTTTACGAATTCAAATCTTGAGAATTTTTCAGTTCCTAATGAACTTGAAATTTTTTTCAAAAATCTTCAATTACTCTTAGTTGAATTCTAAAATATTCTAAATATAATTGCATAAATGTAATAATCAAACATTTTCAGTTGTTTTTTTAAGATGCCAAAAATTATTGAATTTAAATATACTGGTCACTATCACTTAAAATAAGAATAAAAAATTTAATTTTATGAAAATAAATGACTACTTTTTGAAGATAATTGGTAATTAATAAAAATTTTAAATTTCGCCAATAACTAAGTAATTTTGATGACACTTTTTATTTTATCTATCTCATGGCTGTTTTAGTTAAAAAAACAAAAATTAAAATGGAAGTAGATCCTGTAATTTCTGATAATGAAATGGAAGGTGAAGAAGAGGAAGAAGAAGAAGAAGAAGACGATGAAGAAGATAGTTCTAATGAATCAATGAATGAAGAAGACAGTGATGATGATGACAATGAAGAATGTAAAGAGGGTGAAGAAAAAATTTATCTACCAGGTCAACCATTGAAAAAAGGCGAAGATTTAGATTATGATAAAAGTACATACAGAATGTTACATCGTGCACAAACAGGAGCGCCTTGTCTTAGTTTTGATGTTATTCGAGATAATTTAGGAACATCACGTGAATCATATCCACTTTCAATGTATCTATTAGCTGGAACACAAGCTGCAAAAGCTCATGTTAATAATATTCTAGTAATGAAAATAACAAATTTAACTGGTAAAAATGAAGATGAAATTAATTCTGACGATGAATCAAATGATGAATCGAGTGATTCAGAAAATGAAAGTGAAAAAAATCCTAAAATGAAATTAGCATTAATAAATCATCAGGGATGCGTTAATAGAATTAGGTAACAAAAATTAGCAATTTATTTTTTACATTAAAACTAAGAAACATTTTTAGAAACTTTATATTGAATAAAATTTTCTTTTTCTTTTATAGATGTACTCGAATGAATAATACAACTTTAGCGGCAAGTTGGAGTGAATTGGGACGTATTAATATTTGGGATTTAAATGAACAATTGAAAGCATTGGACGATCCTCAATTATTGGAAACTTATAGAAAAAAATCTGAAAAATCAGAGAATGCAGTGAAACCTCTTTTTACATTTAAAGGACATTTAACTGAAGGCTATGGTTTAGATTGGTGTCCAACTAAAGATGGTTGTTTAGCATCCGGTGATTGTAAAGGTAATATTCACATATGGAATTATGGCGAAGGAAATGAGTGGCACGTTGATCAACGACCTTATAATTCACATGCACCACATAGTGTCGAAGATTTACAATGGTCTCCTAGTGAAAGAAATGTCTTAGCCTCCTGTTCAGTGGACAAAAGGTAAGAAACCCTTTTTTTGTTTCAGGCCTCGGAATATATTTTTTTTTCAAAAACCTATTTTAATAAAATGCAACTTTTTTAACTTTTTTTGTTTACATTTTTTTACGAAATTTTTAAACAAAATACGTTTCTTTAGTATAAAATGCAGATCTTCTTTATTTTAATTATTTAAAAAATTTGTAACAAAAATTCTCTAAATTAATAATTTATATTAATTTCAATGAAATTCTTGACGAATTCAATTATCTGAAAACATTTTTTAATTATAAAAACTTTTGGAATTCAATTTTTGTATGTGATTTCTAATAAATTCTAATACTTCTTTTAAAATTTTAAATTAATATAATTTCAATTTAACAAAATTTATGTCTATAAAAATTGACAAAAAAAGAACTAGGTAGAATTTTTCTTAAATAAAAATTCTGTTAAATAAGAATTAGTTGGAATTAAAATTTTCTTTAATAAAAACTTTGTTAAATAGAATTCAGGGTGGCCGCAAGTCAGGGAAAAACTGGAAATCAGGGAAAAGTCAGGGAATTTTGATTCAATTCAGTTTTTTTTATTTAGACGTTTTTGTAATATAGTTCATTATAATGGTGCCGTCAGATCTTTCATTTTTCAAAGTATTTACTTTTTTTATAATAAAAGTTTTAAATATAATAAAATTTTGTTAACAAACAATGTTTAATTATCTTATCGTTTCCTTTATGAATAAAATTGTTACTTAAAAAGCATTATAAAAATTTCAATCAGCAATACAGAATATTAAATAATTCAAAAATTTTTTAGTTAGGGAAAATAAAAAATTAGTCAGGGAAAAGTCAGGGAATTTGGAAAATAAAATTTTGCGGTCACCTTGATAGAAATTCTGTTAATTGTGGATTTATTTAAAGACAATTCTGTTAAGTCAATATTTTGGCAAAATCGAAATTTACTAAAATAACAATTCTGTTAAAAAAGTTTTTCTTTATGCAATTATTTTTCTTGACATAAATTCCGTTAAATTGAAATTGTATTAATTTGAATTTCGATGTACTAGAAAATCTGCTTCATATAATTTTACTAAATAAAAATTTGATAATTTAAGATTTGACGCCGTAAAAATTGTTTTAAATTAAATGTTGAGAATATTTCTACGTCCCCAATTAGTTTATTTATTTCACTTAAATATTTTATTTTTTACGAAACATTACTTATTTGGTTCAATATATTTTTAATTTTGTATTAAACCAAGTCCACTTCTGGGCCGAAAGGCTGATGCTTAATAAATAATAATAATAATACTTATTTGGTTCAAATACATATGAAATTAGTGGATAATAGACAGGTAAATGATTTAATTGTAACAAAATAAATTTTATTTGGTAAAAATAAAAATTTTTTATTGTAATTTAGGTCATGGAAAAGTCAGGGAATTTTTTTCCTAGCAGTTGTTAGACACCCTGTTGTCTTAAATTTAACTCAATCTTTTGAAATTCAATTATTTTCAAAAATTTCAATTTAAAAGCTTCTAAAATTTAATTATTTCTATTATCCATCTAAAATTTTTTGAAATTCAATAATTTTAATTATAACTCTTCTGAAATTCAATTATTTTTAAAATATTCTACGAAAATTCAACTTCCTGAAACCATTTTTCACTTAAAAAGTTTTCAAATTATTGTATTTTTGTTTGCAATTTCTAAAAATTTTTTTAGTAAAATCATAAAAAAAATTTTAATTAAAAATCACTTGAAATTCAATTAATTTTAAAAATCTAAATTGTAAATCTTTGAAAATTCAATTACTTTAAAAAAATTTTATCTCAAATTAATTGATAAATTATTTTTAGTTCTATAAAATTTAATTATTGTCTGAAAATTAACACAATCTTTTGAAATTCAATTATTTCTAAAAATTTCAACTTTAACTCTTCCAAAATTATTATTTAAAAATCTGTAAAACTTGATTAAGTATTGTCTAAAATTTTGTTGACCATCAAAACCAAAAACTATGAAAAAATTTTAAATTTGAATAAAGTGCTTAAACCAGACTTCAAAAAATTTAAAAATAGAACTTTAAAAATTTTTTCTTAGAAATTTGTCCTACTTAAATAAAAATTTTAAAATTTGTGGCCTGTGTTTCTATTTTTTAAACATTGTGCATCAAAAAGTTGAACATTTTTAAAAAAAAATTTCATATTTTCCATTTTTTAGTATAAAAATTTGGGATACAAGAGCAAATCCACATTCTGCTTGTATGATAACAGCAGCAGAAGCTCATACAGCTGATATAAATGTTATTTCTTGGAATCGAAAAGAATGTCGATTTCTCGTGTCTGGTGGTGATGATGGAGTTGTTTCCGTATGGGATTTACGTCAATTTAGCAGCGGTAAACCAACTCCTGTTGCAACATTTAAACATCATACAGCGCCAATTACAACAGTCGAATGGCATCCGGAGGATGCATCAGTTTTTGCCTCTGGTGGTGCTGACGATCAAATTGCACAATGGGATTTATCATTAGAAGTCGATAATGAACAATCACAACAAAGTTCAGAATTACTTCATTTACCACCGCAACTTCTTTTTATTCATCAAGGACAAACTGACATCAAAGAACTTCATTGGCATTCACAATGTCCTGGAACACTCATCTCAACAGCTCTATCGGGTTTTAATATTTTTAGAACTATTTCTGTGTAATAAATTAAAATTTATTTTTAAAAAAATAAAAAAGATTTTTATAAATTTATTTCATTTAAGAGAATGAAGAAAATTATTTTAAACCCCTTCTTTCTTTCAGTCAATTTTTGTAACTTTGTAGTTTTTGGCATTCTTAACAACTTTTTTCATGTGGCAAAATATTTGAAATTAATTTTGTTCCGAGTTAGAAGCATTTGAAGTCGTCAAAATGTGAAAAACGAAAATTCTGATTTATATAATGTTTAAAAAGAATTAAATGTCTTATTTTTGTCTTAATAGTAATTAATATTTAATTTTTATTATTTTATTATTTACTAGCAAAATTATACGACTTTTTCCGACTTTTTTCAAAAATAACACTTTTATCGACTTATTTTAATAAAATGCGACATTTTTTTTTACATTTGAAAAAAAATGTAAATAAAATACATTTTTTTAGTATAAAATGTAGATCTTCTTCAGATCTTCTTCAATTCAATTATTATTTAACAAATTTTGAACTAAAATGATACTTCACTAAATTTATTATTTTTAATAATTTTAATTAAATACATCACAAATTCAATTATATCAAAATTATTTTTCAATTAAAATTTTTATGAAATTTAACAATTATTTATAATTTAAAAAAAATATCACAAAATTGAATTATTTTTTTAAAAATTTCAATTCAAAATAATCTAAAATTCAATTATTACCCGAAATTTTAATTCAAAATCAATTAAAATTCAATAATTATCCAAAATTTTCAATTTAAAATTTAATTATTTACCAAGTTTTCAATTTAAAATGAAATAAAATTCAATTATTTTCTAAAATTTCTATTCAAAATTAATTATCCAAATTTTCAATCAAAAATATACTTCAATTAAATTATTATCCAAAATTTCAATTCAAATTCAATTATTTCACAAAATTTTCAATTCAAAATGAACTAAAATTCAATTATTTTCCAAATTTAAAATCAAATAAAATTTCATTATTTTCAAAAATTTGAATTCAAAATTAATTAAATTTAAAAAATGTTTTCCAAAAATTGTTTGATAAATTATTTTTAGTTCTGTAAAATTTAATAATTGTTTGAAAATTAACAATATGTTTTGAAATTTAGTTATTTCTAAAAATTTCAACTTTAACCCTTCGAAAAGGATTATTATTAAAAAAAAATTTTTTATTTAAAAATCTGTAAAATATTTTTGTTAAAATAAAAAACAAATTTACTTTTTTTGGAATATAAATCGACTAAAACGACTTTTTGTGTCTTTAAGTTGATTCGAGTGCTTTATTTTTATAATTAATATTTAATAGGTATTCGTTGGCCCCTGGTACCTTAAAAATTAATTTTTAAAAATAAATTTTTTTCAAATTACTATCTTGTAGTATTAAAAAAAAACACGTGAAATCAGAAAAGGCCAACTTCAAGTTAGGACAGAAGGACAGACCAAGCATTTTATTATTATATATAATTATATTTTAAACTGAATATCGGTGTACATATTTACATGCAAGTTAAATAACATAGTAAAATAATTAAAATTTAATTTAATATAATTCAAATGGTCCATCAGTAATTGGAATTCTTCTTGCACAAAAGTAATAAGGAATATCGTCGATTATAATTTCATCTACACAAAGCTCTGTAACAAATTAAAAAAGAAAAAAAATTATATATAATAAACAATGCATAAATAAATTTAATTGATGCAAAATATTTTAAAAGCAAAAAAAAAAAAAAAATGGAGAAAAAAAAGTTTACGTGGTTGATTAGCTATTTTCGATTTTTTTTCATTTTTCTCAAATGATATTGAAAAAAAATTTAGAAATTTAGTTAATTCTATTCTATACAGTAAAAAATAAAAAAAAAAAATTTTTAAATTTTTGAAAAAAATTAAATCTAAAAATCAAATATTTAAAAGAAGAAAAAAAATAGAAATAAAAAGAATTCAAATAAAATATAACTTACAAAATAAATTTTATAAAATTGAAGTTTTTGTTTTCTACACGAATCGAGGAATTAAATAAAAATATAAACAAAATTACATATTTTTTTTTTTATATTAGTAATTAATAATAATTTATAAATAAAATAATTTGAAAGATCCTTTACCTTTGCCCTGTTTTATTCTATTAAAAAATCTTACACCTGAATGTCCTGTGCAAGTATACCAGTTAGGTCGCTCGACTATAGGTTCTGTACAGACCACTGTAATAGATTTTTTTTAAATTATTATTATTAAACACTCGATATATTTTTATTTCTCTCATTGCAACAATATTGTTTTCTATTATTTTAATTAGAATTATAGAAAAAATTAGTAAGACAAGCATTGAAATCAAGTGAACGATTTTAATAATAAAGTTTATACTAAAACAAAAAAGAAAAATTTTAATTTAATAAAAATTATGTACCAATTTGTCCCGTTTATTATTAAATAATAATTATTAGATGTAAAAAAAATTAAAAAGAAAATTTTTTTAATTTTTTAAAAATATTCTTTGAATTAAAATTAAAATTTCTAAAAAAAATATATTTTTTTGTCTTACTAGCCGCATGTTCTTCATCAGAATATAATTCTGTATTGCGACTTTCGCAAAATGTATAAAAAATAAAAAAGAGGAATAAAAACATTAGAAATCGCATTTTTTTTAATGGACAAACAAGTTTCAAATATGTAATAACAATTTTCGAAATTGTAAAAATTTCTACTTATGAAATGTGAAAAAAAATTTAACTTATTTATATACCTAGGTAAAATATATTAAATTTATTTTATTTGCATAATAAATTCTATTCTATTCCATTCTAATAGGTAAAACATGAATGCATAATTTTATTTATACAGTTGAAATTTAATATTAAATTAGCGTAAAAATGAAGTAAAGAAATATAAATAGATTTATTTATACAATCTGTTTAATTCAATTTAACTAAAAAAAAAAGAAAAAAATTACATCATTTTAAATTGCAACAAAATTTTTGAAAATATTCACAATTTCAATAATTGTAGAAAAGTTTCTTGGTTTTCCAAATTTTTTGAATTTAAAATTTTATATTTTAAATATAATTTTACGATATCACATTCGTGATCAGAAATTCCAAAAAGTTTCTGTATAATTAGCTTCAATCGAATCTACTCAATTTTTTGAACATAATAATAATAATAATAATAATAATATTAACCAAATTAATTAATTTTCTTATATACAATGAGAGAATGATCCACAAAAAAAATTTAATTATTGATTTTTTTCATATAGGTACTTGTATATTCAAAACAAACTCATTATTTAAAGTAGATTTAGAATAAGAATGATGAAAAAATAAAATTTCTATAGTATTGTGTAAAAAAGAGATTTAATTATAGTATATATACAGGTGATGACTAACAATTGCGTACAAAATAATTTAAAAATGTATACAATTAAAATTTTAATAAAATTGAATTATATTAAATGTAACGTAAATTATATATTCAATTAAATTCCACTTCTTTTGTATTTAGATTTTTGATACATTCTTTGAAAAGTGGATAACTCATAAGATATAATAAAATAGTAATAAATGTACATATTATATATTGATACTTAATTTATAAAGTATATCAATAATTTACAAAATTGTTCAAAGCAATGACTAATAATTCTTCCACAATAGGGAAAAATTAACTAAATATTACTGAATAATTATTACATTAATTAAATTATTCATTTATTTAATATTATTTAATTAAAGTAAATTTTTTAATTAATATTAAATAAATAATTTTTTATTAATCGTACTGATTAATTTAATTACTATTCACATTAATGCAAACATTAATATTTGTATAATTAACAAATAATTTGAGGTAAGTTGCAATTTTTCTCTAGAAAGAAAAAATGAAACGACTACAATACAGAAATTTGAATGAATGTTTAAAAAAATATAGAATTCTGACTTTAGAATCAAGATATGTTTCCTTTCTCGTCAATTCACAATTGAAGAGAAAATTCCATTAAATAGAGGATGTAATACTCGAAGAGGTTTTCATATATTTTTTTTTTATTTAAACACAAAGCGAAATTCTTCAATAATTTCCAAGACTTCTTTTCTGAAATAGAAAGAAATTTATTTTCATTTCATTTTTAGTTATTTAAAAAAAATACAAGGAAAAAAGGAAATAAAAAAAAAAAAACGAAAAAATGCTAAACAGAATAAAAAATACTTTTTATAAAATTAAAATTTAATCGGTTAAACTTCGTGAAACATTAAAGGAAAAGAAAAAAAAACTCACCATCACTGGATTGAAGTTGATATCAAGAAAAAAAAAGCAAAGAAAAAAAATTAACTGATATCCTGACTCTGTGAACTCGTTGCTGCTTCAATTAATTTCTGTCGTTCTCTATACATTGAGACTTTCATATTTTCCAATTGATGATAACGAAGTAATTTTAATACGGCAAATACCGAGAGTCCAACCCAAATTGAAAGACTGCTCCATGCACCAAATTGAGCGGTGCCCAATTCTATATGAAAACTCGATGTATTAATTCCATCTGCTTTATCAATATCGTTACCAGCGGCAAGTTCACATGATGGAAATCTTTTGGTCATACATTGGCACCATGTCATAAATCCAAGTGTTATTAAAATTGCCGCAATAAGTGTTATTGTTGTGAGAAATATTGATGAGACAACGTCAATGAATGCCGACAAAAATGAACTATCCTCGCCACGTTTCATAAACATTGAGAGACGATAAATTTGTACTGCCGATGCAACATGTAGAATAATACCAACAAAAATTGTATAATTGCAATAAAGTTGCGATGCCCAATGAGCAACAAATTGACCGTCTGTCTCTTGCCATATTCCCGTGGAAAATAATAAACAGTGACCTCTGAAAAAAATAAAAATTAAATTCAACATTTCGAAATTACGGCTTCTTATAAGGTTGTTAATTTTTTTTTCATGAAAATATTGAATACTTAAAACTAATATACGATGGTAAATTAAAAAACAATATTAATAATTTTTTTAAATAAAACTCGAAATTTTCAAAAACTAAAAATTTTAAATTCTTTCGCAATTTTTATTATTTTCCATTGCAGATTATTTTATACAATTTCAATCAATAGTAGGGATTTTTAAAAATTTTAATATTTTCAAACTCCGAAAATGCTCAAAAAATTTTTTTTTTAAATTTTAATAAAAATTTAATTTATTTATTTAGATACATATTCCCTCAGTCAATAATTAAAGGCCTCGGATTGACTTTAAGACACAAAAAAAGTAGTTTTAGTCGATTTAGATTCTAAAAAATGTCGAAAAAATAGATTTTTTTAAAATTTTAATTAAATCAGGGTGTCTAACAACTGCTAGGAAAAAAAATTCCCTGACATTTCACTGACTTTTCCATGACCTAAATTACACTGGAAAATTTTTTATTTTGATCAAATAAAATTTATTTTTATGCAGTTAAATCATTTACCTGTCTATTATCCACTAATTTCATATGTATTTGAACCAAATAAATAATGTTTCGTAAAAAATAAAATATTTCAGTGAAATAAAAAAACTAATTGGGGATGTATAAATATTCTCAACATTTAATTTAAAACAATTGTTACGGCGTCAAATCTTAAATTATTAAATTTTTATTTAGTAAAATTATATAAAGCAGATTTTCTAGTACATCGAATTTCAAATTAATACAATTTCAATTTAACGGAATTTATGTCAAAAAAAATTGCATAAAGAACAATTTTTTTAACAGAATTGTTAGTTTAGTAAATTCCGATTTATCAAAACATTTACATAACAGAATTGTCATTGAATAAATCCACAATTAACAAAATTCTTAATTTACAAAGTTTATATTAAAAATTTTAATTTTTTTTTTTAATAAATTTTAATTCCAACTAATTCTTATTTAACAGAATTCTCATTTAAGAAAAATTCTACTTAGTTCTTTTTTTGTCAATTTTTATAGACATAAATTTCGTTAAATTGAAATTATATTAATTTAAAATTTTTAAAAAGTATTAGAAAAACTGCTTTATAAGAGTTCTGCTAAATAGAAATTCTTTTAAATCGAATTTTAGTTAAATGTAAATTGAAAATTTTGCATAGTATAAAATCAACTTTATACAATTTTGCTAAATAGAAATTCAATAATTTAATATTCGACGCCGTAAAAATTTTTATAAGTTAAATGTGTGGGTATTGGAAATTATATAATAATAAAATGCTTGGTCTGTCCTTCTGTCCTAACTTGAAGTTGGTCTTTTCTGATATCACGTGTGACAATTCTTTTTCTCATTTTTGCCAAAGTTGTATAATTGTGTTTCCAAATTTCGGAATAAGTTTCTTTAAAATTCCAAATTTGAAAATTCAATTCACGAAGCTGAAGTACACAACGTTTACCAATGAAATTTTTTTTAAAGTTGTATATTGATTCAAAAATTGTATACAAATACAAAAAATTTATGATGAGAAAAAAGATGCGCCGGGAAATTTCGTACAAGATAGTAATTTGAAAAAAAAATATTTTTAAAAATTAATTTTTAAGGTACCAGGGGCCAACGAATACCTATTAAATATTAGTTATAAAAACACAGGCCTCGAATCAACTTAAAGACACAAAAAGTCGTTTTAGACGATTTATATTCCAAAAAAAAGTGGATTTGTTTTTTATTTTAACAAAAATATTTTACAGATTTTTAAATAAAAATTTTTTTTTTAATAATAATCCTTTTCGAAGGGTTAAAGTTGAAAATTTAAGAAATAATTAAATTTCAAAAGATATTGTTAATTTTCAAACAATTATTAAATTTTACAGAACTAAAAATAATTTATCAAACAATTTTTGGAAAACATTTTTTAAATTTAATTGAATTTTCAAAGATTTAAAATTGAGATTTTTGAAATTAATTGAAACTTTAAGTGTTTTGTAATTAAAATTTTAGATGATTTCACTAAAAATTTATTAGAAAATGCGGACAAAATACAATAATTTGAAAATCATTTTTAATTGAAAAATGGTTTCAGATAGTTGAAATTTCAAAGAATATTATTAAAATAGTTAAAAATAATTGAATTTCCTCAGAGTTATAATTGAAATTATTAAATTTCAAAAAAAAAATTTTCGGTGAAAAATTTTAGAAATAATTAAATTTTAGATGCTTCTAAATTAAAATTATTGAAAATTCAATTAATTTTGAATTCAAATTTTTGAGAATAATGAAATTTTATTTGATTTTAAATTTGGAAAATAATTGAATTCTAGTTCATTTTGAATTGAAAATTTTGGGAAATAATTGAATTTGAATTGAAATTTTGGATGATAATTTAATTTAAGTTCATTTTTGATTGAAAATTTGGATAATTAATTTTAAATAGAAATTTTAGAAAATAATTGATTTTTATTTAATTTTAAATTGAAAATTTGGTAAATAATTAAATTTTAAATTGAAAATTTTGGATAATTATTGGATTTTTAATTGATTTCGAATTAAAATTTCGGGTAATAATTGAATTTTAGTTTATTTGGAATTGAAATTTTTAAAAAATAATTCAATTTTATTGTGATATATTTTTTTTAAATTATAAACAATTGTTAAATTTCATAAAAATTTTAATTGAAAAATAATTTTAATATAATTGAATTTGTGATGTATTTCATTAAAATTATTAAAAATAATTAATTTAGTGAAGAATCATTTTAGTTCAAAATTTGTTAAATAATTGAATTTAAGAAGATCTGAAGAAGATCTACATTTTATACTAAAAAAATGTATTTTATTTACATTTTTTTTCAAATGTAAAAAAAAATGTCGCATTTTATTAAAATAAGTCGATAAAAGTCGTATTTTTGAAAAAAGTCGGAAAAAGTCTTATAATCCGAGGCCTGTAAACATATAATTTTCATTATTATCATTTAATATGTAATAATATTCTAATAAATTAAATTATTATTGATAATATTAATTTTTTATTTCTTTATAACAAACAATTAAACACTCAATTTGGCGCGCTTGCGCGCGTTTAAATTTGCTAGTAAATAATAAATTATTCGTATTAATGAATAATTTACTTTATTTGAAGTTGAACTGATAAAATAAAATTGTATCAAATAATTTTTATTTATATTAAAAAAGCAAATATTTAACTGAGAAAAATTAATTAATTGTTATCCAAGTTTAAAAAATCATTTATTAGATTTAAAAAATAGTAGTAAATAATTATTTACTTAATGAATATAAGATATATCACATGCTTAATAATGGAGTGTGAAGGCCAACTTTTTAATTTGTATTTGCTTTGAGAAAAAAGTAAAAAAAATTTTGAAACTAATAGTTACTTTAATTTATTCATAAAAAATTTCAGAAAATTAAAGAAATTCCCTGACTTTTCCCTGATTTTCCTGATCGTTAGACACCCTGTTTAATTAAATAGAACAAATTTCTAAAAGAAAAATATTTAAAGTTTCATTTTAAAAATTTTTTGATATCTAATTTAAAATTTTGGTATACTTTTTAGTTTTAATGGTACAAAAAATTGTCGGATAATAATTAAGTTTTACAGATTTTTAAATTAAATTTTTTTTAAATAATTAAACTGCAGAATATTTTTAATTTGAAATCAATTTTCTACAAATTTAAACAGCTGTAGTTTTTTTTTCTTTCTTTAATTTCTGACAATACAAGTTTTGAGTTTTTGTTTGAAACTTTCTTAAATAATTGAATTTTTAAAGAAATATTAAAATTATTAAAAATAATTGAATTTTTGAAGAGTTAGTTTGACTGTTTGTTAAATAACAGACAATAATTAAATTTTACAGAATTAAAATTTTGAAGAATATTATAAAAATCATTAAAAATAATTAAATTTCAAAAAAGTTATATAGTTGAAATTATTTTTCAAAAAGTTTTAGATGGAAAATTATAGAAATAATTAAATTTGAGAAAGTTTTTAATAAAAAATTTTTGAAAATAGTTGAATTTGAATTAAAATTTTCTGTATTTTATTTGATTTTTTTTTAATTTTACACAATTATTGAATTTCATAAACTTTGTAATTGAAAAGTAGTCTAAGATAATTGAATTCGTCAAAAATTTCATTAAAATTATTAAAAATAATTAAATTAGAGAAGAATTTTTATTAAAAATTTGTTAAATAATTAAAAGAAAGAAGATCTGCATTGTATACTAAAAAGGCGTATATTGTTTAAAAATTTTTGTAAAAAATGTAAAAAAAAAAGTCGAAAAAGTCGCATCTTATTAAAATAAGTCGAAAATTCCATTAATTTTAAGTTTCGATAAATTCAAATAGCTTTTGATTAAAATTTTAATTAATAAATTTATTTTGTCTAACAAAAATTAGAACTGATTGAAGATCGTATCAGTTAAAATTTCAATTAAAATTTACATTTAATTGAAATTTCGATCGTTTAGAGTAGAATAAAATTTAATTAAATCGAAATTTGGATAAATTAAAAATTAAATAAATTCAAATTTGAATATTTCGATTAGAATAAGAAATTTTGTTTTTATATAAATGATTTTTATTTGAGTTTTATATTATTTATATGTCAAAATGTGTAATAATAAATTAAAGTACTTGAACTAAAATTTATTGACTATAAAAATAGAGTTTGTAAAATGTTTTAATATCGAGAAAATTAATAATAAATAACTCACCGAAATTCACTTTGATGTAAACTCATAGGCACAATAATGCATAATGATAAAATAAGTGCAACAAAATAGCCCGCAATTTGGCTCAATAATAAAATATTTGCAAGAGCCATTTACGTTGATAATTTTTGAGGTTATGTCACCTTCATAAACAATTTAAAAAAAAACAACACCTGCGTAAAAAGTTACGCGCAATGCACAATGACCTATCAATCACAAAGTACACTCGACTTCCTTTAATTAGTAAATCAATTCAATTTAATATTCAACAATCAAATTAATTCTTTAATATTCCTCACTTGTTACGCTTGTCATTCTTTTTCTTCGCATCAACAAAAGGAAAATGTCAGACAAGTGCCGTACACATTTTCATAAATCGTCTGAGAATAAAATTTTCATTTTATCTCTGTCTTTCTATTTCAAATCCATTTCACAATAAACTAAATAATTATAGAAAAAATTGTTGTTTTTAGTTATGTAGTGACATGAAAAAAGTTTCTTTTTAGAGTAATTTTTATTTTTCATTACATTGATACGTTCCTGGTAGTAGACAAGGAGAGAAAATACTGCGACATCAGCTGATTTCAATCAATGAAAAAGTAACCAAAGAGCCTCTGACGTTTCTTGTGTGTTTGGAATTATTATGAAAACAATAAAAACATCGCGCTACCTCCAGGACATTGTGGTGTCAAATTTAATAATTCGTTTATAATTCTTGACAACGCGTGTTTTATTATTATGTTTATTGTGATTGTCCCCGGGAATAGGACACGTGTATCGCGAATGTGGAGAATTATAAAAATAAAAATCCTCGACGCATTTTTCATCCAAGAGTAGAGTATATCATAAAACCTAACCTAACATTTGATTATTTCGCGCATATATGACGACAATTAGAGTTCCTGGAGAAACTTATTATCAACATTTCTCAACGTGAATCTAAATATTAATAAGTGTCAAATATTACAAACAAAGTGGAGTGTGTGTGATGTGAACGGTGTCCCGTTTTTTTTTCTTCTCGAGCGGGGGGCGAAAAGAAAAAAATAATATGTCGTGGTTAAATCCATTGGGACGCTTTCAATGGACCGAGGGTATCAAGAATACGGCCTGCAGGTACCTTTTGCAAAGGTATCTGGGACAATTTCTCGAAGAAAAACTCACCCTCGATCAACTCACTGTCAATCTTTGCAATGGCACTGGCTCTGTGACAAATGTCAAACTCGACGTTCAGGTATTTGCAATTTTTTCTTTGTTTCAATCTATATGTACAAAAATATTATTCTTATTATTTTTTTTTTATTATTATTATTGTTATTATTATTATCAGTATAGTGTGACCCTCGAGAGAGCTGATAATGCGCTATTGGATTTTTATTTTCCCACGCATATATATTATTTTTTTTTTTTTTTTAAATGAAATCTACGCGTTTGTTTATTTTTCCATTACCTTTAGTTGTGTTTTTTAAAAAAAGAATTATAAAGAATTTGTTTCTTGAGAAATAATGTTTTATATTAAAATAATTAAAAATAAATAATAATAAACAAAAGGAACTGTTCTTTTGTTTGCTAGTTATTACTTTTATTATTAATTATTGTTGTTGTTATTATTTTTTTTAATTATTATTATTATTATAATTTTATATTATTATTACTATTATTATTACTATTATTATTGCTATTATTATTATTTTTTAATACTATTTTCCTTTGTTTCTTAAATAGAGGGATTTTTTCCCCTAGAACTCCAATTGGAAGTGTTTTGGTAAATAAAAATTAAAATTGGGTCATGGCTATATATAGGGAAAGGGATTGTTGTGAAATTTAAGTTTTCTTTTGTGGTACCTACTTCTCATTCGAAAGGAGAAATTTCATAAAAAGTTTTGTAATTTTAATAAAAAAAAATATAATTTTAATATATTCTCATTTTTTCATTTATTGTTTTTCTTTTCTACTTTTAAATGTATAAATTTTTTTTTTAATTTTCCTCATATGTAATAAATCAAGGCTGATAAAAATCATTATTTTTTTTTTTTATTTATTTTTTACTTACGTAACATTTTTAAAAAGTTCATTTTTAAGTAGTTTGTTTTTTTAATAATTATTTAAACGATAAATTTAATACTACAAGTATCGGGAAATATTTTTATGTATTTTTTTATCAAAGAAAATAACAAAATTAAAACTATTCAACAAATTAATGTTTTTTAAAAAATTGTTTTTAAACGTCAATAACATTGTAATAATTTATATTAAAATTTTATAAATAAATAAATCGATACGTTTTTAAATATTTTATTAACTGGTTATGATAATTTTTATACAAAGATAACTTTGGATATAATTTCGGTAGAGTATATTTGCCAATTGGTGAAAAGATGAATTTTAAAATTTTAGAATAAACAAAATTGAATTTAAAAAAATATGTATTAAATATAAATTTAAAAAAAAAATGTTTATCCACTACAGTCTAGTAATAAATAAATAAAAGCAAATTAAAAAAAAATTATTCCCTAATAGCTTTTACAGAATTTTTGATAATTTAATTATCTATTAGAAAAATAATTTTTTATTTCTAAAAGTTAGACTTTTTTGAAATATTTTATAGTTTAAAATTTTTTAAAAATATTTAAAGTGTGAAAATTTTTTAAAAACATTTATGTCAATTTGAATTTGAAACTTCTTTGTAATCATAATTTTTTAAATGTTTTTGAAATTGAAAAACTTTTTTTTTTATAATGTTTCTTTGTTTTTATTTCAAATTTTTCTAATATAACAATAATCGATAATATTTAGTAATAAATATCGTTTTATTTTATTTATTTTTTTAATTCAGAAAATTCAAAATATTGAACATATTTTTTACAAAATATTTTTATTTCGATTTTAATAAACTTTTTTTTTCTAATTTTTCACGTTGAAAAATTAGTGTAAATATCAATTTAGTAAATTTAAAATAAAAATATAATTCAATTTATGTAAATTACAATCGAAATAAAATTGATTCCTCTCCTTAAATTTTTCATACTTTCTATTTATTTATCTAAACTTGTTGTTAAAAATTCTACATATTTTTTAATTAATAATTCCACATATGAATAATAATAATAATAAAAATAATTTATAATAATTTATGAAAATTTATTTATATAATAAATATTTAATTTTTGCATAAGAAATTTATATTTCTGAGTCATCACACCACGGCTTATTTCTTTCTTATAATGTTTTTCATTTATTCAAGTGCCTATAGAAATCTATTTACGCATATATATATAAATTTTCTTTCTTTGTTTTAGATTATAGATTATTTAAAAATAATTTCTACACCATATATTTGATAAGCTCCATTGAAATTATCATAAAAATATATATTTATTTACCGTGGAGTTATTTTAATTTTTGTTTTTTCCAATTAATATTGTCCATAACACAATATAATTAATTCTTTTTATTTCTTCATTAACAACACGCTTATAATCGCATTTATACATATGTATATATCTTTGCCTCTTTTTTTGTTATTCTACAATATGTGATTTATTAATGCAATTATAGATTCACTATATTATAGCAAATTAATAATCAATTGATTAATTAATCGATACAAAAAAAAGAAAATTTAATCTGTTATGCAGTAAGTCAAGTTCACTTTTGAATTTCAAGGCTCAATAAATAAATAATTAATTAAATAATTATTTAAATAATTACACAAAAAATATATATATATATATAAATAATTTTTTTTATAATAATTAATTTTTTATTTTTTTCCAAAAATAAAAAATTAGATTTATTATTATTATCAGCTATTAAAAATTGAGATTTTAGTGAAAAAATGATTTTGTTTTTCAGGCCCTGAACGAGATGGGCAAACAGCAACAGTTGCCGTTTCAATTTATCGACGGTTCCGTCGACGAAATGTCGATAAGCATTCCGTGGTTGAAGCTGTTAACGGAACCGAGTTACATTGAAATTAAAGGACTTCGATTGACGATTCAGCCAAGAAAACGGGAAGACACAGGAACATCGATGTTTGAATCTATGTTGAGCTCAATGAGTTCTAGTATGCAACTCGCTCAAGAATGTCTTCAAGAAGACGCTAAAGACGCTGGAAATTCACAGCCACTCGAGAGTGTTGAACTTTTCGCACAAACAATAGATTCAAGTAAAATAAATTATAATCTATCTTTTAATTAAAAATTTATTTAATTTACGTATTTATGTTTCAAATTAATTCTATTTTTTCAAAATTCAATTTTTATTCGAGTATTTCTTTTATAATTTACCGAAGATTTTTTTTTTCTCGTAAAAATATTGAATTAGTATTTTTAAATTAATTTAATTAATTAATAAAATTTTATTTGCATTTTTTGTAAATTATTTTTAATTTTAGTTAATCAATTATTTTTTTTAAAAAAAGGCGAAATTTTGAAAATCGGGAAAGTAACTGAAAAATAAATTTTTTATTAAAAATTTAATAGATCGAATTTTAAAATTAACGAAATTTCAATTTATCTAAATATTAATTGAATTAAGTTTAAAATTTGTCCAATTTTAATTTATTGTATTTATAATTATTATTAATTTAATTAATCAATTTAATTAAATTTTTTTCATTCAAATTTTAATTGAATCGAAATTTTTAATTTAACTTTAAAGTTATCCGAACTTTCAATCAATTCTAATTTTTATTGATAAAAACAAATTTTTTAATTTAAATGTTAATCAATATCAAATGAAAATTCAGTTGATCGAATATTAAAATTAACAAAGTTTTAATTTATCTAAAGATTAATTGAATTAAGTGTCAAATTATTCGATATTCAATTAAACAAATTTTAATTGATTTAAGTTTTAAAAGATCTAAATTTTAATTGATTTAAGTTTTAAAAGATCTAAATTTTAATTGATTTAAGTTTCAAATTTACTGAATTTCAATTTTTCGAAATTTTATTTGATTTTAATTTTATATAACTAATTTCGATTTATTTAAATCTTAAGTTTAAAATTATTTGAATTTCAATATTTTCGAATTTTAATTTCTTAAAATTTAAAATCGAAATTAAATTATTATTGATTTAAGTTTCAATTTATCAAAAAATTAATTTTTCCTGATTTATAAACTATTAATGCTAGTAATGATGAAAAATTTCAATTAATTAATATTTAAATAGATAGAAATTTGTTATTTTGCATGTTAATTGGTTTTAACTATCATTTTTTTTTTATCAGCTTTTTGTCATCTATTTTCAGTAAATGATTCACCTTTTTACCTGTTTTCAAGAAAAAACTTACTGTAATCCCTGAAATTGAACATGAGCTTTATATTTGCATTATTCTTTCAAATTAGAATCGTATTCAATATTTTTTAAAATTTTACTATTCTTTTTTTTCAAATTCACAACATTTTAAAATTAATTCATTAACAATAAAATTCAAATATTTAAAAATCAAATTATATTAAAATTTTGAAATCTATAAAAAAAGAATTTTTAATCAATTTTTTGTTTGAAATTTAATTATTATTTTTTTAAAGTTAAAAAATAATTTTTAATCGATTTTACATTTTTTTCAGCAGTCAAAACGAATCGATTTATTTATCTGATATTTAGAAAATAAAAATATAATTACTTTTTACAAATTTTTTTACAAAATCAAAAATTTTTGTTATCATTTTTTCCATTACTATTTTTTAAAAGTGATAAAATAATTAATTCAAAAAAATTGAAAATACTTAAAATATATAAGTTTATTTTAGATTAGGAAAAACAACTTTTTGTAATTGTAAAAAAAAAAATGTTTCAGTTCTGTGCAAAATCAAAGTCAGATTTCTAAACACAGTAATTCGAATGGAACATATGCCATTGGGATCGAGAACAGGTGTTGCTTTGGAAATAAGAATAAGAAATTTAGAATATTCCGATGAGGCCGGCTCGGATCCAAGTAACGCAAATTTAGATCCAAATCTTCAATCGAAAGGATACGTCATTCCGGCATTTATGACAAAGAAATTTTATTTAGAAGGTGTAACAATATTCACTGATGAATTTCCTTTCACAGCAAGAACTTCTTCACGAAGTCGTTGTTCTACTCCCGACTCAAAGGTAAACTAAATTCTTCTTCTTTTGGTTTTTAAATTTTTTATTATTTTTCAAAACAAATAAAAAATGTTTTTTCTTTTTTCCACCCTCAGAATTCCGATGCGCAATATTCATCACCTCAAATATCACCAAATCAAAGTTTCCAAACGGGCGTCGATAGTGACGCAAACAATTCACCGACTAGTGTTAAGAGTCCAATAATAATTGCAAAAATTTCCGGACGACAGGAATTGAGATTGAAAGTGAAACAGGGTGAGGTGCCGGGGCCAAAAGTGGAATTGGAAATGATTTTGGGTTCGTTCACGACATTTTTGAGTCCAAGACAAATGCATGTTTTAATTGAATTGGCACATGGACTTGCATCACCTGATATGGAGGATGTGAGTAATGTGCCGTCGAGAAATTGTACGGAAAAACCAATGTTAAACAGTGATTTTAATCGTGTTGAACGTGAACTTCTTCAGAAAATTCAACCACTTCAAGGTCTTCGGACAATGGTAAAAATATTTTCAATATATTATTTATACAATTAATTATATAGAATAAAATGATAATATTTTATTTTAATTCATGCCATTGACTTTATGAATTTTTTATTTTTCAAATTTTCCGATTTTTTTTCGAAATACGTCTTTTTTTACATTAAAAAAAAAAATTTAATAAAATACGTCTTTTTAGTATACAATACAGATTTTCTTTAGATCTTCTTTATTTCAATTATTTAACAAAATTTTAACTAAAATTATTTTCAATTATTTTAATGAAATTCTTCACAAATTCAATTATCTTAAACTATTTTTCAATTAAATCATTTTATGAGATTCAATAATTGTTTAAAATTAAAAAAAAATCGGCAAATAAAAATACCAAAGATTTCAATTCAAAATTGTTTTTAATTCAATTATTTTAAAAAATTTCAATTTAAAACCTTATAAAATTTAAACGTAAACTACAAATAAATAAATAAAATTTAATTATTTCTAAAAATATCAACTTAACTCTTCCAAAATTTAATGATTTTAAATGATTTTTATAATATTCTTTGAAATTTCAATCATCTAAAATCATTTTTAAATTAAAAACTTCTGAAATTTAATTTTTGTTTGTAATTTCTAATAAATTCTCCAGCAAAAGAAATCATCAAAAATTCTAATCAAAAAAATGGTTGAAATTCAATTATTTTCGATAATCTGAATTGTAAATCTTTGAAAATTGAATTATTTTTAAAAAAGATTATCTAAAATTATTTGATAAATTATTTTCAATTCTATAAAATTTAAGTACTATCTGAAACTTGACAATATCTTTTGAACTTCAATTATATTTAAAAATTTTAACTTCAACTCTTCCAAAATTAAATTATTTTTAATAATTTTAATAATATTCTTCAAAAATTAAATCCTCTAAAATCATTTGTCAGTTAACAATTTTTAAAATTCAATTTCTGTTTGTAATTTCTAAAAACTTCTTCACTAATAGAAATTATCGAAAATTTCGATCAAAAATTAGTTAAAATTCAATTATTTTCATAAATCTGAATTGTAAATCTTTGAAATATATAAATTATTTTTTGAATTTTTATCTAAAATTATTTGATAAATTATTTTCAATTCTGTAAAATTCAATTATTGTCTAAAAATTAATAAAATCTTTTGAACTTCAATTATATTTAAAAATTTTAACTTCAACTCTTCCAAAATTTAATTATTTTTAATAATTTTAATAATATTTTTCAAAAATTAAATCCTCTAAAATCATTTGTCTGTTAACAATTTTTAAAATTCAATTTTTGTTTGTAATTTCTAAAAACTTCTTCACTAACAGAAATGATCAAAAATTTCGATAAAAAATTAGTTAAAATTCAATTATTTTCATAAATCTGAATTGTAAATCTTTGATATATATAAATTATTTTTTGAATTTTTATCTAAAATTATTTGATAAATTATTTTCAATTCTGTAAAATTCAATTATTGTCTGAAACTTAATAAAATCAATAAATTAATCAATAAATCAATAAATTCAATTATTTCTAAAAAAAAAATTCAACTGTAACTTAAAATTCAATTATTTTTAATGATTTTAATATTTCTCTAAAAATTTAATTATTTAAAGAAGTTTCAAATAAAAACTCTAAAATTAAATTGTTGTCAGAAATTTAAAATAATAAAATTACAGCAGTTTAAATTTGCAGAAAATTTATTTTAAATTTAAAATAATGAGTAATTAAATTATTTAAAAAAAATTAATTTAAAAATCTGTAAAAATCTATTAAAACTAAAAACTATGCAAAAATTTTAAATTCGAATAAATTGTTTAAATTAGACTTCCAAATTTGAAAAATAGAATTTTAAGAATTTTTTTCAGAAATTTGTCCTACTTAATTAGAATTTTGTAAAATTTGATTGCAGATTTTTAAAATAATTGTATTTTTTAAAGAATTTCATTAAAATTTTTGAAAATATACCTACACTTAAATTTTTGAAGAATTTTAATGAAAAAATTGCTAATTTTTAAAACTTAAAAAGGCCTTGAACTTTTTTTTTATTAGATAATTCCTTATACTATTTTTAAGTTCTCCATAAAATTTTAGCTCAATCTATCAAATATTTTTGCGAGAAAATCTGCGGAGAATATTTACATGTGAAATCACATGATTTTAAATAAAAATGTTTCGTGAATTAAAAATTGAAATATATTTTCAGGATTTGAGGCACACACAAGGTTGGTCATCAACAACAATGGAATCAGACAACGAAGATGAATTCCTTCCAATGCGTGCACCAGGCGCTAATTCAATGTGCGATTCACTAACAAGTAATAACACCAGTATGGACGGAAGTATAACAACTTCGAGTATTAGTTCAAAAAGTTCAATGAATAATGTTCATAAAAATCAAAAATATCGTCAAAGTATAGATATGGATACATCGGCTGAGACATCACAATTTCATGTGAGAGTTTCATCAATTGCCATGGTTCTTCTTCATGAAGATATTTTAACATTATGCACCGAGGGTATTGGTTTAACGAGAGCAAGTACACGACAAATGGAAATAATTGCTGAGGAATTTTTCAAAAATATGGATTTCTTTGTTTCAAGTGGCTATGGAAATAAAGACTTTGAGAAAGCATCGAAAATGTTTATTGAGGCCTGTCAACTTAGTCATATAAGAATTCTTGCTGCACCATTAGTGATTGAGGCCAGTGAAAAAACAACAGCTCAATTTTCATCTATTTCATGTAGTTTAAGTCTCGCGAGTTTAGAAATTGTCGAGTCATTAGTCAATTCAAATTCAACAAATTCCACATGTCAAGGAACAATAACTCCCGTCACGGAATTTATTGAACTTCTTGCCTTTTTTAAGGATTCAAATAAATTGGGATTTTCAAATACAACGGATTTTCGAATGTGTTTTAAACACACGGAAAAGGCAATAAGACATGGACAAAGCACGAAATTTGCACATCCACGAACGGAAATTGAGTAAGTTTTTTTTTTAATTCATACTTTTCCGAATTTTTCACAAAATTTCTAAACAAAATACGTCTTTTCACTATAAAATGCAGGTCTTCTTTATTTCAATTATTTAACAAATTTGTAACAAAAATTCTTCTCTAAATTAATAAATTATAATAATTTTAATGTAGTTATTGACGAATTCAATTATTTTAAACTATTTTTTAATTAAAAATTTTATGAAATTTAATAATTGTCTAAAATTTAAAAAAATTAGCAAATAAAAAACTAAAAATTTCAATTCAAATTCACTTACTTTAAAAAATTTTCATTTAAAACCTTCTAAAAAATTATTTCTAAAATCTTCCAACTGAAACTTTCTGAAATTTAATAATTTCAACTATTTAATTATTTATAACGATTATTTTTTTCATTTTTATTTTTATTTATCGATTTTAATTATTATTTTTTGAAATTAAATTATTTTTAATGATTTTAAAAATAATCTTCGATAATTCAATTATTTAAAAGCATTTGTCAATTAAAAGCTTTTAGAGTTCAATTTTTGTATGTAATTTCTAATAAATTTTTTAACAACAGAAATTACCGAAAATTGCAATCAAAAATCACTTGAAATTCAATTATTTTCAAAAATCTGAATTGTAAGTTTTCGAAAATTCAATTATTTTTAAAAATTTTATTTAAAGTTATTTGATATATTATTTTAAATTCTGTAAAATTTAGAATGAATTGATTAAATTAGACTTAAAAAAATTTTTAAAATAGAATTTTGAGCATTTTTTTTTTAATAAATTTGGTCCTCCTTAATTAAAATTTTGAAAATTTGTCTTTGTTCGATTCTGAAATATTCCAAATGAATTTTCATGATAATATTCTTATCTTATTACTGTTAAGGAATTAAAATAATGAATTTAATATCTAAGCATTAGTTACTTGAAATAAAATATTTATTAACTAATTATTAAATTTAATTAAAATAAAAAAAAATCTACTTTTTTAGAATTTAAATCGACTAAAACGAATTTTTTTGTGCCTTAAAGTCAATTCGAATACTGTTATTTAAATCTTCTTTTTTTGTGACTCGGGTAATAACCGAACCTTGAAACCTTGAAAACAGGGAAAACGACATGAATTCAGTTACTCATTGAAAAAACCGTGAATTCCCTTTGAATTTTTAATTGAACCTGGAATTTTTTTTTTTTTCAATTCACATTTTTATTTTCTTTTAAATTGAAATTTGTGATGAATTATCCTAAATTTTTTGGTTTACTTCGAAATAAAACGTTTTTTAAAAAAATGAAAAACTAAGAATTTGTAAAAACAAATTTTATAACTGATTGATTAAAAAAATACGATTCTAAAATTAAAAATTAACTCTAATTGAGTTTTATAGAATTTTTAATTACATTTTTTTTTTAATAATTGAAATTATACTAAAATTTTTTTTAATTATATTTGAATAATTTTTTTTCAGCATTAAATTGGGACCAATAAGAAGCGAAATTGATGTTACGATTGTTGATCGAATTTCTGCTGTTTTAAATCCACAACCAATTTGCACCTGTAGTTCAAGTTCATCAACGAGAGATGCTTTAGTAAGTTTTCTATTTTTATTAGAGTTTATTTTCCTGTATTTTAATTTATTATTTTTTCAATTTCTTTTGTAGACTATTTTACAGTTTTGGTATAGTGATTTTCAATTTTTAAATAATAATAATAATAATAATTAATAATAATTACTTTTTACAGAATCAGCAATCTCTTTTTGAGAGTCCACACTTACCAGATTCTAGGACAGATATTAAAATTTCATCACCTCATTGTGTCATAAAACTAAGGTAAATAATATCTTTCTATTTAATTTATTATTTTCACACAAGTTTTTTTTTTTTATTTTTATTGACACTTTTTACATATAATTATAAAAAAAAAATTTATTTTGATTTTACTACTGAAAATGCGATTTATCGACTTTTTTTTAAACTCAAGCAGAATTTTTCTAATTAAAGTTAGAATAAAGTTGCAAAAAATACTTTTAATTTTTAATTGATTGTAATTAAAAAACAATATTAGCTACAATCAATTGAAGAGATATTTGTTATTTTTATAAAAAAAATAATTTTGAATTTTTTTTTAATTTAGACTTTTTAAAACACTTTTTCAAAAGTTCAAATCTGAAAGAATTATTATTCTAATATATAATAACTATTTAAAATAATAGATTTGGAAAAATTAATTTTCGCTAAAAGTGCCTCGGAAAAAACTTTTGGAAAAAATAATTCGGAAGAAAAATCGTTCGGTAAATAAACATATTCGGAATTTGGAAAATTCAAAATTTTTTTCGAAAAAAATGTCTGGAAACAGATTTTTTGTACATATAATTAAAATAGAAAATTTACTGATATTATCTTAAAAATTTTATCCAAAAGTCTAAATTTGATTAATTTCCATAAATTAATTTTAATTAATTTTTTTAAGACTAATTTCTAAAATGGTCAAAAATTAAAATTTTATTTTTTTTTACCATTCTTTACGTTTTTAGGACCCAAATGATGGAAGAAAAAAAATATAACTTTTTAAATTTAAGTCGGTCAAAATTGGGGGTTGTGCTTCCCCCCTTAAATTATTTTTAAAAAAAATTTATTGTGTATAAAAAGAATTAATATTTTTATGAAAAATGACAATAATTTTTTTTTTTTTGTCTTTTAATAAAAGATTTCCAATTCCCGATATGAGACCATTGCACGACATGAATCGTGTTCCCTGGTGGAAACGTTCAGTGCGTGGTGACTATGTCACTTTCAATTTAATGGATACAAAAATTCATTCATCAATGGAGAGTCGATTACGTTATTTGTCACGACATGAGATTCAATGTCGACAATTACTCATGACATACACTGAGGCCGATTCTGATGTTCCTGTGGAAATTGGAAAAGCATCGGCTGATGAAAAATCCGATGGCACATCATTGCAACAGGACAATAGTGAGGGTTTTGGTTGGCCGAGAATTGTTATTACAATTTTTCCAAAACATTTGGGTGGTCCATTGGAGGATAGCTCGGAAGGTGAACCTGACTCGAGTTTAGATGATACTCTTCAAAATTTGGAGAATGCCTCGAGACACGCACCATCGCCGTTTAGTTCAAAAAGAATTATTCACGAATCCGATACGCCTCATTCTCGATCTCAAGCTCAAGGCGAACGAAATGATACTGATAACAGGTTTGATGATAATTATTACTTTTTTTTTATAAAATATTTTTTACTATTAGTTGCTTTACATTTTTAATTCTTTAATTTTTTTTTACTTTTTTAAATTGATATTTAACCATTTATTAGAAATTTTATTTGTTTATTTATTTCTCAATATTTCATTTCTTTTTTTTAAAAATAAATTCAGGATGTCTAGCGACCTGGTCCTTGAATTTTATATGTAAAAGTTCTTGAATTTTTTATTTGGTCTTGGAATTTTCTATTTCGTGTAAGATTTTTTTTCTAACTGCGTTTGAAAACACGAAATTTGGTAAAATAAAAAATAAGTTCGACTTTTTCGACTTTTTTTTTAAACATTTTTTAAATAAAAATACTACTTTTTTAGTATATTTACATCTTCCAAAACTGAATTATTAAATTAATATTAACTAAAATTTTTTCACAAAATAATAATTTAAATCAAGTTCTCTAAAAATTCTCTTATTTAAAATATTTTTTTAATGAAAATTCTTTTAAATTCAATTATTGTTTAAATTATGTAAAAAAAAATTCAATTAAAATTTATGAAAGTTCCGATTTAAAATCTCCTGAAATTCAATTATTTCTAAAAATTTTTAATTTAAATTTTCGAAAAATTAATTATTTAAAAAATTCTTTGGAAAATTAATTATTTCTAATAAATTTTATCAACATTTTCAAAAATTTAATTTTTTTAAAACATTTTTTAGTTCAAAATTCTCTAAAATTCAATTATTATTATTATTATTATTATCAAAAGGTTATAAAAAAAACCTACAGCAATTCAAATTTAACAAAATTGTTTTCAAATATCTTCAAAAATTTTTTGTTAATTTTTTCTAAATTTATTTTTTCAATAATACTTTAATGCGTCCTTCCAAATAAAAAACATTTTGTTTTTCATTTCTTAATTAAATATTTAAAAAACAAAATTTCTGTTTTCAAAAATTCAAGCTGAACGTTTCAAATTTGCATTTACCTTTAATTTAAAAACTGATATTTGTCAAAATTTGTCATCTCATTTTGAATATTACAAAATTTACTTATTTTATAATTGTAATTTCTAATATTTTTCCAAATTTTCTAAATGTTTTTTTTTTTTTTTTTTAATATTTCAAAAGAGATGGTGAGGAATTGATTATTCCCGGAAATCGTCAAGAAATGCTCGAATTTATTGAGGAGGGAACTCGTGGTTCAAGAATACAATTGGAAATTGGTCTACCTTGTACTTCAATTCAAATTCCATCGAAACATTTGTATGAATTATTGTACAATCGTTTTAATTCTGATCTATTATTGTGGGAACCGTCAGCGCCAAGACCAATGTACACATCACCGGATACACACATTGGTCTCGATTTTTCGCCAAATCTCTTACAAGAATCAATATATCCCAAGTAAGAAAAATATTTTTATTATTTTGCTTATTAAAAAAAAAAAAATTCAAATCTTTTTCTCACTGAAATATTTTTATTTTTATTTTTAAATTTCATATCAAAAGTGTTATAATTTTCTTCATTTATTTAATTATTTCTTTAGATTATTGATAAAAAATTTTGCTGAATAAGAATTTTATTAAATAGAAATTACAATAAATGTAAATTCTGTTAATAAAAATATTTGGATAAATAGAAATTCGATAAAAGAACAATTCTGTTAAATAAAAATTATTAAAAAAAAAAAAATTTGAAAAATGTTTAGATTCAGCATGTGTAAAAGTGGAATACAATATGACTCGGAATCGGATTCAGAGGATGAGGGAATATTTTATTCGACAGCTGAAAAAAGTATGAAAACAAAGCAAATTCGATTATCAAAAAATGGACAATCAAAAATTGCATTAACTTTAAATATTAATCATGGTTTATTAAGTATGTATACGCCGGTGAGAGATTCAATGAGAAATGTAATACCGGGACAACAGGGTGAATTAATATTGAGAGTTGAGGATGCGACATTATTTTTTGTCACATCGTATAAAGGTGATATTAATTTGGGATATATTTGTGCAATGTCAAAAAATATTTCACTAAATCATTGTGGATTAACAACAACACCATCGCAAACACCGCCATTGCGATCGATTAACAGCATTATACCGAGGCATTGTCTTCAGACAATATATAGAAGTGAATCAGGAACAAATGTCACGCTCAAATCAACTGACAAAGATATGCTCGCTGTTGCTATTCGTATACAAGCTGCGCATCAAACACACAAAATAAAGGTGAGTTTTATTTTGCATTTTTAGCATTATTATTAATTTTTTTTTTTTCATTTTTTAATTTGAAGCGTTAAAATCATTATTACCCGTCAACCAGAGTAATTATACTCACAAATGAACTATTTTTTTTACTCGACATTTATGATTAAAATTTAGAATTAAAAAATGTTTGTTAACTACTGTAGGCATCGGATTATACGACTTTTTCCAACTTTTTTCGAATTATTTTACTAAGATGCGACTTTTTCGACTTTTTTTAACTTTTTTTTTTTTAAAAATTTCTAAACAAAATACGTCTTTTTTAGTATACAATGAAAATCTTCTTCAGGTCTTTTTATTTCAATTATTATTTAACGAATTTTTAACTAAAATTATTTTCTAAATTAACTATTTTTAATGATTTTAATGAAATTCTTCACAAATTCAATTATCCTAAACTATTTTTCAATTAAATCATTTTATGAAATTCAATAATTGTTTAAAATTTAAAAAAAATAGGCAAATAAAATTATCAAAAATTTTAATTCAATATCATATGAAATACAATTATTTTCAAAAATTTCAATTTAAAATCTTGTAAAATTTATTTATTTCTAAAATTTTTCATCAAAAACTTTCTGAAATATAATAATTTCATCTATAACTTTTCCAAAATTCAATTATTTTTAATTATTTTTATATATATATTTATATATTTTTTAAATTATTTTATCTTCTAAAATTCAATTATCCGTAAATATTTTTCAATTTTAAACTTTAAACTTTAATTAAATTAAAAAGTTGGTCTTCACACTCAATTATTAAGCATGTGATATATCTTATATTCATTAAGTAAATAATTATTTACTACTATTTTTTCAATCTAATAAATGATTTTTTGAACTTGGATAACAATTAATTAATTTTTTTCACTGAAATTTTTGGTTTTTTAATATAAATAAAAATTATTTGATACAATTTTATTTTGTCGGTTCAACTTCAAATAAAGTAAATTATTCATTAATACGAATAATTAATTGTTTTAAATTAAATGTTGAGAATATTTTATACGACCCCAATTAGTTTATTTATTTCACTTAAATATTTTATTTTTTACGAAACATTATTTATTTGATTCAAATACATATGAAATTAGTGGATAATAGACAGAAAAATGATTTAATTGTTTCAAAATAAAAATTTTTTAGTGTAATTTAGGTTAGGGAAAAGTCAGGGAATTTTTTTCCTAACAATTGTTAGACACCCTGTTTAAGTTTCAATTTTTGTTTGTAATTTCTAATAAAATTTTCGGTAACAGAAATCATCAACAATTTTAATAAAAAATCACTTGAAATTCAATTATTTTCAAGAATATAAATTTTAAATGTTTAAAATTTTAATTTTTTTTTAAATTTTATTTTTAAAAAAACTAATTTAAAATTATTTGATAAATTATTTTTAATTCTCTAAAATTTAATATTATTGTCTAAAGTTTAACAAAATCTTTTGAAATTCAAATATTTTAAAAAAATTTCAACTTTAACTTTTCTAAATTCAATTTTTTAAAATAATTTTCTATTATAATATTTTTCAAAAATTCAATTAAAATTCAAATCTGATAGATTTTTCAATTAAAAACTTCTGAATCATTCAATGTTCAATTATTTTCAGAAATCTGAATTATAAATCTTTGAATATTCAATTACTTTTAAAAAATATTATCTAAAATTATTTGATTAATTATTTTCAATTCAGTAAAATTTAATTATTGTTTGAAATTTGAAAAAATTTTTTGAAATTCAATTATATCTAAAAATTTCAACTGTGACTCTTCCACAATTCAATTATTTAAAATAGTTTCAAATAAAAACTCTAAAATTAAATGACTGACTGAAATTTTTTTGACTCATTAAAACTAAAAACTATACCAAAATTTAAAATTCGAATAAATTGTTTAAATCAGACTTCAAAAAATTTTTAAAATGAAACTTTAAGAATTTTTTAAATAAATTTGTTCTATATAATTAAAATTTTTTAAAGTCTTAGTTCGATTTTGAAATATTCGAAATAAATTTTATTGATAACTAATAATTATTTATATAATAATAAAATTCTTGGTCTGTCCTTCTGTCCTAACTTGAAGTTGGCCTTTTCTGATTTCACGTGTTTTTTTGAATAGTAATCTTATGACGTGTCAAATTTTGACAATTCTTTTTCTCATTTTTGCCAAAGTTGTATAATTGTGTTTCCAAATTCTGGAATAAGTTTCTTTAAAATTCCAAATTCGAAAATTCAATTCACGAAGCTGAAGTACACAACGTTTACCAACGAAATTTTTTTTAAAGTTGCATATTTATTCAAAAATTGTATACAAATACAAAAAATTTATGATGAGAAAAAAGATGCGCCAGGAAATTTCGTACAAGATAGTAATTTGAAAAAAATTTATTTTTAAAAATTAATTTTTAAGGTACCAGGGGCCAACGAATACCTATTAAATATTAATTATAAAAACACAGGCCTCGAATCAACTTAAAGACACAAAAAGTCGTTTTAGTCGATTTATATTCCAAAAAAAAGTGTAGGTATTTGTTTTTTATTTTAACAAAAATATTTTACAGATTTAAAAAAAAAAAATTTTTTTTAATAATAATCCTTTTCGAAGGGTTAAAGTTGAAATTTTTAGAAATAATTAAATTTCAAAAGATATTGTTAATTTTCAAACAATTATTAAATTTTACAGAACTAAAAATAATTTATCAAACAATTTTTGGAAAACATTTTTTAAATTTAATTGAATTTTCAAAGATTTAAAATTGAGATTTTTGAAATTAATTGAAACTTTAAGTGTTTTGTAATTAAAATTTTAGATGATTTTACTAAAAATTTATTAGAAAATGAGGACAAAATACAATAATTTGAAAATCATTTTTAATTGAAAAATGGTTTCAGATAGTTGAATTTTCAAAGAATATTATTAAAATAGTTAAAAATAATTGAATTTTCTTAGAGTTATAATTGAAATTATTCAATTTCAAAAATTTTAGAAATAATTAAATTTTAGATGCTTTTAAATTAAAATTATTGAAAATTCAATTAATTTTGAATTCAAATTTTTGAGAATAATGAAATTTTATTTGATTTTTTTGGAAAATAATTGAATTTCAGTTCATTTTGAATTAAAAATTTTGGGAAATAATTGAATTTTAATTGAAATTTTGGATAATAATTTAATTTAAGTTCATTTTTGATTGAAAATTTGAATAATTAATTTTGAATAGAAATTTTAGAAAACAAATGAGTCAAAAGTTTTGAACGTTCATTTGAACGAAATTTTTTTTGCAATTTCTTTAAGTACGAATTTTATTACAAAATATTGTTCAAAATATCTAAAAAGAAGTTGTTAATTTAATTATTGTTTAATTTACTGTTTTATTTTACATAGTCATCATAATTTTTAATAATTTATAGATGGAAAAAAATATTTCGTTCATATGAACGTTCAAAACTTTCGGTTAATTGGATTTTATTTCATTTTAAATTGAAAACTTGGTAAATAATTCAATTTTAAATTGAAAATTTTTGATAATTATTGGATTTTTAATTGATTTTGAATTAAAATTTCGGGTAATAATTGAATTTTAGTTTATTTTGAATTGAAATTTTTAAAAAATAATTAATTTTTATTGTGATATTTATTTTTAAAATTATAAACAATTGTTAAATTTTATAAAAATTTTAATTGAAAAATAATATTGATATAATTGAATTTGTGATGTATTTCATTAAAATTATTAAAAATAATTAATTTAGTGAAGAATCATTTTAGTTCAAAATTTGTTAAATAATTGAATTGAAGAAGATCTGAAGAAGATCTACATTTTATACTAAAAAATTTATTTTATTTACATTTTTTTCAAATATAAAAAAAATGTCGCATTTTATTAAAAGAAGTCGATAAAAGTCGTATTTTTGAAAAAAGTCGGAAAAAGTCGTATAATTCGAGGCCTGTAAACATATAATTTTCATTATTATCATTTAATATGTAATAATATTCTAATAAATTAAATTATTATTAATAATATTAATCTTTAATTTCTTTATAACAAACAATTAAATACTCAATTTGTCGCGCTTGCACGCGTTTAATTTTGCTAGTTTAATTAATAATTAATTAATAATATAATTAATAATATAATTAATAATAATTAGTTGATAATTAATAATTTTTTATTGAAATTTTATTATTCATTATTCTCATAAAGGAATTAATAAAACGAATTTCATATCTAATAACATTAGTTAGTTAAAGTAAAATATTTATTAACTAATTAAATTTAGTTAAAATTTCAAAAATCGATTTTTTTAAAATGTAAATCGACAAAAACGATTTTTTTTGCGCTTTAAAGTCGATCCGAGGCCTGTATTTTCTTTTACTCAACGCATGATTAAAATTCAGAATTTAAAAAAAAAATTGTTAACTATTGCGTTATGTTGTAGACGTTTTTCTGGAGTGTTCCTTATAAATTGGACGATAAAAATTTTTTTTACTGGAGTTATAGAAAGAATTGAATGAATTTAGAAACTCGTTTAGAAATTAAGATGGATTTTGTAAAACTATCAAATACTTTTCCACTCTATTTTTTTTTGTAGACTTTTAGGGTGGCAGTTGGAATAAGAAATGCGACCCTCAGGCATCGAATGAGCGCAACTCAATCTTCATGGTTCTCACAATTAACTGACTGTTTGGACGTTACTGATCATCCAATCGCGGGTTATTCTCCACCGGGAGTACTTACCGAATTGCATCTTCATCTCTGGGACTGTGCAGTTGCTTACAGGTAAATTTTTCATCTCTTTTCCTTCCTCATGTAGAAAGTATTGTAATATTTTTTTCAAATTCGATTTTATGATTTATCTTTGTTTTTCGATCTCAGGAATAAAATATCTCGAATTCTATAAAAGCTATAGGGATTACTTTTTTTAAATTGTTATTTTATTGACATTTCAAAAGTCAAAACATTTTTGGATAATTTTAGTTAAAAATTTTTAATCATCTTTTTTATTCACAATTAGTTTTATTTTTAACTTGCGGGAAAGAAAAATTAATATTTAAAAAAAACATTTAATTCTTTAGTTTAGGTAAATGCTTTTTTGTTTTCTTTTATAGACCAATTCATCTTCCACTGAGATCAATGGTTACATTGGGAAGTTTCAGTATATCGAGTAATATTGCAGCTCAAACAAATACATCGACTCTTCGTTTTATCGCTGAGGATTTGGCTTTATTTATTTCCGATAAGCTTGGCAATCATGTGGATTTGAAAAGAGATTTTGTCTGTGTAATGGATTTGGGTCTCTTTGAATTGTCATTGAGACTCAATGAGAAAATGTGCGGCGGTGCACCGCGTGTTGATTTACGTGCAAGTAACAATTGTTTACACGTGAGAACTTGCGCTGATTCGGGCAGTGCTTTAATGCAACTTTTAACATATTTCGCGAGTGATGGTGATATCGCGTCAAATCTTGATACAAGTGATACAATATCAGTGCCAGGATCGGGAGATGAAGAGACATTACTTGGCGATGAGACAGCTAATAATTTGAGTAAAAGCCAAGTCGAGAGGGTCAATAGTTTAATGGAAGAAGCAATGGAGGACACTGTAAAAGGTATTCAAAAAATTTTAATTTTCTAAAAATTATAAAATTTGTTTTATTAAAAACAAATTTATAGAAAATTAATTATAATTTTCTTTGTAATTAATAATATAATTATTTAGATCAACATAAATATCGAAGGGTTAAAATTTTACTGGACCCTCCTCTTAACTATATATTATTGATAAATAAATTTTTAACGTATTATTAAAAATAATTTAAGGAGCGGCTGTGAATTCATGTAAAAAATCACCGGAAATAGAGAAACAAGTGAAAGTCTTTTTTTTTCCTGACGAATCAAATCCTCTATTACAAAATGAGACATCGCACACGGAAACAAAAATTACGTCTCCACAAGAGATAAACATGGAAGAGGAAGAGGATCCTGATGAGGATTTTTGTATTCTCGGCGAAGAAGCGGGAGTTGGAATTCTACCAAGACATGGTGTACCAGAAATTCGTTGGCTATCACCCGAATCATTGCGTGTCATTGACAATCATTTTTCAATTCCATTGGGAAAAGCTGATGTTCTTAAAGCACCAAAACATTTTCCACTTCCTGTTTTACGTTACACATTGTGCGAAATGAATCTCATTTGGCATATGTACGGTGGAAAGGATTTTGGAAATCCTCAACCACCACCAAAGAAACATGTCACAATTGACGAGGTCGGACAAAGGTACAACGCTATGAATCAAGGAAGGTGAGAATGATTTTTTTTTTTGTCTTTAGGTCCCAATTTCTAAAACGGATCATCATTCAGGCTTCGAAGTGACACACTTTTTTACTTTTTTGAGACAAGGCTTCATTTTTTTATCACTAATTTTTTAGCCAAAAGCCACTAAATGCTACTTTTTTCAAAAAATAATTTTAAAAAATGACAGAATTCAAGAATTTTAAATTTTATCGAATTTTTTTATTCCTAAAAGCTCGCCAAGTTGATGATTTATTATTGGCCGCTTTATATAATTATTTTTTACACGAATTTTCATTTTTCAAAATAGCATTTAACATAATTTCTTTTTAAACGATCTTTTACTGAATAGAATTTTTAATTTGTCAAATTTTTTTTGATAGAATTTTTATTTTACAAAATTTCTCTTTACCCAAATGTTTTTTTTAAAAATAATTCTAGTTTAACCGAAATTGAGACAATAATTGAATTTTCGAGTATTTTGAGTTGAAAAATGTTTTAAATAATTGAAATGTCAATATCTTGATTAAAGTTATTAGAAATAATAATTTCAACAAAAAATTTGATTCAAAATTTTTAATAATAATTGAATTTCAGGAAATTTTGAATTAAAATTTTAGTAAATTAGAATTGCTGAAAATTATTAACAAAGTTTCAAACAGTAATTGAATTTTAGAGAATTTTTAATTGAAAAAATGTTTTATTTAATTGAATTTTTAAATAATTGAATTGAAATTATTAATTTAGCAAAGAATTTTAGATACAAATAGAAATAATTGAATTTTTGAAGAGTTTGAGTTAAGATTTTTAGAAATAATTGAATTTTTTGAGATTTTTAATTAAAATTGTTGTTTTAAAATACTAAATATTTTATAAAAGATTCCGATTCTAAGTTCTAGGATTTAAAAATTCGAATTACTTAAAATTCTACTGAATGAGAATTCTAATAAATTAAAAATAGGTTTAATTAGAATTCTTTTCAAGAAACAGTTGGGTAAAGAGAAATTTTGTAAAATAAAAATTCGGTTTTTGTAAATTCCGTTGAGTAAACATTCGTTTAAAAAAAATTCTGTATTAAATGCTATTTTGTAAAATAAAAATTTATGTGAAAAATCATTTTTATGGAATAATCATACGCTTCTACCGTTATGCCAAAAACAAAACGTTAATCGAAATTTAACAATAGATAAATAATAGTATTAATAGTTAAATATGTTATTTTTACTCCTTCTGTGATCAAAATAAGTTTCTGAAAATAGAACAAAAAAATAATTGTTTCTTAAAGTTATAAAATGAAATTTGTAGCTGTGTCAAAAAAAGAAAATTTTCTTTGGTTCGAATTGACAAATTTAAAAACAAAAAATAGGTTTTTACTGTCTTGGAAGTATTTAAAAATAATTTGTTTTTGAAAATTTTTTATTTTAAATAGTTTTTTAAAATTGAATTGAATTGAATTAAAATTGAAAATTAATTACTTTTAGAAAATTTTAGGCAATCGGTTTGAAAAATTCTGATTTGTTTTTTTAGTTTGAGTTTAATTAAAAATTTTTAAACTTTATATATATATTTTTTTTTAGTTTTTGTATAAATATAAACATTTATAGAATCAATCTTTGATTAAAATTTGTATTTTTTATTTATTGCAGGAATCACAGGTTATCTATTTACCATTGTTTCACCTATTTCAAATTTTGTCACCTATTTCACCTATTTTGATAATTTTTTACCTTTTTCACGTTTTTTATAATTAAAATTAATTTGCTGGTGTAATATTTCAAAAATAATTGAATTTACAATGTGTAAAAACAATTATATTTAAGCTCGTATGTTGAAAAGTAATTTAATAGTTTAAAAAGAATTTTTTTTTTTAATATTCCTGTGAGAAATTTAGTGAACATAAAATTACAGATTTTTATCTTTTTCTACAAAGAGATTCCAATTGATTCAAGTTTAAATTCATTAAAAATTTTCATTTCAAAAATTATTTAGATCAAATTTCAATAAATCTAAATTTAAATTAGTTGAAGCATTTATTGATTAAAATTGTAATCTATCTAAATTTTAGTTAATTTAAAAACGAAATTTTTATTTAACTTTCAAGAGGTCCAACTTTCAATAATTTTCATTTTTATTGATCAAAACAAATTTATTATTTAAAATTTTAATCCAATGCAAATTCAATAGATCGAATTTTAAAATTAACTAAATTTCAATTTAACTAAAAATTAATCGAATTAAGTTCCAAATTTTCCGAATTTCAATTTGTCAAATTTATCATTGATTTAAGTTTGAAATTCACTGAATTTCAATTTTTCTAAAATTTAATTGATTTCAATTTTATATTTTAATAATTTTTATATAATAATATTCAAAATTTCTATCAAATGACAATTCGTATCAATAAAAAATTCTGTCAAATAAACTTTTGATGAAATAAGAATTCTGGCCTTTGAAATTCGACTTAATTAAAATTTTGTCCCCATTAAAAATTATAATCAATACAAAATAATATGCAAGAAAAATTTGTTGAAAATATATTTGAGTAATTAATAATTTTAAGCAATTAAATCCATTTTATCATTGTATTTTCAATAAATAATTCACCTTTTCATCATCTATTTTTGAAAATTGATTTCAGTTATAAAATAACCATTGTCAAAAAAAAAATTGCCTTTTTATTTAAATAAAAATTTATCATTCGCCAGGAGTCGTTCTGTGATTGGTGGTGTTGGCTATAAAAAAAGTTCACCAAATGAAATTCGTTTTGGTAGTGTTCCAAATTCACCACGAGCACGTGCTCGTGAATCGCCATTGGATTGGTGGTGTCTCGGCGGACCGGGAAGAGATGAGAAACTCCTCATGGAACTTCAATTGCACAAAGTACGTTTTCAACATGAAGTTTATCCCGAGGAAACAACACAGGCGTCACGACAAATTCTTCTCATTAGTGAAATTGAAATTCGCGATCGACTCGATTCATCGAATATTAATAAATTTCTCTATCAATGTAATAGCGAGGATAAACCAAGACAATCACATGCAAATATGTTTGAAATGAAAGCTGTTCACATTCGTCCTGATCCAAAACTAAGTAGTCAGGAGTGTTGTTTGAAATTGAGTATTTTGCCATTACAATTAAATATCGATCAGGATAGTTTACATTTTCTCATTGATTTTTTCACTGAATTGAGCGGTGGACCAAGTCAGGATAATGCAAATGTCAATAGTAATGCACAATCGTCGCCGGGATCAAAACAAGGAACACCAACTCATCATCCACCGGTGATGAGTGTCAATGACACCAATGCAAATTCAAGAAGCATGAATTCATCACAAGAAAGCGATACGGTTGTCGATCAGAATTTAATGATTTTACTTGAGGATGAATTAACAATTAAGGAAAATAAACAGGATACAAAAATTATATCCGAGTCACAGGACGACAGTCAACCAATGTACTTCAGGTATTTCTTTCTCTTTTTTTTTTCTTTTCCGCCTCTCTTTGTTTCCCTTTAAAAAAAAATAAATTATTACTTTTTTGTTTATTGCGTCTAATAGGCCTCGTATTGTACGACTTTTTCTGACTTTTTTTTTCGAAAATACGACTTTTTACGACTTATTTAAATACGATGTGACTTTTTCGATTTTTTAAAAATTTTTATTTGCAAAATTTTTAAACAAAATACTTCTTTTTTAGTATACAATGCAGATCTTCTTCAGATTTTCTATATTTCAATTATTTAACACATTTTTAACTAAAATATTTTTAATAATTTTAATTAAATTCTTCACAAATTCAATTATCTTAAATTATTTTTCATTTAAAAATGTTATGAAATTCAACAATATTGTTTAGATAGATTCAATAATTGTTTAAAAATAAAAAAAAAATCGGCAAATAAAATTATCAAAAATTTTAATTCAAAATCATATGAAATTCAATTATTTTTAAAATTTTCCATCAAAAACTTTTTGAAATTTCATAATATTTCGATTATAACTCTTCCGAAATTCAATTATTTTTATTATTTTTAATGATTTTTATAATATTCTTCAAAAATTCAATTATTTGAAAGCATTTTTCAATTAAAAACTTTTGAGATTCAATTTTTATCTGTAATATTTCTAATAAATTCTTTAATAACGGAAATTACCAAAAATTTTAATTCAAAGTCACTTTAAGTTCAATTAATTTCAAAAATCTAAATTGTAAATCTTTGAAAATTTAATTTGAAAAATTATTTGATAAATTTTTTTCAATTTTATACCTAAAATTTAATTATTTCTAAAAATTTCAACTAATAAATTTTCAATAATTTTTCCAAAGTTCAATAATTTTTAATAATTTTAATATTTCTTTTAAAATTCAATTATTTAAAAAATGTTTCAAATAACAACTCTGAAATTGAATTGTCAGATTTTTTTTTTAAATTTGTCCTTTTTAATTGGAATTTTAAAAATTTACGTCTTCGATAGTGAAATATTTGAAATTAAATTTAAAAAATTTTAAATTAAAATTAATTTAATTTCGAATTATAATTAAATTTTACAGAATTGAAAATAATTTATCAAATAATTTTTAATTGAAATATTTTGTGATGAAGAATTTATTAGAAATTATAAACAAAAATTAAATTTTAAAATGCTTTCAAATAATTGAATTTTTGAAGAATATTATAAAAATAATTAAATTTTGGAAGAGTTAAAGTTGACATTTTTAGCAATAATTAAATTTTAGAAGGTTTTAAATTGAAATTTTTGAAAATAATTGCAAATTCAAATGCTTTTAAATTGAATTTTTTTTGTGATTTTTGTTGCTGAAGAATTTATTATATATTTATTACTATTATATTTTGTAATTAGGTTAAGGTATGAAATGTATTTTGGAGTCTCGAACCCTGCGTTTGCAGGGAGAGTAAATAAATATATATATTCAAAATTAAAGACAAAAATTTTTTTAAATTCAAAAATGCTTGCAGATAATTGAATTTTAGAAGAATATTATAAAAAAGTCATTAAAAATAATTAAATTTTGTAGAGTTATAATTGAAATATTATTAAATTTCAAAAAGTTTTAGATGGAAAATTTTAAAAATAATAAATTTTGAAAGGTTTTAAATGGAAATTTTTGGTAATTTTATTTAATTTTTTTATTTTATTATTAAAATAATAAATACCAAATAAAGTTGAAACACGAAAAATGAAAAAAAAAACAATATTATTTTAGTTTTATTATATAGAATTGTTGAAATTCATTAAGAATATTCAATTTAGATAATTTTTGAATTAACTATAATATAATATATCATAATATAATATATTATAAATTTTTAATTTATTATATAAATAATAAAAATCTTTAGATTAGAAATTTCACGAATTTCTTAAAAAAAAATTTTTTAAATAAAATGTTGTTCTTGAGTATTAAAAATAGAAATTCTTTTTTTTTTAGGAGTGTCGTTTTTGGACCATCAGTGAATATAAAAGTGGATTATCAAGCGAAACGAGTAGATTTTAGTCGCGGACCATTGGTTGGCATTTTAATGGGACTTACGCATCTAAATAAATCGGAATTAAGACTGAAGGAATTGTCAAATCGTCATGGATTATTGGGTTTTGACAAATTAATTACATACCTGCTTCAAGAATGGATTCAGGATATTAAAGATCATCAACTAAAGGGCCTATTGGTTGGCGTTGGACCAATGCACTCTTTAGTTCAACTATGTGAGTTTTTTTTCTCATTGATTTCAAGTTACATATCCCTCTAAAAAAATTTAAAAAATTTAATTTTAAATTATTATTGTTATTATTTATTTATTTATTAATATTATTTTCATTTTTTATTTTAAAATATAATATTTTCTTATAAAATTTTATAAAAAAAATTCTTTAACTTAATATTTGAATACTTAATTATTGTAAATTAAATTATTTTTGTAAAATTTTTGGGTATGCAATTTAATTTAGATAACTATGAATTTTCTTGTTTAAAATGTTGATAATGAATAAATAATTATTTTTTTGTTTTAAAGTCCAAGGAATTCGTGACTTGTTCTGGATGCCAATCGAGCAATATCAGAAGGATGGAAGAATTGTACGTGGTTTACAAAGGGGTGCAAATAGTTTCACAACATCAACAGCGATGGCTGCTCTAGAATTGACATCGCGATTGGTTTATGCAATTCAAAGCACTGCCGAGACGGCCTATGACATGGTCAGTCCTGGACCAAGTGTCAGAAGAAAGACACGAGGTCAGAAAGGACGGAGGAAAAGATACAGTCAACCCTCTGATATTCGTGAAGGGATGACGAACGCCTACATGCTAGTTAAAGAGGTATTTTACACTTTTTTTTCAAAAACAATTCCATTTTCGCTAAATTTAAAATATAAATTAGGGTCAGCTGGGGTAAATGGGGACAAGAGGTTTTGTAGCTTAATTTACAGTTTTAAAATTAAGTTCAATGTCAATATTTTAACCTCAGACCTCGCTTAATGCATAAAAACTTGAAAATCAAAGTCAAACAGTTTCAGTATTTTGTCTCGCATTTCAAAGAAAACAGACTTAAAAATCATTCACTTGAATTTTTGATTTTTATCAATTTGGTTAATAATGACAAGCTGCCCCCTTTTACCCTGAGTTTTCAAATTTTTGGGGTAAATGGGGACAGCTTGTCATTATTAACCAAATTAACAAAAATAAAAAATTCAGGTGAATTTATGTCATGGGAGTCATAAGGAATAAGAAAAAAATTTGGTATTATTTTTAAGTCTGTTTTTTTTAATGCGAGACAAAATACTGAAATAAAAAAAAAAATAAAAAAATTTTAATTGGTTCAACTATTAACATTTATTGATTAAAATGTCAATCTATTTTTTACATTAATTTTAATTTTACTCAACTATTAATTGCAATATAAATCAAAAATTGAATTTATCTAAATTTTAATTTATTCTTTTCATTAATTTAAATTTAATTAAAGATTACTCGTTTTAAATTTTAATCCATCTAAATTTTAATTCAATCTAAATTTTGAAATTAAATTTCAATTGATTCAACCTTCAATCAGTTCTATTTTTTATTGATCAAAACAAAATTATTAATTTAAATTCTAAGCAAATGCAAATTTTCTAAAACCAATATTTTAGCTGATTTTTAATCTTGAAAAAAGTGTTATAAATTTTTATTATTTATAATATTATTATTATTTGTTAATTTTATTTGAAGATGATTAATTCTAATTTTTTTCTTAATTACGTAGAGGTAATTTCAATTATTTCATTGAATAATTGAAGAAATATTTGTTATTTTTATAAAGAAATAATTTGAAAATTGTTTTTAAATTAGAGTTTTTAAAACTTTTATAAATTCATAATATCTGAAGAATTATTCTAATTCGATAAATTCTTTCAAAAATATTTGAATCAACAATATTTAAATGAATTAATCTTAGAAAATGTTTTTTGTACATTTTTTTAAAAATAGAAAATTTATTTATTTTATATTAAAAATTTTGTCCAAAAATTTGAATTCAATTAATTTCCATAAAATCAGATGGAAAAATCTTTCAGAAAAAAAGGAAACTTGAAAAAATCTATTCTGAAATATTCGAAATAAATTTTCTTGATAATATTCTTATTATTATTATTAATTAAATGTAATTAAAAAATTTGGAAATCGAATTTGTTTGAAATGTAACTCGACGTTTTCGACTTTTTTTTGCGTCTTAATGTCGATCCGAGACCTGTATAATTAATCAATTTAAAAAAAAATGATTTATTTTATTATTATATTATTTAATTATTTTCTCATTCAATTATATGGTTATTTCTGTTAATTTTCAGGGTTTGGGCGAGACTGCGAATCAATTAGTGAGAGTCGCGAGTGAGGAACATGAGCACAAAGGCGTTTCCGGTGCGGTTGGTGGAGTTTTGAGACAAATTCCACCGACAGTCGTGAAACCAATAATCCTCGCTACTGAAGCAACAAGCAACGTTTTAGGTGGAATTCAATCGCAATTGGTGCCAGACGCAAGGAGAGAAGCTGTACAAAAATGGCGACAAGATTCGACCGACGTTAATTGAATATAAAAAAAAAAAATTCACATTAACGAAAAACTATAATTTTTTTTTTTTTTGAGAGATAGAAGAGAGAAGATGAAATGTTGAAAAAAAACTCGCGCAAAAAATTTTTTTTTCCTTTTATAAATAAAAAAAAAAAAATTAATAATGCGAGAAAAATTTTATACTTGAAAGATTTATAAAGTGTGTATAAAAAAATTAATTTCGGAAACTTTTATTCCGAATTATATTTGCAAATGCAAAGACTTAAAAAAAAATTATATATATATATTATATATATCTTCCGTTCCAATAGAAGAAAATTGTGTATAAAAGAAATGAAGAATGTTGAAAAGATTTAGAGTTTAAAACAAAAAAAAAATTGTGATTATAATTATAATTATATAATGAGATAATATTATATATATATACATAATAATTGAAACTTATATACATATTATGCCTGATCACTAAATCGCTTGTATGTATTTTTGTTCTAACGTTGTGTAATAATGTTTTGTACCCATGATGATGACTCGTAAAGAAACAAAAAAAACTTTTATTAATAAAATCGTGGATTAATTGAATTCTACATTTTTCCAAATCGAAATTTTTCGTCAATTTTTTATTTTTCATTTAAATGTTGAGTTTTATTAATTTTATATCTTTTTATTATTTTTATTTTATTATTTTGGTAATTTTTTTTAATGTTGTTTTTAAAAATTTGGTTTTTTTTATTTGTTTAATATTTATTTTTTATTTCTAAATAGTTGGTATTATTTAATATTTTTTTTCTTGATTGCTGTTCGTTTGCTAATTCGTTTTAATATTGTCAAGTTATTTTTAATGTTCTTTTTTTTGTTTATTTTTGACCAAGTTAATTAATTTCATTTAATGTTGTTCACAGTTTTAATTAAAAAATTTTTTTAAACTTTTTTGAATATTTGTGTTTTTTTTTTTTGCTTTTTTATGTTTTTTGTAATTTTTTGTTTGTGTTTAGTAATTATTATTCCTAACTTCAAAATTTGTTGTTAACGATATTAATTGTTGTTAATTTAGTAAATTTTTTATTAACTTTTTACTAATGGTTAGTTTTTTAATTGTTTAATCTTTTTTATTAATTTTGTAATTTATATAAAATTTTAATTAATTTTTATTTGTTTTTATATTGATTTCAAGTTGCTTTTTTTAATATAGTTTTTAATTTTTAAACTTAAATATTTCTTCATTTTTTAATTTTTACATTTTCCCATCACATTTGAATTCAAATTAGTTTCCCGACAATTTATAAATTTCTTTGCAATAATTTCCATTTATTTAATTAATTATTTGTTCATTTACAGAATAAAAAAAGGTTTTCTGTTCTTTAATTAACGAAAATTTAGTTGTTTCAAATTTTATTTTTAAATGTAAAGAAAACAGAGAAATTTTTTTTAAAAAAGTGTTACCATCAGTATTACCAACATAAGATGTCACTACTTGTGTTTTCCTTCTGTTTTTTGTTGAATAAAAAATAAATTATCTCTAATAATTAATAACAATCAATTTTAAAACAAATTAATTGATTGTAAATTTAATCATAATTGTAAAATCGTAAGAAAATATTTAAAAAAAAATCAATTATCTGTCTTCGAAAGTACCACGAGGTGGCGCCACATGTTGCAAATAAAATCACATCCGTTGCCCGTGGTGACAGAAATTGTTAAAAATATCATTGCGAAATCAAAAGAAAGTCACGCAATTTTAATCAAAAATTAATTTTTCTCTAGTGTTTTATCGTCAATCAATCAAATAGAAACTTTCAATTTTATTAAAACCGTCGGAAAAAATATTCCTAATTTCCCTCTTGTCAAAATTTTCCTTTTTTCTCGATTTTTTCTTTTAATTTATTCAGAATTAACTTTTTTTTTTTGAAAAACATAAATATTTTCAAATACTTAGAAATTAAACCAAAAAAATTGAAAACTCCTTCATTAACCTAGTTTTTTTGAGGTTATGAAAATTTTCATATTTGATATTATTATATAGGGGGGTTGTAGTAGATGTATTTTTTTTATTATTCAAATAAACGCGAACAAAGAAGAACTTTGAATATAGTATATTATCACGAAAGTTAAAATAAATTAATAATAAATGTCGGAGGCAAGTAAATCGTATTCAGGTGAATATTGTGATAAAAGCAAATTCGAAGAAGGACATTGTATTAGTGGTGGTGAGAGTGATAAAATCGATTATGAAACGAAGGAGAAAGAACAGGTGGATTTGAAATCAGTCAAGATCACTGAGGAGACCTTGAAACGAATTTGCCAACAACTTTGTTTGATAAAACTCGGCTTTCCATCGAAAGTAGAGCTCGATCAGAAATCTTCTTCTTCTTCTTCGTCGTCTTCGTTTTCTTCGTATTTGAAACTTGTACCTGAAACTTATTCACAAAATAGTGAAAAAGAAAAAGTTTTACTTTGGTATGCCGAAAATTTCCGGCGACAATTCCACTATATTTATAGAAATCGAAAACCGTTGTTAATGGCATGCGACAATGAATGCGGAATTCAGGTAAATCTATATTATATTTTCTCTGATTTTCTTTTTTTTTTTAATTATTTTGGCTTTTTTGTCAAAAAATTAGAAATAATAAAATTATAAGTTTACAAGGGGTGCAACATAACCTCAAAAATGCGACTAATTAATATTTATATATTTTTCTAGTTAATTTTATAAATTTCTAATAATAATAATAATAATGTATTTTCGTAAATTTTGTATTTTAAAATATTTTATTTACGAACTATTGTATTTCTGCTGTTATAATAAAGTTTTAGAAAAAATTTAAATGATTTTAAATTAAAAATTTCAAATATAATTCAATTTTCAAAGAATTTATTCGAAATTACATTTTATTTTAAAATTAGAATTTTGAAAATAATTATATTTTACATTTTCTATTTTCAATTTTATAATGTTGAAAAAAAAAATAACTGAAACGTTGATGATAAAAATAAAATAATTCTTTTTCAACACAAAATATATAAATTAATTTATTTAAATTTTCAAAAAAAAAAAAAATATTTCGAATTTATCGTCACGTTTACAGAAATTTGTAAATATTTACACGACTTGAAAAATTGATTAAAAATCGTGTACAATTCTCGTTTTTTTTAGGGGTGGTTAAATTAATCAATTTAATCAAAATATTTGATTTTTTTTTAAACAAAAAATTCTAATATAAAATGTACGAATCCGAATAAAAATAAAAAAAAAAATTATTCATTTCGAAAATGAAAGTCAAATAGTAAAGATTATTATTATTATTATTATAATTTGTTTTTGTTTATAAAATTAAATGGCAATTTATAATGAAACGAAATTTTGTAAATTATTATTGAGTTTGTGTGGGGAGCTCATAAAATCAGTTGAGCGACTATAAGGTCACGGTCATTGGCGCGTCTGTGAATTGTACGTTATTCAAAAGAATTTCCTCGCTCCATTCATGTCTCCTTTTGCTTTCTATGATCTTGAAAGTCATTCCATCTTTTCATAAATTTTCTACAGCCATTTAAAATCTTTAAAGCGATAGATAGAAGTTACTTGTATTTATAAATATATATGAAAAGACAAATTAAGATGTCAAATTTTCATCTTCTTCTTCTTTTATTATTATATACATACTGTTTATATAATCAACCGATAATTTTTAAATTATCCTCAAATTTTACGCTTGTATAAATTTGTAAACAATTGAGAAAATGTTATTTTTAGGGAAAAAGAGAAATTTCAAATTTTACTCGCGTAATTTTTTTTTAATAAATTTTAATTTTAGGGGGGAAAAACAAAATTAAATTTTCAAATTTAATGCAAAAAATTGAAATTAATTGATTAATTAAATATAAAAAATTTTACAACTTATACCTTAGTTGTGATTTTTTTTTTTTAATATTGTTGAAGTAAAAAAATACATAATTTATTTTTGGCATAAAATTAACACTAAATTATTGTTAAATGAAAAGTAAACAAAAATTAGACAAATTTTTTTTAATGAAAATAATAACATTTAATTAATTAAAACTAATTAAGTTGCAAAATAATACTAATTTGTATTTAATGAATTTTTTTTTATCTTCGATTAATGGATAATTAGTTTAAAATTTTAGATAAATAAAATTCCATAAAAAATTTATGGAATGAAAAAACTGAAATCAATTCCTTTTTTAAATTGTAATTTCATTAATTTTCAATTTTTATCATATTAAATTTGCATTTGATTAAAATTTTAATTAATAAGTTGACTGCTAAATTAGAATTGAAATTTGGATTGATAAAAATTGTAATTGAATAAAATTAGAATTAAAATATGAATTTAAATTTTGTTTCAAATTTTTAATTAATAAGAATGCGCTTCAATTAATTTAAATTTATGGAAATTTGTCCTAATTAATTTTTAAAATTGATGAATTTAAGCTTGGATCACAGTTTTTGTAAATTTGATAATTTTTGACAAATTGCCACTGAAAATTAATTGAATTATAAAAAAAGTTGAAAAAGGTAACAAAAATTAAACTTGCTGAAAAATGAAAATTAATTTCCATTTTTTAAAATATAAATAAAATATAAAAATTTTTACTTACCTGAATTATTGATTTCTTTTTCTTACATCGCCGATAAAAAAATTAAATTTTCATAATAAAATAATTATTTAAAATTTAGATAAAAATACATTAAATTAAATAATTAAATTTAAATGAAATTATTTTCGTTATTTTACTTATTAATACAATTAAATATTTAATTTTCATAACAAAATTTTTTTTCCAATCATTTTTTTTGTAAATCAAATAATTTGAATTTAATTTTATAAAATTATTAAATTAAAAATAGAAAATAAGAGGATATTAAAGGAGACATGAAGGAGTAGAAAAAAATTAAATAGACAAATTAGCTATGTTTTAATTCTCAGTGTATTCTTCGATAAATACTTTCGATTTTCACATCGTACAAAGGCGTTCTTTTTACATATCAAAAAAAAAAGGAAAAAAAAAAGATGATGATTTAAACAATATAACCTACTGCTTTTTTCGTTACTTATCTATTCGTGCGAGGGTAACAAGAGGAATGTCGTTCGAAATAAATGAGGTTACAAGGTCATTTTGCTTTTATCGATCGTTGCCCTTTTTTCCCGTGTCCCTTTCCCATCTCTTTTTCCGCCTTTTTTTTTTTTTCTTTAAGCCAATTCTTCTTTAAATGTCAACTATTTTCGAATATTATATTTAAAAAATATATTCTAAAAAAAAGTCGACTAATTAATTAATGAAAATTATCTATTTTACGATATAAAATTTAATAATAAATTAAATATATTTATAATAGAAAATTTTTTTTTTTTTTAATTTAAAAAAATGTTTATTAAACAATTTTTTTTATTAAAAAAATTTGTATGAGAGAAAAGAAAAAGGGAAAAAAGGTCAACTATTAAAATAGTTCATGTGAGGAATTTGTATATTTTAACGCACAATTAGCATTATTATTATTTATTATTTTTTTTAAATCGTCAACTACAATTTTTGTTTCTAAATAATAAAAATAAACTTCCTATACATTTATTCCTCGCATGCATGCCGTTTTTTTTTTGTGTTTTTTTTTTATCTCTGAGACGCACTACGACAAACACGTATTACGCACTTTGCGTGCAACTGCACGCTCACAGTCTTATTTACACGTGCTGTTCTCTTTAGACACAGCACATTCTTCACTTTGGTTTTTTTTTTTCTTCTTTTTTTTTGTTTGTATCTTCCTTTTCTTCATAAATACGTTTTCGCTGTCAGCAAGTTGCTTACCTCGCGAGCAGAAAACACCCTATTCGGTCATTTGTCGCGAGACTTAACAAGCGAAATATTTTTCTTTCATTTTTTTTTTTTTTGCATACAATGTTTTGTGAAAAAAAAACTCGTGAAGAAATTAAAAAAAAAAAAAAAAGACGCCAATAATACTTTTCGAAAAAATTTTTATTTTTACCCTTAGCCAAAGAATACACGAGTTTATTATTATTTTTTTTTTTCATTTTTTAGAACACTAAAATTTTTTTTTTTCTCAAATAATTAATTTTGCTTTATTACATAATTGTTATAATTATATATATAAAATTTAAATTAATTATTTTCAAGAAAAATTGATCAATTTTGAAAAAAGAAAAATTTTCTTTTTCTATAATCTGCTCGCGAGTTCCTTTTTCTCACTCGCACATAATAATAATAATAATTATCGCGTTTTTTGTCACTCTCTCTCTTGTTTAATTTTTTGTTTCTTTTTTATAATAATAATTTGTGATAATTTTTTTTTTTTTTCGGTGAAACCTCTCGGCACTACGACTAACAATATATATCAATAGTGGACTTTTTTTTTTTTTTTTCTAACAACTCAGACATTTATATACACATACATAGATATCTAAAGGCGTTAACAATTTACAATATTCGTGGCCGAGAAAGCGAAAGGTAACCTTCTCAAAAAATTTTTTTTTTTTTTTTTTTTTTTACACACACATACACACACATACATTTTCATAAATTTTCTTTTTTCGAAGACAAGGCGCGCATCATACTAACACAGCGAAAGAAGAATCTCGCGAGCTAAATATATATTTATATTTATTGAGTAGTGAGAGAAAAGGGACAAAAAACAGTCTTTGATATTGGACTATTATACATAATGATAATAATTATAATATTTTATATATATATATATATATATATAAACGAGCCGAATAAGAAAAAAAGAAAATAATTTTTCTTTGCCCAAAAAATTTTAAAATTGTCTAAAAAAAAATTTCACATTTCGTAAAAATATTTAAAAAAAAAAAAAAAAAATGTTTAGTAAACAAAAAGTAAAATACAATTTTTTCATGTGGGATATATAATTATTTTCTGTTTATTTTCTATATTCTCAATTTAAAAAAAAAAAAATGCTTGAGATAATATAATTGCCAAAAAAATGTAGGTAACTGTTCTGAACGTTCACTTACAAAAAAAATTGTTTAATTTTCAAAAACTGTTTTTTTATCAATTATTTATTTTAAGTAATAATAATTAATAAATTATAAAAACAATTTTTTTTCGTTTTCTTCTTTATTATTTCTGTATTTGTTTCTTTAATGTATATTAATTAATATTATTTTCATTTTTGCAATTTAAATAATTAATTTAATGGTTTAATTACAAATTAGTAAGTAAAGTAAAAAAATTAAATTTTTATTTTATTATTAAAAAAATTTTTTATTATTCTCTTAATTGATTTTTTTTTTACTTATTTTTGCTTTTAGACTATTTTTTCTCGTAATTAAAACAATTCTTTAAATTGCAATTTTGAAAATTCGTCTTTTGTTTTAATTGAAAAATAAAATTTCCAATCAATAATTTCAAAAATATTTATTTTTTATTAAAAAATATAGAAAATAATATTACAATTTTTTCCGGTAAATAATTTTTCAATTAAAATTCAATTTATTTTCAATTTCAATTAAATATTTCAAAAATTGTCAATTACATTTGAATTTTTTTTAGCTTTTTGTATTGAAAAAGTTGTTTAATTTAAACAAAAAATTTTAATTAAATTTTCATTGTTGTAAAAATACAATTTTTTCTTCTTCTTTTGATTGAATGATTAATAAAAAACAAAAATACGTGAACGTTGAGAAAATTTGCAAAAAATAAAATATATATTTCTTTTTTTTTTGTTTTGAAAAACAGAAATTTGTATCCACAACAATTAGACGAAGTACATTGCCGTACCCGGAATTGTCTACGTGGCAGGGATGCGCAAAATTTGTGAGTGACTATGTGACCTATGAGGCACCAAAGTGGCCCCACGCAATGGTAAGTAGATGAGCTGTAAAAGTTTTTTTTTTCTTTTCTTTTCTTTTTTCCATCTTATCGATATTATTTAAATAGATTATATAAATATATGTCGGATAAGTTTTTTCAACGAAAAGCAAAAAAAAAAGAAGAAAAAAAAAGAGAGAGAGAGAGAGATAAACAATATTTTCTCTAATCGTCACATCGATATGGCTTTTGTCGACTGTTGCTTCAGATACAAATCACAACTCGTTCTTCTTTTTTTTTTTTTTTGTTTTGTATCATCGGGAGTATAGACGTAAAACCGGTCAGGCGAGGGACGAAGTGATCGATCAGCAATTCTTGAAATTCGTTTTCGAAGCGAAACACATCCGGAATTCCAAACGCGTCGATCAAGAGAAAGAGAGAGAGAGAGAGGGAGAGAGAAAAAAAAACTAAAGCTACTTCGTCTTCAGATATGTATTAAAAAAAAAATACCACCCCGGACTAGTTTTCTTAAAATTCCGTTCGAGAATTTTGTCTCAACTTCCTCAAAGTTTTGCGATTTAAATCCAGTTATAAAATCCCTTAAATATTTTTTTAGAAACGAAAAAAATCTCTCTCTCTTTCTTTCTTTCTTTCTATTTTTCTCAATTCGCTCACATACATTTATATATATATATAGATATTTACACGCAAATAGTCTTAAATTCGCTAATGAATCAATTGCAATGGAATAACGATAAATCTCTACGGTTTACAATATTTCATAATAATAATAATAATATAATAATAATAATAATAGAATAATAATAATAAAACCTTAATTGTATACACAACTTTAATCGATTTAAGAATTTGGTATATTCTCTTATTTACAAAGTGTGAAGAAAATCGTACGACCTATATTTTGATTCGGCCCAATAGTTTTTATTTAAATTCTTATAATTTCCCTTTTATTCCGTTCACGAGGTAACTTAATTTTCACGTCGCGTTTATAGAGACGATTCTATATATATATATATTTTTTTTTTATTGTATCTAGATTTTTTTTTAAATCTATATAAATTGGCCAAATTCTTCGAATTCGTAGCGTTTAAAATTAACACTTTTGTCCCGTTCACATATTATTATTTAATTTTTATTAATTATTTTAGAGTTTTTTTTTCAATTTTTTATGTTTATAATTATATATATATAAATATATATATATAACATTTTATAAATAATTTAATTTATAATTGATTACGATTATATGAGCAATTAGTTTTGTCTAATTAGTTACTTTTCTAACTAATTAGTTGCATCAATAAACATCAATTGCTTTTATTAATATTTATAAAATAATAATTATTAATAAATGTTTATTGATTTTTATTTATTATTAACGTTTATTAATAAATACAATTTATTTTACAATAAATCCAAATTTAATTAAATTTGAAAATTTTTTTAAAAAATTTTTAAACGTTTATTAATAATTAATATTCATTAAAGATGTTCAAAATAAAACTAATTTTTCACAGTTAATAATTTTATTAATTGTTTATAATTAGTTTTTTTCACGTAAAATTCTTTATAACTCAATTTTCGTAATCAATTAATTATTATTATTAATGCATTATATTATTAATTATTAGAATTAATTTTTGAATATTATACTTTATAATAATAATAATAATAATAATAATAATAATAATAATAATAATAGTTTTCATAAACAATTTTTTTTCAGTTAATTAATAATATTTAATAAAAATTAAACAATAATATGTGAATATATATATATATATATTTTTTAAATTTTCAATAACTTGTTTTTATTAACGTTAAAATTTTTTTTGTTCTTCAAAAAAGATAAAAAGCTCTCCTCTTTAAACGCTCTGAATTTGAAACACTCACACACGACAATATTAATGTCCAATTAATTATTATTATTATCATTGAAAAAATTTAACCAGTTGTACAAGTCATATTATTATTATTTGAAGAAACATTAATTCTCAAATAGTGAAAAATCCTCGCTCAAACGATTTCTTATATTATTATATTATATAATATATACATGTCTATATAGATATTTACTTATAACGAACGTGTGTTTATAGGATTCAAAGACTAGCTTTTCATTCAGTGACAAAACAAAAAAGAAAAAAATTTTCGAAAAAAAAAAAAATTGCAAAAAATGTAAAAACTGAAAATAATTTTTTTTTTAAACAAAAAATATTTTGTTTTAAAAAATGTTTTAGTGATAATAATAATAATAATAATAGCAATAATAATATTATTATTATTATTAAAAATATAAGATGATAATTATCGTAATTGTGTACATTATAATAATTAATTTTTATTAAAAATAATTACGTTATTATAATATAAAATAATTATTTTTTGCATTATATTTAATTATAATGAATTTATTAATAATTAATTATAATTTAAGTTATTTTAGACAAAATATATATAATACGAAACATTAATAGCAATGGAACTCGTGCATTCAAGCTGAGAGACAGAGACCTTTAAATCAGTCAGCTGATTGTGGGTTTTAAATTCAAATCCTATTCAAAAATAAAAAAAATTGCAACAAAAAATTTTTTTTTCAAAACATTAATTATTTAAACGTACACAATTAGTATTAAAGAAAAAATTCTTTTCAATTAATCAGATTTAGTAATTAATTATTAATATTGTTCCCAACATCATATTTGAAAATAAACGAGATATTAATCAATAATAATAATAATAATTTACGATCAATAGCAAAAAGAAAGAATAATTATATTATTTATAATAGACAATAAATAAAAGTGCTATTTAGTTTTTAATGTGTAATAAATGAAAAATATTTCGATAAGTAAATTGAAGAGAAAAAATATCGGTTACTTTTTTTTTTTTTTTGGCTTTTAATCATTTGAGCGGGTTTTTGTGCGCATCCCTTTTTTCGAATTTAAAAACGCGGAATTATGATTCTAAAAAAAATGTATCTTACATTAATATTTATATATACAAACTACATATACATATGTACTTAACGATCACAGCACCCATTGCGGGGATCTTGTTTTTATTTTTTTTTTTTCTTGCTTACTTTCTGCTTTGCTTGAGACTTGGCGAGGCCCTCTTCTTTTTGCAGTCCTTGAGCTTGTCCAACATCATTCGAAATTGGAAAACTTGAACACGTGTCACTGCTGGATCAGAGCACTTGTCGAGCCATTTGAAAAATTTTTCACCATGCTCAATTGCCTCTTCAGTTGTATGTGGTACGTCGACATCATTTTCTAATTCATCGTCGTAATTAAATAATTTTTTCACCGATTCATTATTATTGTTACACAATACACTGTCGAGCATTGCTTTTGCTTTTGTTGGTGATCGTCGTGGTAGGGTATTGTTTTGTGGCACTGGCGTTGGACCACGTGGAGTTGTTGTTGTTGTTGCAGTTGTTGTTGTTGTTGAATTAGTTGTCAATGGTGTTGGATGAAGTGATGTTGGCGGTACAACACCGTAATGTTTGTACCATGTCCAAAACCAAGAGCCCTCTTGACTCGCTGGATTAAATGGCGTTGATTGTTGGCCAATTATTTGTTGTTGTTGCGTTAACCATAACCAAAGGGCTTCGTCCATTTTTTTTGCATTTATTTCATTATTATTATTGTTGTTTGTCTTCTTTTCGTTGTTGATGTGTTTTGGTAATTGATTATTGATTTGATTTGACAATTGACTAATAAGTTGATTGGACAATTGGGTTGACATTGAATTTGCCAATTGGCTTGTCATTGGATTTGCCAATTGATTGGTGAGTTGGGATGTCATTGAATTGGATAGTTGATTTACCATTGTTGTGGATAATTGATGATTTGACATTGGAACTTGACTTAGATGAAGTGGATTTGTTAGTTGAACATTTGGCGATGCTGGTACATGTGTGGCTGGTGCTTCGGCAGCTGGTGGGAGACTTTTGCGGGAAACTGATTTTACCATTGAATCCAATTGGGTTGGTGCAATTGCGCATATTGAATGCCTTTTATTATTGGTGGTTGTTGGCGTTGCGGTTTTTGTATATTGAAGACCATTTTCAACAAGACCAACTGTGGGTGTTAGTCCAGTGGACATCATATAATTTTTTGCACTTTGGGACATCATACCAAGATGTTGAAGAAGGAGAGCACTACTGTCGGAACGCATACCGGCCGCTGCCATTGACATTAGTCCAAGGTAATCGAATTTTTTCTGATCGATTTTCGTCGATGCGTCACCATTGTCGGTTATTGTTGCGTCAAGTGCGGATAATTGATGTTCGGTTTTTATTCGCTTTTGAATTGGACCCTCATCCTCACTGGAATGACTTGTACCGCCGCCAATTTGGGAATTTGAATTTGTAATATTGACTGCGCCCGATGATGATGCCGGTGAATGTGCTTCGCTATCGGGTGTTGAGGAATTTCTTGCCATTCCACGTATTTTGTGCTCGGATTTACACCAACCGCGAAGTGTCGATTCAGGAACGCCAATGTCCCGGGCAACTGACGCCTTACTCTCGCCATCGTGAACACGTTGAATTGCTTCCATTTTCTCAGCGGCCGACAATGCCCTCAGGGGACGTTTGCCCGGTCTTGCTGTTTCGGCCCTCATTGTTACGCGATTGTCTTTCATACTTTCTTTAAGACGATCCTCCAAATTATTGTGACAATTATTTTCCAAATCGCACAATTTGCGTAATTTGAGCGAATCCAGGCCGCCGATCCTACGATCTGCGACTAGATTCGCCGTATTGGCTATTGATAGATCCACCTTTGATAATTTATTCAATCCGCACAAACGAAAAACTCGTTGCAACACGCACTTCTTTTTTTTTTGGAACGCGACAGTCACCAAAGACACACGACGACAGTAAATATCACCGCAGTTACGGAAGAGTTAGCCCCGTAAATGGGGAGGGGGTTGTGTAGTACGCTGTAGAATAGCACATGCGCTCACAGAGTAATAAAGAACTTTTTTATGAATGAAACAACTCGCCCCCACCACAATATATATATATATATATGTATATATATCTTTCTCTCTTCTCCCCCTTGGCCTCCAAGTAAAACTGTACAGCCAATCCGATGTGCGCGCGGGAAACAATATTATTGTATCGCACGAGGAGAAATTTAATCACTGTTTATAAAATTCACAAATTGTCACGAAACAAAAAGGGTCTATCTCCGTCCCTGTCGTCGATTCAAATTGCGTTACACAAATTGTGAGCCAACTTCGCACTCGGGTTATTATTTTTTATCACAATTTTTAGCAATATTCTCGTAACACACACTAATATCCAAGAAAAACAATTCTCTTAATGTGGGGGGAAAAAACGTAATGTGACTATCTTTTTTTTTTTGCCTTATTTGCACCCGGAGAGGACTCTTGCAAAATGACGATGTTCTCACGTTGAAGCGCAGCGCTGAACTGAGTGGACGCCGGTTCTTCACGGCAATCGCGCGACGCTGTTTCCATCCCCCCCACCCCTCTCTCCTTTGGCTTCGCGTTTCCGCGCGCCCCGAGGGCTCACGGGACTGGTCCTCCCCTCTCGCGTCACTACAGTTCTCTTCTCCCTTCTCCTCCTCGTCCCTTCTTCAACTCCCCCGCTAGTCGACCTCTCTTATTCGCGAGCTCTGTCTCACTCTACCGCCAAACTGGCCTCTACCCCTCGCTTCTCGCGCGGCAACGACGATGCCGCACGAAACCTCCTGAGTTCGGGTTCTTCGTCATTCCTCCCCTCTCTCTCTCTCTCGCTCACTCTTGTGCGCACTTTGGTCCACCCTTCCCTCTTGTCCCCTTGGTTCCCCTAAGTCTCTATCGGCGCCCCCTTTGCCAAATACTCTCCATCTCTCTCTCTCTCACTCTCTCTCGGTATATACTGAACTCCAACGCTACTCACGTATACACCGCGGCTTCCCTAACGATCGGTGAGGACCTCGGGAATATTTCCCGGAAAGTAATCCGGGGCTGTGAAACTATCGTGACGAGAAACGATGGGACGAGCATCAACCAACCCCCCGAGAAAACACGCGCGAAGGGCAACGCGTGTTTTTGGAGAAAGAGAAGATAGAGAGAGAGAGACAGAGCCGGTTTTCGTGACGAAGCCTGGGGCTTTTCACTATATGTGCGGATGAGAAAGGGGTTGCACAAATGGATGAGAGAGAGAGAGAGAGAGAGAGAAAAAGACAAGGTTCAGAGAATTATTTTCGAGGGAGAGATTTAAGTTCGATGGAAAGTTTTCTTTTTTCTTTTGTTTCGAACCAAATAGAATAGTGTTATATTTTTTTTGGTTTCTTTTTCTCTCTCTCTCTCTCTCTCCGGATATGCGGTCAAGTTTCATCATTATATGAAACGGTTCGAGAAAATTAAATATATTCAATACGGTGAAGATCGATCGATAAAAAGAAAAACAAAGATGTCCATATGTATAGAATTCCTTTGAAAATATATATAATATGAAGAAAAGTCGTTGAATTTTCTTTTGTACTTAGAAAGGCGGGAAAATATTCTTTACATTTTTTTTTTCCTGTGGAGTATATAGTTTTTTTTGTTTTAAATTCATTTTAATAAATATATAAATGATGATAGTAAGAATGAAGTTAATTTTGTTTGAGAATTCTGTAACTAAATAGTATACTTTGTACAAATAGGCTCTCTGCACGTCTATTTTGAATAAATAAAATTAGACTTTTGTCTGTACATTGGTGACTCTCTTTTGAATTATAGTGAAAATTCCATTTATTAATTTCAATTAGTTTATTTTCTACTAATTTTTAGTCTAACTATAAATTTAGTAAAAAAAAATATTAGGTATTAATTAAATAGTAATATTTTACTAAAAATTAGTGAAAATTTCTAATAATTTTTAGTTTTTTTTACTAAAATTTTATTAAAAAAATATTGGGTATTAATTAAATAGTAATATTTTACTGAAAATTAGTGAAAATTTCTAATAATTTTTTAGTTTTTTACTAAAATTTTAGTAAAAAAAAATAATTCTAATCTCTAAATTTGAATTAGTAAAAATGTTTGTTAATTTAAATTATAGTGACTCACTTTTTTCTTTAGAATTAGTTACATTTTATTAATTGTTAGTAAAAGTTACTAATAATTAGTAAAATTTTACTACTTCAGAAGCCAAAAGTAAGTCACTAATTCAAATTAGTAAATTTTTTTTATTAATTCAGATTTAGAGAGTATTAATATTTTTTTTTACTAAAATTTTAGTAAAAAAACTAAATATTAGTAAAAAATATCACTAATTTTTAGTAAAATATTGCAATTTTACTCATTGTTAGTAAAAGTTACTAATAATAAGTAAAATTTTACTAATTAAGAAGCAAAATGTGAGTCACTAATTTAAGTTAGTAAACATTTTTACTAATTCAGATTTAGAGAGAACAAGAAAGAGTAATATTTTACTGAAAATTAGTGAAAATTTCTAATAATTTTTAGTTTTTTACTAAAATTTTATTTAAAAAAAATTTTCTACTCTCTAAATTTGAATCAGTAAAAATGTTTATTAATTTAAATTAGTGACTCACTTTTTGCTTTAGAATTAGTTACATTTTATTAATTGTTAGTAAAATTTAGTAATGATTAGTAAAATTTTACTACTTCAGAAGCCAAAAGTGAGTCACTAATTCAAATTAGTACAAAAATTTTATGAATTCAGATTTAAAGAGTAGTAATATTTTTTTAACTAAAATTTTAGTAAAAAAACTAAAAATTAGTAAAATTTATCACTAATTTTTAGTAGAATATTACAATTTTACTAATTGTTAGTCAAAGTTACTAATAATTAGTAAAATTTTACTACTTCAGAAGCCTAAAGTGAGTCACTAATTTAAGTTAGTAAACATTTTTACTAATTCAGAATTAGAGAGAAAAAGAAAGAGTAATATTTTACTGACAATTAGTGGATATTTCTACTAATTTGTATTAATAAACGAATTATATCTAATTCAAATTTAGAGAGTAATTATTATTAGTAACATATTATATTGCTAAATTTTCTACTCTCTAAATTTGAATTAGTAAAAATGTTTATTAATTTAATTTAGTGACTCACTTTTTGCTTTAGAATTAGTTAAATTTTACTAATTGTTACTAAAAGTTAGTAATAATTAGTAAAATTTAACTAATTCAGAAGCAAAAAATAAGTCACTAATTCAAATTAGTAAACATTTTTGCTAATTCACACGGAAAAAAAGAAAAAGTAACTTTTACTACTTTAAAAGTAAAATTGGACCTGTCCGAAGTTTCTGCGCATCTCTGGCAACTTTTACTCCAAAAATAGTAAAATTTACTTCAGAAATAGTAAAAATTACTACGGAAACAGTAAAATTTACTACAGAAATAGTCAATTTTACTATTTTTCGAGTAAAAGTTGCCAGAGATGCGCAGAAACTTCGGACAGGTCCAATTTTACTTTTAAAGTAGTAAAAGTTACTTTATTCGTTTTTCCATTTTTCTCCGTGCAGATTTAGAGAGTAAAAAATGTCATAAAACGCTATAAATGTATTTTCAATATTTTTTAAAAAATTTTAAATATGGCAACCAGGCTTGGCCCTGGTTGGGCCCATAGAAATTTACTAACCAGGGGCCAGAACAGGAAATCGGATCGCGACCAGGTCGGTAATCTGGATAAAAAAGTGGCAATTTCTGCACGGGCTTGTTAAAGTTTTAAATGACTAAAAAAATTAGTCACAAGAGTTAAAAATTCATTTGTATTTTTCAAATACTTTTCTAAAAGCTATTACTGAATTTTAACAACGTGATGAATATGAAAAACCAATTATTGTATACCAGTCGGTACCTGGTATTATAAATCCTCTAAAGGTACCAAAATATTCCCCCCCCCCTCAAATATTTGAAAATTTGTCTAATTAATTTCTCATTAAAAGGGAAAAAAAATCCGTGACATCTTCTACCGAAAAACTCTTTTGTCTATGTGCAAATGCTTTATGAATGGGAATACCCACAAAACCCCTTTTCAGACATTTAAATTTATAGCGTTTAGTCATAATAGGCACCTAAGGAATGCAAGGGCTCATTAAATAATGATAGTTTACTTGTCGGGGAAAATAAATTCAGTGTGTCTGTTTAGAAGTTTTGTCCATTTAGAAATTATACATTATCCTTTAAAAGGGTCATCTGAAAATTTGTGAAATCTCATTAAAAACTAATTATACTATTTGCGCAGATTTTTTTTTTAACTACTGATATTTTTAATATATACCGTGAAAATTTTTTCAAGGGTGAATAAATATTTGTTATTCTCATTAAAATTTATTTCCAATATGAATTAATATTTGATAGAATAATTAAATCTTTATTCTCCGCATAAAAAAAAGATCTTAATGTAAGATGTTTTGATGGTCACATTTTAGATATTTGAAATATTTTAGTTTAAGACGGAAAAAAGAAATTGCTTGCAGATGTTAATTGATGTTTGCCATCATATATCTATCAAAATTAGTAATTACAGCTAAATTTTTTGCTATAACAACAAAAAAGTTTGCTGTCGTAAACAATATCAGTCTTAATTTTTTAAAATTTACTGTCACAGCAAAATTTTTTGACCTCACAGCAAATTTGTTTGCTGTATATTAGCTAACGTAATTTGCTGTGACAACAAATAGTTCGCTGCCACAGCAAACTTTTTCTATGCGTGCGTGTACTCTATAAATCTGAATTATATAGTCACTTTTGACAGCACCGATTCGTTCATTAAATGAATTAGTAATAGCAATGATTAATTTTTAGTCAAAAATGACTAATTCATTAGTTAAACTAATTTTTAGGTTATGTTACACACAAACACATAGAAAAAATTTGCTGTGTCAGCGAACTATTTGCTGTCACAATAAAATTACGTTAGCTAATATAAGGACAGCGAACAAATTTGTTGTGGGATCAAACAAGTTTTCTGTGACAGTAAATTTTAAAAAATTAAGACATATTGTTTATCACAGCAATGCTTTTTCGTAGTCATATAGCAAAAAATTTAGCTGTGGTTACTAATTTTAAAAGTTCCGATGGCAAACATCAGTTAGCATCTGTAAGCAATTCTTTTTTTTCCGTCCATAACTAAAAAATTAGTAGATTTATATCTATCAAATATTTTAGTATAATTTTTTTTACTCTCTAAATCTGAATTAATAGTTTTCTACTAATGAAAGAGTGCGTATTCGTTTACCAATTGAATTACTCTCTAAATCTGAATTAGTAAAAATGTTTACTAATTTAAATTAGTGACTCACTTTTGGCTTTAGAATTAGTTAAATTTTACTAATTGTTAGTAAAAGTTACTAATAATTAGTAAAATTTTACTAATTCAGAAGCAAAAAGTGATTCACTAATTCAAATTAGTAAACATTTTTACTAATTCAGATTTAGAGAGTAGTAACTGTTTTGACTAATTTTTAGTAAAAAACTACTGATTGCTAGTAGGAAACTACTAATTGATTAGTAAG